GCGCCTTCGCAGCCCGCGACCGGTCTCTTCCAAGGCTGTGTCTAACAACCTGCTCCTTCTATTCGCCAGTTGAGAGATCCCGAACTATATGTCGACAGGTTCATCCTCAAAGGAGAATCCTGTGGACTTCGCCAAAACGAGCAATCCATATACGTGGTAAGGACTTCAAGAAACACAAAAACTCCCCTGATAACTCTTGTAAATCCAAGTTCTGGCATGCTAATTTCTACTTATCTATCAAGGGTACCAATGAACATGGTCAGTTCAAAATGAAACGATCTAGATCGTTACCCCCAAGGTTTCCGTGACTAAGAACATATCTACTATCTGAAACAGTTGCCAGTTCAAGCATTGCCTTTTTCTCCGAACACGCTATCAGTGCTTTGTGCGAGAAACTCGGACATGAGAAGCTAAAGCACTTGATCAATACGCTCGAAGCAGATGGGCAAAGACGCCTTCAGGCTGCTATTCAATCAGACGAACCGGTTAACGACCTCCAAGAACCGTCTCTTGAACTACAGATGCAATACGTTAGATGTAGGATTTGATATCTATCCCTTGGGAGTTTTCGGACATTCTATACTGTTATGACTTGGCTAACATTCTACAAGCCTACTTTGAACAGATAAGCCCCATTTACCCATTTTTGGATCAGGATCACTTTGAACAGAAGGCTTTCTCGCTTCAGGACAACTCCCTGGATCCTCTCCACAAGCCCTGGTTAGCACTCTACTATGCTATCTTGAGTCTGGGATGCCTCTATCATGAGGGTGGCTCGTTCAATTCCGGAAAGGGACTGGCGTGGCGATATTTTCAAATATCATTTAGTTATTTTGCCGATGTTTTGATTTCGAAACCTTCCTTGTTGAAGGCTCAGGTGACTATATTTCGAGATCTTGTGAACTCAGTCGAGATTGCTGATGATGAACTATAGGCATTGACCGCAATGGTATGTCTCTTGCATACGATGGAATGAGTCCGGGCTCAATCTTTCAGGCAATCTTTGCCCTCAACTATTCGAGTCTGCAGCTGGAAACTTTGTGCGTCACAGAGGCTGCAAGGGCAGTCATCACATTAGGTCTTCACAAGAAAACTCTCGATCTGGAATCCGACATTGAGGGTCGAAGGACCTTCTGGGTCGTGTACTGCATAGAAAAAGAATACGCCTTCAATTCTACCTTGGCATCGGTATGTTTGCCTCACCCTCCAACTTTGCGCGGAATCTTGACGAATACTGTCCATGTTACAGTTTATATCAGACGGCGACATCGGTTGCCCCTTGCCCAGTGCTCAACATTCCTTGCTGGAAGGATTCGATTGGCTACACTGCTGGGCGTGGTTCTCGCGCATCCTCTCTCGGACCTATGATACACTATTTTCCATCACCGCGACATTGAACACGGAAGACGACTACCTCTCATACCTTGCTTGTATAAATCATGACTTGAATGCGTGGAGACAGTCAGTCCCAGAAATATTCCGTCCAGAAGTGCCAATCCGCCAACATCGAATGAGACACCCTGTCATGAAAGAGCTCGCTCTACGGAGTCATCTGGCTTACTACAACCTGAGAATCTGCCTTTCACGTCTAACGATCCATGTTACACACGACAAAGGCTCGCAACGCCGGTCCGAAGCAAAGCGGGATCTCATGCTGGCGGCTCGTTCCATTGTTGAGCTAATGCAGTTCTGCGCCCTGGAGCCATACTCTCCAGTTTGGTACTGCTTATCTCTCGGAGAATTCCCGTCCATGATGCTAACAATTGTATCCCATCTAGGAATATCGGCTGTATGCCACTTGTCGCCATGTTCATTCTGTTCGACTTTGTGGTCCAGAACCCCTCTCATCACGAAACCCGGACGAACATTTCGTATCTCGACATCGTGGCGGCGCATTTCGCGAGACTCGATCTGGCTTCCCAGGGAGCTATTCGAGGTTTGACCGTGGCAGAATTTGCTGCAGTCGCGAAGCAATTTGTCAATGAGCGCGTTGGAAATCGCGAAGAGGAAATCTACCCTCCCGCAGTCGGGTTGTCGACCAGAATTCTCCCCCGACCGAGCCCCGGAGGGCAGGAGATTGCAGGCGCCGATGTGAATGAAAACGCGAATGAGCAGGTAGGTCGACCCCTCTTCCTTGTAATGCTGTGTTCAGAATCCCTCCTCTGTATTGTCATGATATTGTTAGCCTCCAATATTCATTCGTTACGCGGTGGGCTAATTGATATATTACACATCATAGAATTTCTCTTTCGACGAAAATTTCTCTGGATCTATCGTGGATGATGCACTTGAATTTCCTGAAGAGAGTAATTCATTGTATATGACCTTACAGCATCCCGGATTCGACATGGCTGACATTTTTGGCCAAACGTTTTTATGAGACCATTAGGACTGAATCTGACCCTGTTAGTGGTGCTTCGATAATGGAGATCAAACCACCATTGATAATATTACAATGGAAGAGAATCTTCTATACTGATAATCCCTTCCGGCGTCTCAACCTCGAAATCATTGAACTTTGCCTCCAACGCCTCGGCCGACTCATTCCTCAAATCAGGTCGCGAGACATAGAATCCCACCCATATATCTGGCTCATCGACTCCGACGTCGTCGAAACACCAAGATACCGTCCGCATGAGGGATTTCCGAACCACTTCTCCCTCCTCTTCGACTAAGAAACAAACCAACAACGGTCCATGTTTCATAATTTCAAACGTTGCCGCGTGAGTATTTCCAAACGTCTTTGAAAGCGGCCAGAGACTCCATTCCGCACGACCTCCGTTTTCGAACGAAGAGACAGCGCAGGTAAGCTTGCCATGGACAAGCTCCAGTCCAATCTTCACGAACGACGGCGTGTTCGACTGATCTCCTGCGTTTGACGCCGTCGGTTCTGGTAGATCTCGGTGCGGTCGAAGCAGGAGCAGTCCTGCTTGATCCCATTCTATGGGGTGTGCGGCGGATGGCCAGGTGATAGTGACCCGTGCACGGCGGAAACGAGCCGACGGGAGAGAGACTTTCGAGACGGCAGATTCGAACCGGAAGGCAGGAACAGAGCCGTCGGAGATGAGCGGTTTGCCGACGATGTCTCGACCGCTAGTGCAGGAGAGGGTGAAGAGATCGGGACTGGAATGATTGATGGGAACGAGTCGGAGGGCATAGGAGATCATTTTGAGGTGTTGCACACTACTATACTTTGGAGATGTTTTTGGAAACGTTTCTCATATATCTATGTACATCTGTCTATACGTGTATGAAGCACATGCTCAGAATATCCCGTTAGATGTCGATACGTGAAGGCGATTGAACGTCGACCCGGGGTCGAATTCGATCAATCTCGGAAACTCCGAGCCAATCAAGTTGCCTTTACCAACTAATGATAGTTAAACCTTCTCGGGAATTCGCGATATATGGAAAAGACTTGCTCGATCAATCACAACGTCGGATACATGAAGGACAATAGAAGATCTATTACAACCATACTGCCCAACGGAAGATGCGATAGTCTGCCAACCAGAAATGTCACGGCCAGCCAAGGTTTCCTCATTCGAATTGGGTAAACATATCAATGACAACGATGCATGGATGGTGCTCAATGGCGTTGTGTGGGACTTCTCTGGCTTTGGGTCCAAACATCCTGGTGGAGAAGAGGTCATCAAGAGCCATCTCGGAAAGGATGGGAGCAAGGTCTACAACGAGATTCACAGCCCTGGATTGGTGCTACGACACTTAGGAGAGGAAAAAAGAATAGGAGATATCGAGGATGCAGATGTTCAGGGCGGTACCATTATCGCTTCGTCGCCGCATGATAGGCAGTTTGTTGACCTGCCAAAGCTCCATTCCGTCATGAATCTATTGCAATTCGAACACGTGGCAGAGAGAGCCTTGACCGACAAGGCTTGGAATTACATCTCAGGTGCGACTGACGACGGAATCACGGACCAGACCAACAGAGAATATTACCGGCATATCATGTTTCGTCCAAGGGTGTTGAAAGGCGTCGGACGAGTGGACATCAGCACTTCATTCCTCGGCCATAAACTTGCCTGTCCGATCTTGAACGCTCCCACCTCGTCAGTCCGGCTGACCCATCCCAGCGGCGAGATGGCTATCGCCAAAGCCTCTCAAACATGTGGTGTCCCACCCATCATTCCATCGATGAGCTCCTTCTCGGTATCGGAAGTTGTCGACGCCCTGAAACCTGGCCACCCGTTCTTCTTCCAACTCTATGTTCACCGCGACCGAGCAGAGACGGAGCAAATATTGGATGAAGTCTGCAGACTCGCCGCCCGAGCAATCATCGTAACGGTGGATCTACCGGTCATCAGCAAGAGGGAGACAGTCCAACGACGCCGATATGAAGTCGACAGCGACAGCGTCAGTCGAGATCAAGACATAGCGGATAGTCGACAGCGGCAGTCAGCCCCTCCACCGGTCAACACGGTCATTGATCCCGACCTCAACTGGAATGACATCGAGTGGATCATGAAACGCACTGGTCTCCCTGTCCTCGTCAAGGGAATTCAACGAGCAGAAGACGCCAAACGGGCCTTGGAGATTGGATGTGCAGGAATCTACATTTCCAACCACGGAGGTAGAGCCTTGGACACGGCGCCGCCTGCTATATTGGTGCTGTTGGAGATCCAAAGGACTTGTCCTGAGGTCTTGAGACGGATGGAAGTCGTAATCGATGGCGGCTTACGACGAGGGTCAGATGTGTTGAAAGCAATTTGTCTCGGGGCCAGTGTGGTTTGTATTGGCCGTCCCTTTCTATATGCTCTTGCGTACGGGGAGGAGGGGATGGTTCGTGCATGGCAAAGTAAGTTTCTACATCACTAGCGACATTGGGATTCAAGGCTCGAGACTGACAGTTGATCTCCTGGACAGTATTGAAAGAAGAATTGGCGATTGCGATGCAGTTACTGGGGATTACCAGCCTCGATCAGGCACATCCCGGGTTCGTCAATACTCAGACGTTAGATGCCTTCACATCGTCTCCAAAGCCTTTTGGTGGCAGACCAACCTCAAAATTATAACTGAGCAAGGCCAGGAAAGGGTATCAGTAGAACGAATATTGCCATCCTTCTTTCTAGTCTATTCTACATATGTCTCCCGTTCCCCTAATTGATGGACGGAGTACCCTGCCCGTCATCTCGCGACCTCCTCATCGATGGCCCGAAACGCCGAGTACATAGCGTAGCCATGGCCAGAGGTATGGGATCCAAGCACTATTCTTATCTACTGTACACCAGCCGAGGCGACTAGTCAAAGAAGTCTCATCTCTCCACCTCCACCATGACCAGCATTCGCGGCCAATCATATCAAGCGAATGCTCGGATTTTCCGAAAGGGGCTGACCAGACTTTGACATCAAACCTTATTTGCAAGTCCCCAGCGCCGACTTGGAGATTCCAGGATTCGAACACGGGCCTGGAACCCACAAAGATGGACTCGAAAATTGTAAAAGAAGTACATGAAGAAGAAGAGAAGAACGAGATCTCTCTATTTCTCTATCTCCCAGATCATCACTTTCGTCTACTCTGCCTTGTCTTCGACCCTCTCTTTTCTCGCTTTTTGAGACTTGATCCTCCCCCTCCTTGCTAGCAGCAAGAGATGAAAACACGAACACAAACATGGCCACTACTACTACTACTACTGCTGAAGCCTTACCTCCAGGTACTCAGCGAATCGAGGATTTAGCTGGTGCACACATCGTTCTTGCTCCACAGCCCAATGCGGATCCAAACCAGCCATTGGTCAGTCATGTTATTCTGTTTCATGGAGTTCTTCAACAGCTGTTTTTTTGTGTCGTTTTCTAACATCCCAGAGCAGAATTGGAGTCCCTGGCGGAAGAGCCTCCATATGGTTCTACTCTGCTTGTACGGACTCATGGTGTTTGCCATGTGAGTTGTCGAACGTTCCATTCCATGCGCGCATGCATGACCCCGGGATATTGTACAGAATATTGACACATGGTCGGTTTCACTTCCCAGTCTATGTGCCAGTCAACCTCTATGGCAAATCTTCTATGGCGAGCTCGGAATCAGCTATGCCACCTTGAACAATGGATATGCGGCCAACACGGCAACATTGGCTGTTGGTTGCGTCTTCCTCGTTCCGATCGCCCTTCGGTATGGGCGACGACCCATGTATCTCCTCACTGCGCTCTTCCTGTTGGGAATTGCCATCTGGCAAGCTGTATTTTACACCGGGGAGGAATATCTCGCATATAGTACGCTTTGTGGGATTGCCGGGGCGCTCAACGAGGCCTTGTTCCAAGTCACGGTATGAAATTTTATATCGGATCACGATTCACCATTTGACCATTTTACAGCGTCCGTGCTAAAATCCAGAGTGTTACTGCTAGATATCGGATCTCTTCTTCGTCCACCAGCGAGGAACCATGAATGGATGTTTCCTCATCTCGGTCAACGCTGGAGTCTACCTCAGTCCTGTGGCCGCGGGCTACATCGCCGCATCTCACAACTGGCGCTGGATTTTTTGGATTTGTACCATCATTACGAGCGTTCTCATCGTCGCCATGGTCCTCTTCTTTGAAGAAACGAAATATACCCCCCCAACCATGCTGGGCCATAATCCGGAAGAGACCAGCAATGAAACTGTCATCACCAAGATAAGCAGTATCTCGAAAGACCCAGTCAACCTCGGCAACAGCCAGGTACAGCAGACTAAAGGTGATGGCGAGGGTGAACAATATGACTACTCTCCAAATCAGCCCAAAAGACCCGTCCCGATCGACACCTCGATCCCAATGAATTCTTACCTTACACGCCTTTCGCTCTGGACCAGCGACAAAATCCCCAGCACCCAAGACCGCGGATTGTGGAAACACGCCTACTACCCCTTTGCGATCCTTTTGCAATTTCCTGCCGTGGCCCTCGCGGCCATTGTCTACGGATTCGACATGGCCATGCTCTCCATCGTCACCATCGTCCAGACAACCCTCTACCCTTACCCGCCCTATAACATGGGGACCATCGGGGTTGGCAATCTCAACATGGCGCCCATGGCTGGAGTTCTCCTAGGATCTCTCTACGGCGGCCCCTTCGTGGACTGGGCGATTGTCCAGATCGCCAAACGTCGACAGGGCATCTACGAGCCCGAAACCAGATTGTGGATGTTCATCTTCCCTTCTTTAGTCCAAACAGCCGGAATTTTCATGTACGGCCTCACACTCGCCAAGGGTATGCCATGGCCCATCAACGCCGTCGGGGCGGGATTTGTGGGCTTCGGTTTGGGCGGCGCCGGTGATATCGTCCTCACATATTGTCAGGATTGTTATCAATATGTAAGTCCGATTCTCACTCTGACCCCCGGACTAGAGCCATATATTCGCTTGTCTATTTACCTAATATCGATCTAACCACTAATGTGATATAATATGGTTCAGATCCTAGGCGACGCTCTGACCAGCGTCGTCTTCGTGCGCAATATCATCACCACCATCCTGGTTTTCTCGATCGCGCCTTGGATGGAAGGCATGGGCATCTACAACATGTTTGTCCTCCTCGGATGCCTCAGCGCGGTTATATCCTTCTCTTGCGTCCCGTTTTTGTTCTGGGGGAGGGCTTGGCGCGTCAGGTTGGCGGCTAAGTATAAGTATTATGCTTCGAAGCAGTATTAAGACAAGAAAGGAGAAAGGTCGAGCACAGCACCAGCACTGACAGTCTTGGAAGTGGAATGAATGTCCAGTAATAGGATGAATCGGAAGGGAAGTTGTATAGTCTTGCTAGACACAGCCTTGGAGGAGACCAGGCACGTGTTGCAGTGGTGCGACTCAACGCACTCATTGGACAAGTGGAAGGATTCACAAAAGAACAAGGCGGAGGGACACATTATACGCTCTGTTGGCTCTGTTTCTCTGTCGGCCCTGTGGCACAGTTCGCACAGTTCGCACGGTGCGCATAATGCACTAGCATTGTATATTCATCCTCACTTTCCCCCAGATAGATGAGCTTACTCTCCTTTGTAGCCAACTCATGTTATCTACTGAACTATACTGTTGATATTCTCATACCTTGCACTCTCCCTTACTCAGTTCTACACTTACAAGGATCTGTTATCAAGGAGCTTTCCCATAGTATGTAGGCGACAAGAGAGCAGCTCTGGCAAGTCTCTAGTATACCACTGTGCCACTTTGCCATTTATTGTTCTGGGGTAGCACCTAGTAGTATCCAGTATATAACCAATCGTAATAGATATCGTCCATTAGTCATCCTGGTCACCCTAATTCTCAAATAGTAGGCAATTAAGCTCTCTGAGTAAGAAAATAGCCACAATCATCTATGTAATTGCTCTCCGGTCGTCAATTTCAATTGCCGTTTCCGTCTCTCCCAGCAATGGTAACTGGCATCGGTGAAAAAAAAAATAAAAAAATAAAAAAATAAAAAAATAAAAAAATAAAAATCAGAAGTTGATGACCTATCCTGTCCCCGAGCAGTTCTAAGTGTTTCCAAGCCCGACGCTGCAGCACTGTACTCTATGTATATATAACAGACAGCCTGGTGTAAGCCTCTCATCTATTTTGAATTTGATATCGTGAGGTATAGCATTCTCAAGGTATAATTTTCAAAAAGGCATAAGAAAGTACGAGCGACGCCATGAAAAATCCCACAACTATATATCATAGTTTCTGAATGGTTCAAACCTCATGGTTCGAGACCTACCTTTCCCCTGAAATGAATAGGGGAGCCTCGCGAGGTTCCCAATCAAACCCAATTCAATGGAATAGTTCTTCTAGTTCCTAGTTGTTCCTTACAAGATAAAATCATTTCACCTCACCGCCTCACTCCTTACTCGGTCCCAATCCAATAAACTCTCCAATATCCTTTGTATCCCTGGTCCAAATACCCGGCGACCCCTTGGGATATTGGCTCCGAAAGCCCAAAAACCTCTGCACCCTGAGTGGCATCTTCTTGACCATTTCCAAATCAACCGTCAACGCGAATGCTTCTTCCTGGGTGAAACAGTTCGCTACGGCCACGAGAGAAACGACGCGTCGATAAAAGTCCTTTGTGGAGTTACGTCCGCCGCCGTGCACGATTCGGCCGCCGATGAGCAACAAATCGCCGGCTTTTAAGGGGCAGACCTGGGTATCTTCCTCTTTTCCTAGGTTGTGGTCTTTGGCCGAGTAGCACCATTTGTGACTCCCGGGGATGGCACGGGTGGCGCCATTTTCCTCTGTGGTGTCCGTTGTAGCGATAAGGAAGTTGAGCATCGTCTCTGGACAGGATGGGGGCATGTCGTAGTTGGGCCACCAGTTGCCAAAGTCCCGGTGCAAGGGCTGTTTGGGGTTGGAGGGGCCGATTTCCATCATCTGTGCCGCGCTGAGCCAGTATCCCCCAGTGTTTTTAGTTAGGATCTCCTCGCAAATGGCATGGAGGAGGTCGTCGTTCACGATTTCCTCTCGCCATGTTTGACTGAGGGTGATGAGGTTCGTTAGGCGGCGAGTGGCGATACCCAGAAACTCCCTTGCTTCTGAGGGAACGCCTTCTAGTAGTCCCGCTGGGGTGAGATTTCCAAGTGGCTCGTCTAGTTCAGCGTTGAAGCGTTGGACTTGGTGTGCAGTCAAGAAGCCTTCAATAATCACGGCACCATCTTGGGCGAATATCTCAGCGATACTTGACGTACTGGTGGTCCTGGATACACAGTGGATCGGAGCGATGAGTGTGGTGGCCATACTCGTCGCTGTCGATACGGTTTCCGTTTCGGTCATGGTGATGCTCTCCATGAAAATGAAATGGAGGATCTAGAGTGCTGAGTGTCGAGTGCCGAGTGTCGAGTGCCGAGTGTCGAGTGTGTGTGACGAGTCAGGGATTGAATGGGAGAGTCGACCTGCCTCGTCGTGGAATGAATAATGGCAATTGCCGTCAGATCAAGAGTTGGTAAGTACACCGTACCCTTTATCTTCATACCACGCTCGCTCTCTGCCCATTGCCTAAGAGAATATAACTGTATGCAACATTCGCCTGACCTCCAAGGGTCCCCTCGACCCTCCAATCTCGGATGTTGAAGCGCGGAAAACCCGAGAGGAACTTTCACATACCCAGCCCGGGAAACTGAGTCCATCGTTTCGGACAAAGATGCTTCGACCGGGTGGGTGTGAGTAGGACGGTGATTCGAGTCGGCTTGCGCACTACCGAGGACTGGAGGATATTACCACAAGCATAGAAATCGGATTGTCCGAGCTTCACAGTCAACGCGATAAGCCTGAGGCGGGAGAGGAGAACAGGCTCATCCAATCGCGTTGTGGCCATTTCTTTCTCGGGTTATGGAAACTCGTTTGGTCGTGCGTATAGTCTTCTAATCCGATAGAGAATCCGAGCATACAAGGATGTAATCTTTCGACTTCATGCATAGAACAACATCGATGACGACACCTTTATCGAGGCTTTCACAAACTGCGGTCCATTTTCTTTAACCCAATAATCAGCCAGATAAAACGAAATTTGCCGCATTACACAGGATCATAACAGCGAGAGGGAACCTTAGTTGGAGCACATGGCACTCGATTGTAAATCTCAACTATGCATCTCTACCCATCTCTGCCGCTTCACTCACAAAAATCCTTGAATTCACCCCGACAATCACGTTCCTCGTAGTCGTAGTAGACCTGGAACTCGCAATAGCACACATCCGCATCGCTCTCTGCGTCAAAGTTGAACCGTGCTTCTTCGTCCGGGATGACGACTTTCGCTATGTTGTTAGCCGCCGCAGCCTCAGCCAGAAGTTGAATCCTACAACTATTCTCCATGCTAGTGAACAGCCACGCAGCCTCATCCACAGTCGCGCCCACGGTCAGGATACCATGATTGCGCAAGATACATCCTTTTGCCTTGGCCCCGAGTGCCGCTGCGATCCTCTCACCTTCTACCTCCGCCAACACGACGCCGCCGTGGTTGTCGTACACAGCCTGAGCGTCGCCGAAGAACTTGCACGCGTCTTGCGTGAGCATTTCCAACCGCTTGCCGAACACCGACCACGCCTTCCCATGCACGCTGTGGCAGTGGCATACCGCGTGCACGTCCTGGCGAGCCTTGTGAATTGCTCCGTGGATCAAAACGCCGGCTGCATTGGGCGGCTTGAGAGGGTTGCCGCTAATGATATCGCCCTGGAAATTAACCAGGATCATGTCGCTGGCATTGAGGACTCCAAAGTGTACGCCGAGCGGGTTCGTCCAGAACGCATCGTGGAATTCCGGATCACGTATGGATATGTGTCCGCTCATGCCTTCGATGTAGCCTGATCGTGCCCAGTGTCTGAATGCCGCGGCCATATGCTCGAGTTGCCATTTTCGTTGAGACGCAAAGGTTGGGAAGAGAGGGACTCCGGCAAGGGTGACTGGGCCGTGTGAGAGCGCTTCGAGAGGTGTCTTCTTCTGTTTCTTTTTCTGTGGTTCCTTTGAGTCTCCAACGTTGGGAGTTTTGTGAGTTGTCCCATACTTGCTCTCAGGCACAGAGACAAGGTCACTAGAGGCGATTGGTGCCATCTGTTGTTGACAATTCAGGATAGATTTCTATCGGCAATGTCTTGAATAGATCAACGACAAAGGTTTGAGTCGGAAGGGAAAACAGTTGCGGGACCCCATCGCGGAATGAACGACCAGTGGCCTAGAAATACCATGATCCCTGTATTGCTGTCGGGACGGTGAGGACAATGGATGTCCATTATCAAAGATTGCCTTGACAATGACTAACTTGGCATCGAAAGATTATCGTCGTCGACAAAAGTCGAAGCCCGAAGCCGAATGTGGAGGGTCGGATTTTCCGAAGCACACCACACCTCGGACACTCCGTCGAATTGCAAGGATACATGCCTGGCAACCGATTCAGAAGCCGCTGCGATTCTCTAAGCAGAAGTAAGCCTTCAGTCTGGGACCTCTCAGGATAGGAAAAAGGTAGAAGTGGTGTGAGACATCCCAGAACAAGGGCACGAGCACCAGTTTGGGGGGGAAACTCCGAGAGAAACCAAGGAGAGGTGGAAGATATGGAGGCGAGGAATAGATTGAATCATCTTTTGCAACCGGTACATCTTCGTTTTGGTCCAAACGAGTCTGTATATCTAGGATATCTAGGACATTAGACTGACATCTATAATCAGATATCCAGGATGTGCTTGTGACATTCCTGCGCACATATACGAAATGAGCTGGGCTCTGAATCCGGACTGGAGTGAATTGTAAGCTAACCGCCTGAACTGATCTAAAATGAGGCCCATGAAAGCAGACCGACGGACTGACACTCGCGTCTTCAGTTATGTCGGCAGCAAAGAAATATGGGAGTATTTCAACAATGCGGCCCAGAAATTTGGACTCAACCGATACATTAAACTTCGACATAGGGTGGTGGGAGCGGTGTGGGAAGAGACTCGGGGAGTCTGGTTGGTCGATGTCGTGGACGAAGCCACTGGAACTAAGTTTACTGATTGGTGTCACTTTCTCGTCAATGGCACCGGCTTCTTGAAGTATGTTAACAATTTCTCTCCTAGAGTTTGAAGAGATTGAGATAACTGAAAAATCTGCCTCGCAAAGCCATTGGAGGTGGCCGGACATTCCTGGCCTCGACTCATTCAAAGGAACAAAGCTCCATTCAGCAGCCTGGGATGAAAGCGTGGTGCTCAAGGGAAAACGCGTTGCTGTCATCGGCAATGGTTCGTCTGGCATACAGATTGTGACAGCGATCCAGCCTGGTGGGTGGTGAGATGATCAGTTGAATTTCCAAGCTGACCCTATCACAGAGGTCAAGGCTCTGTCTGTTTTCATTCGCAGCCCTTCTTGGGTATCAACTTCTTTTGCCCAGGATTTTGCAGGTCCAAATGGGACCAACTTCTCGTGTGAGTTGTAAAATCTACTTGACACTCGCTGTCTCACTAACTTATTTAAGACACGGACGAACAGAAGCAGACCTTTCGGAGTGATATGCAACGCCTGCAGTCGTATCGAAAAGCTATTGAAACAAACATGAATTCTAACCATAAGGTGGTATGTGCTCGCTCATACTTTCTTCTTGTCGAAAGATCTCAACGCAAACGTTTATTATCTCAGCAGGCGCATACCAACTCTCCTGAACAACAAATTGCTGTTCAATATCTCACCAAGATCATGAAATCCCGTATTGGGGAGAACCATCCGCTGGCGGACCGATTAATCCCGGACTTCGGTGTTGGTTGTAGGTCAGTCGTTTGAATCCCAGTTCGTTCAGAAGCATAACATATTCATCTCCCTACTAGGCGCCCAACCCCAGGTGTTGGCTATCTGGAAGCGTTAGTGGCATCCAACAACCGAATCTTTTTCGACCCTATTGCCGAAGTAGTCGAAGATGGCATCAAGCTCAACACCGGGGAGTCGATCGAGGTCGACATCATCGTCTGTGCCACAGGCTTCGACGTGTCGTGGAAGCCTCGTTTCCCAGTCATTGGTCGTGGTGGTATTGACTTATCAGATCAATGGAAGGACCGACCACTCAGCTACCTCTCGTTCGCGGTGCCGAATTTCCCAAACTTCTTTAGTAAGTCGCTTGCGTTTAAGACAACAGCACCGCACTAACGATGTGGCAACCACAGTCTATTTGGGTCCTAACTCTCCACTATCTCACGGATCCGCACTCCCAAGCATCGAGCACTTAACCAAGTATCTCATTCGATTACTCCACAAGATTCAAATAGAGCGGTATAAAGCAGTCGAACCAAAACTGCAGGCCATGCACGATTTCATTGAGCATGCAGACGCTTACTTGAAGCGAACTGTTTGGAGCACCAAGTGTCGCTCGTGGTTGAAGGGCGGTGGGTTCTTTTGCGTTTTGAGATTGATTATTTTTGATTTCGACTGACGTGATTACTACAGGCAAAGATGATGGTCCACCGTTGGTCCATCCTGGGAGCCGTGTTCATTGGTTCCACATGTTGATGGAACCACGGTGGGAGGACTGGGAGTGGACATCGCGTTCCACGAACCGATTCGCGTATCTGGGTAATGGATTCTCGAGTCTGGAAGAGGAGGGACGAGATAAAGCTTGGTATATAGATGAGGATGAGGGCAAGGGATATGAAGCTGTGATATATTAAGGATATTTGCAGGTTAACCGGAAGCTGCGGGCGGATTCTGGCAGCCGCACGTGTCGGTGCAGTCACATGGTGCACTTGTGAGGATTATACTACTTGTAGACTTCAGCTACACGCCTGATCGTACCAGGACAGCCTAGGATTCAACTTCCAGATCTGGGAATATGTGTTGTTAGATTGAGAACTGTCAGGTTGATTACGTCAATGATTGCCATTTCTGTGCCCCGATTGATGATGTCTGCCTATCTGCAATCTCAGCGAGACCCTGCCTGCCTATATAGACGTTGCCCTGAGGCAAGAAGGCCCTCCCGAACCTGTTTCGGTGGTCACATATCTAACTAGTCTGACACTATTCGTTTGGTCTGTTAGGCGGTCTGTCCGAGAACGCCATCTGTGACCACTATGAAACGGCACTGCCGAGTCACTAGTCCCGCCATATCAACACAACCACCCAGGCAACCCTGTGTCGACAAGGTCGTCTGCAATGCTTTTTTACAGGAGTGCCTGCATATCCATCAGATTGAGTTGCTTAACGAATCTCTCGAATTTCTGTCTTGGTAGAACCTTGGTGAAGCCGCCCACCTTCATGTCCCTCGTAGAGACCTGTTCGATGTCGATGTTGCCGTTCTAAACCTCCTGACGTAATCAGTGCTTGTAGATATTCAGTGCTTGTAGATATCGACGTGACGGAGTTTTTTTTGAGCATGGCGGCGTTCTGGGTCAGAAGACTAATAGTCTGGGTGTTGTCGGACTATATATAGACCTTGCTGTCGAGGTGGAAGTCGATCTAGTTGAAGAGCCTCTTATAGGCTAGTAGTTCCTTCAACGTCCGCGTTAAGGCATGTAACTTAGCCTGTACTCGATGTTGTTATCGTCGTGTACTTCGAGGTCTTCTAGTTGATAGGTCCTCTGTATAACTAGAATAAGTAGCCGTTGGAACTCTTCTTGTTTATATTGTTGGCGAATGCGGTATTAGAATAGTACTCGAAGGGGTAGGTTTTGTAATCGATGTTCTTGATTGATCAATCTGTAATATTGTAAAGCGAGATTCTTGGTCATTGTTGGGTAGGCGATGACTCTGTTTGCGGCTCTGAGATGTTTAGGTCCTGGACTTTGTAAATAATGGGCTAGGATCGAGCGAATTTCCGAGGTCACAAGAATCACACTTGTTCCCATAGTGGCTGAGATGTTGGTTTGGCCTACTCCCTGGCCTTGTGGAATGTATTACCTTGAGAAGACACAAGATGGGGAAAATATTGAAAGTGTATTGCCTCAGTTACACTGCTCAAGAATTTCGTGCAACTGAGCTGAGACAATGTGGCAGCTGTCAACTTATTATTGAAGCTTAAAGAAGGAAGAGGCGTGCGTATACAAATATGGAAGAGGTGGCGTTGGTTTTGGTACGGTCGAGACGGCTTCAGGGGTAAGGCTGGACTTGATCTAAATCGACGAAATTTGAATTTCCCGAGCGGTGGCGTTCTGTATCCTTGATTCAACCTTACTGGGCAAATTTCAGCTCTCTCGATACTTGGAGGTCAATTCAGCCAAGGCTGAGAACACACAAGGCAATATCCTGAAGACTGGTTAGATGGTAAGTACTCTCGGGACCCATGTAATTGGTGGCCACCTATTTTCTTTCGGATAACCTCTCGTCCCTGCAACTCGAATATGAGAAGCTCGCCCAGAACCATGTCAACCGATCGCAGGCACATTTACGCTGGCCCATGGATCAGCCACTCATAAGCTCGATTACTGGGCCGACCTTGACTCAGTCTAGTTCACATGGGGCTTTCTGGATCCCTTCCCTCTGTGTCATGACGAGAATTGGGCAACGCTGACTTCATGTAGCAAGGCAATGGACAAGCGAACCTGGTGTACCAACTTGTCTTGATTTCAAAATCCTGATCTGGCCCACACGTACGCAGACATCACGCTTTTTGCTATAGAGCGCGGCCATTATGGATTCGTTGTTGATTGTCCAAGGTTCGGCCGAACAGATGCCCAATCTATTCCTTGCAGCTGTGCCCTGTGCCTAATTACTTCACCGTCATAAATGATCTCTATAGTTCATCTTTCAGTGATCAAACGTTGAAATCTCGAGCCCCAAACGTTCTGAGGTATAACATTACACCGACATATCGTGATCCACATGGCTTGGCATGGCGAGTGGTTCTATAGACAGGTAGGGCTTCCCTTGGATTGTCAAGTCAGCGAACACAAGAGTGTCTCAACCTGATCAGGAACAGGTAAGAATTTCAGCTCCGTCACGCTCATCCTACTCATACCCGCTAATTATGTGGTCTGATGGAATGGCCAAGCAACCGTTATCATCCCAGCTCGGACGAATAGTGACGGGGAGATCGACTCTATTGGAGGATATCACCGGTGCCAGTGGTCATTCGAAGGATGCAAGCGAAGGAGATATTGGTAAGTGCTTCAAGCTATGGCCATTTAATACCCATCGCTGAAACACTTATACAGCGACTGAGGAAATCCAGATCGAGAAAGTCACCACCGATGGGAGGCAACACCTCATAATGGACACCCCTGGCTTCCATATGGACAAGGAAATGGACGCGGTCTACAAGGTTAATGGAGGCGTTCAGGAAGTTCAGAATTACACCCAAACTTGGGGGATTCTCTACGTGACAAAGGTCGACTTACGAATCGAGACCACCGATGAGATATTGCTCGGATTCAACAGATGCTTCCCAAGGCAGGACTTTGTCCGGCACATTACCTTCGTGACTCTACATTGAAATTGGCACCATGAAAATAAGAAGGCGAAGAACAAGTGGTCTGGAAAACGCAAAGAGCTTTGGAGAAGCTATCTCGAAAACAGTGCACCAATGTACCACCATGGTCAAACGGACAGCAATGGTGTCGAGTGCGAAAATTTCCTTTACTGGTATGACGATCACAAAACAATAGCTTAATGGACTAAGAGCATGATCCCTTGTCGCCAGGGAACGCAGTACCTCAGTCTCCTTTATTTGCGTAGGAGCTGGCCGACGGTGTCACTACTTACAGGACGACAGCCACATTGTTTCTGGAGCCTTTACCATCGCCTCCTCATTCAGACCAACGGGGTATGGCTACTTTGGCGAAGATTCTGATGGAGACTGGAATGAAGTGCCTCCAAAATTTCGAGACTTCTTTTCGAGCGCTCCTCTTACGTCGAAGCACAGGAAGGTTAGTCCACAGGTTCTTCACGGCGGTTACATCAAGCCGCAACCGATGCGCCGAACTAGGGGCCAAGCTTCTCTCAGAGGCTCCTTGCCCATAGATTAGGGGAATTGACAGAGGTGAGTGCCGATGGTCCTGCTGTAGGAATTCGTAATGGCAAATTCCCCTTCAATGGTATCGCACTGGCTTAATTCGCATGGCAGGCGCTTTTTGGAGTTTCGGCTGCTGAGAATCACGGAAAGTACTCGAATCTCACGTTGCCGCAGCATAAGTAGCCAAATTTCATCTAGGATCGCCGCTTGTCAATTTCTTAAATGCTTATGGCATACCTTCGGGCTTGGAATCTCGCAGGAGGATGCTGCTTTGGGCCTTGACCCAAGCCTCATTGGAACGGCGGAAGGAAACACATTATTTCTCAGTCTCTTTCAGTCCCTTGGTTGTTAGGAGCTTGGCAATTATCCTATCACCATGCTTCAACAGGAAGGCGCGAAGTTGGATGGTTGACTTTACATTGTGATGGTTGCGATTGTTGCGGAGGTCGACGACGCCTCCCCTTGCGCGTGGAACGATATAACAAGACCGTTCCCAGTTCACACGGCAAGTACTTCCTTACCCCTCAACCAGGACTCTACAAGTAGTCATCTACGATGTTGCTAACCAGGCCTCTTCCCTTGCTCGCTCTTCGCGCTATTGCTGTACTTGCCTGTGGGCGAGACCACCTTCATTCACAAGTATTTGATCATCGTGTTGCTCTTTCAAAGAGGCAGGAGACCGCGTTCCCTCCTGTGCTTGACCAGAATGAAGCCATCTTGCTCAGTTCCTTTGACAACGCTACCATCGAAAGTTGGAGCTACTACTATACTCACGGTCTGCATGTGGCAGGTACGAATCAATCAATGGCTCAGTGGACAGCTGATCGCTGGAATGAGTACGGTTTCACGGCAGGGTTGGTGTCATACTGTACGTTCTCGGTCCCTTCGACCAAACGCAGAGCTGAGGAAAGTGGACGTCTACCTGAATTACCCAGTGTCACATTCATTGACCGTATCATTCGCCAACGGGTCAACTTTCGAACCGCTGCCTGAGGAGGAAGTATTGACAGAGGACGAGACCACTTCTTATCCGAACAGAGTGCCTACTTTCCGTGGCTACTTTTTCACTGGCGATGCTGAAGCGGAGTACGTCTACGTCGGACGCGGGCAGAAAGTCGACTTCGAACGTCTGAAGACCTTGGGCGTGCAACTGAAAGGCAAAATTGCACTAGCGCGCTATGGCGGTCCATTCCGCGGACTCAAAGTCAAGAATGCCCAAGAGTATGGTATGGTGGGTTGTATCATCGTCAGTTACGCACCTCCTCGCGCCTGAGCAGCAGGCGAAAAGCATTTGCTCAGCCAGATCAGTTTCTCGACCTTCTTTCTTTATGTCTTCACCAAGATCATGCCGTGCAACCAACCAAAGAGATACTGACGTATTTATAGTTTACAGACACCGCTGACGATGGAAACATCACGGAGGCGAATGGTTATGCAGCCTATCCAGATGGACCAGCACGAAATCCTACCTCAGTGCAGCGCAGAAGCGTCGAGTTTCTCTCCACTTATCTTGGTGATCCCGAAACCCCAGGCTACCCATCCAAGCTCGACTCTCCGCGGTCAGACAGATCTGTAGTGACACCTCAGATACCGTCTCTGCCAATTTCGTGGAAAGATGCGCAACCCCTTATTCAAGCTCTTGATGGGTACGGGCCAGACGGCAAGACAATAAACCGCACCAATTGGATCGGGAAGCTCAATGCGACTTATTCGAGCGGACCTGCTCCAGGAACTACTATCTCTATGTCTAACGTCATGCGAGATGAGATCACTTGGATCTGGGACAGTATTGGTATCATCAATGGCACTAATGAAGACGAAGTCATTATCCTCGGCAATCACCGCGACGCCTGGATCGTTGGTGGTGCATCTGATCCCAACTCCGGCTCTGCTGTATTGATAGAGATGGCTAAAGCATTTGGGGCACTGCTGAAGACTGGCTGGAAACCCAAGCGTACAATTGTCTTTGCTTCCTGGGACGCAGAGGAGTACGGATTGCTTGGCTCCACCGAATGGGTGGAAGAGTACATCCCCTGGCTGAAGGAGTCGGCGGTGGCTTATCTCAATCTTGACGGTGCCGCTTCCGGTCTAAATCCAGATCTGTCTGCTTCGCCCGAACTCCACAAGATTGCGACAGAAACCATGAAGAAGGTTGTCTACCCGTACTATGGCTATAGCAATCTGACCTAGTACGATGTGTGGTATGGCTTGAGCAAGGGCAAAGTCGGCGTGCTTGGACCGGGCAGCGACTATACTGCCTTTGTGCACAATGGCATTGCTTCTTTGGATACGGGCTGCGGTAGGGGAGCCAGCGATCCCGTTTATCATTACCACTCAAATTACGACAGCTTCCACTGGATGACCACTTATGGTGATCCTGACTTCCTTGCGCATAAGGCTGTCGGGCAAGACTTGTCCTTGCTGGTGTATCATCTCGCGAACGACGACATCATCCCTTTCGACGTTGAGAACTACGGCGTGCAGATGAGCCGATATTTGATCGAACTCATCGAGTTCGTTGAGTCGGAGAATGCCACAACCATGGTTGACCTCTCTCCGCTTGAGATCGCCATCTCAACTTTCAACATTTCAGCTGAGGCTATGACTTCTTTCATCCAGGCTGCGTCGACGAAGGCTGATATCAAACTGGCCAACACAAACTAAGAGACTTCAGTCGGGGTTTCGTCTCTCAAGGTGGCTTGCCGACCAGAGAGTTCTACAAGCATGTTGTCTTCGCGCCAGGGTTGGACACAGGCTACGCTCCGGTCGAATGGCCAGGTATTACGGAGGCCATTGACGCTGGCAATTTGACCCTTGCGCAGCTTTGGGTAGAGAAGTCAGCGAGAGCCGTGGAGTTTGCAGCGGGGATTCTGGCGCCGTAATACGTTCCATCTCCTTGAGCGAGCTAGCATGTTACCGCAGCCACAGGGCGATACACGCCCCAGAGCCAACAATCGCCAAGCCGGACATGACCTAGTGGAGCGCTAATGATGGTGTCCCACAATTTACCTAAATAGGTCGATGCACTAGGACGAAAACAGTAATCTTGGCAATGCTTAGCTACAGTTTGCCTTTCAATCGTTGATGTAGTGATTCGACTCCTGTGAGTTGACTGCCACAGAAACAGAGTACACATAGCTCGATAAATCACTCAAAGATGGGTCACTCTGATGCATAGTCGTATGATGCCAGTTGAAACTCTGAGCCTTTGATGTGGCAGATTGAACTAAGGCGACTTCGTGGAGCGCCCAAGAAACCTCGTTCGCGACCTGCTTCTTAACCCGATAGTGGCCATGGAGCACCGAAGCCTCTTAATCCTGTACTTTCCTCGCTGTAGAGCGTGTTTGCTTACTACTTCCATCTTTCAGTGGTGCTCCGTCTTTTGCTATACAACTCAAGGTTAGTGAATCCCATGAATGCTCCTGAAGCATGATACGGCAGCAAGGCGTCGATTCCGACAAATATGTCTTTCTCGTGGACGTCAGGCATCTTTGCCCGCCATCAAACTATGAAAGAAAATCGGCGATCAACAGTCATGCGGCAAAACGAATGCACTTGAAGCGGAGGCAGTCGCGGAAGGAACAACTCAGTAGAAATGAAATGTCTGTATTGATGTGGCAAGGCCTGACACCAAGGGGTCTTATCAACGGAAACAGATCTTGGTGGACGAATACCGACTCCAAAAATGCTGGCATGGCAGTCAAGGCTCGAACAGCACAAGGGTTGACTAATTACAGTTCGTCAATTCCTACATCTTTTCCATCGATCCATTGCTCAGTGTCGATACCTCGGGGGAAGGATCTGGATACAAGCCTGGCGAATGGGCAAATCTTCGACAAACGTTCACCACTCAACTCCAAAGGATGTCTCACCGCACCAAAATTTGCTCAGAATTGCTATTCAAACAGCTTCGCCGCTCAAAAGGATCTAAAACGACCTCCCTCACCTGAAGCGTCCGATACTCAGTTGATCCACGATTGCGCTTTTGGATTTTCGACAGATTTCAATAAGAAGGATGAGAGCTACTCAAGATCAGAGAACACATATCCAACCGATTGCTCTGCTAAGCCAGGACAGGCTGAAAAGATGAGGATGACGCCAACATCTCTCCTTGGATCAGGCAAGCATGATCCATTTGCCATGTGTTCTTTCACGAGCACAAGAGAAGACTACAAGCTTTTTCATTTCTGTGAGCACTGTCTCCTCCCCTTCCCGCTTGTGGGAACAGAAGAGCTGATATACACTTGTCAGTTCACAATACCGTCACGGAGATCGTTTACCGTTTCGGTCTGGCGGCACCTTTATTCTACTTACGACTAGTTTCACAACAATTCATCCACGATGAGGCTGTCATACAACTGATTCTGGCACTTTCGAGTTATGCCTGGTCCAACTTATTCGGAAAAGACGAATGCTACGAGAGAAAGGGGCTGATGCATAAAATCAAGGGTATGGAGCTCGTCATCAAGAAGCTGGGACATCCACAATCCGCCATCTCAGATAGCACTATTCAGGCAGCAATCATCTTATCCGCAATTGAGGTGAGTATTAATGCTGAAGTACCCATTAGAACGTACTAAAGTACGCCCTTCAGAGTTGCACGGGAAATATAGAAGCTTTCAAAACCCACCTCTCGGGAGCAAGGCTGATGGTCAAAATGCGAGGAGGCCTCGATAGACTCAGTCCTTTTCTGTTATGGCAAATATGCTCGTAAGTCCATTTCGTTCCACCGCTTCTGGGGCTTAGAGTCCTTACTTACAAGCTATTCTGTTCCAGGAGCGAGCCACGTATCTTCGAAACTGCTGGTGTAGAGATGTTCCCTTGCACGGATCGCCACTTCGGCTCCTTCCTTCTAGAGTGCCGGCCAGATGTTGCCATGAAGCATGCTGCCTTCAGCAGAACACCACCATCCGCCAAGCAACCCGCTCAGGAAGTGCTGGAGCTTTTTGAGCCTCTTGACTTACCTCCAACTCTTTATTTCTCAGCCTGCGTCACTGAATTTTTGTTAGTTACGAAACAGTTCAGAGAGCTGAGCGAGACAAGAAATCAGGTCCTGGCAAATCGATCTGGCCAGTTTCAGTCGCCATACGCTTCAGCACGGTGCATATCAGTACCCAACGCCCTTCATTCGCCACTTCATTCGATCCTCAATCCAGACTGCACTGTCCTGGAATCGTACAAAATAAATCAAAGCCCGACACCGGCAACCCTATACAACCACGACACCACCAGAATAGTGTGTTTATTCTACATCCATGCTACACTCTGGAGGTATAGACATGAGCCAGAGCAGACGGATGCATATATGCAGCATGTTGTGCGGGACGTACAGCACAATGGGCTTGAGTCGAGCAAAAGCCTAGATGCGCTAAACTGGGTGCTGGTCTGGCTTTGCCTGAGCGACGAATTTCTGAAGGCAAACAATAACGAAATGGGATGGCAGGAGCTAACAAGATTGATCTTGCGGTTGGTGCGTGTTACGCGGAGGCTGAGCAAGCAAATCCACAGGGACCTCGAGCTTGCCATGTTTGAAAGCTTCCTAGGCAAACAACGTTCATTTGTGGCTGGAGGCGTTGATTGTATGCAGCATTTTGACACAACCACTGATGATTGCAGGTGGCCTGATCCCGAGGCAGTCTGGAAGGAATTCATGGGATAGTCGTCGCCAGCTCTGGAGAGTTCAAGATGTACAAGAAAATACCGGGAATATATCCAGAATGACGAGGCTTGAGTAGCTAGCCTCGACAACCATTCACGCCAAGGCATCCTTTTAACGAGTACCCGAGTGCTAATCCACTTTGCACGGCATCTTCCGCTCAGTCAAAAGCGTTGGAAATAGTTGTGTGGTGCTAAACGACAGATCTTTCACGGATCTAGGAAACCCAGCCGCCGCTAGTGAGGTAGGGCTTGGGAAGCTCATCCTCATGGTCCACATGAGGGGAATGGGGTCTAGCACAGGATAGGTGAGCCTCGAAAACTGAACATACTTATGAGATTATTTTTGGAGGGGTTGCCATGCCGCTGAAGCAATTCAAAGACGGAGCATTAGGTCGATATATGCGTGGCATGATACCGAGATATTTGCAACCGCTAAGTCCACCATACTCTGCGAAACGGCACATCTGTTCCGTCGATTTGTTAGTCAGGGCCAATTGCGGTCGGTATGCCTCGCTAGTTAGGCTTTGCTGACTCGGTGCAGGAGATGCTTATTAAGTCTTGGACTTCAGCCACCACACACATTCTGTCTTCAATTAAGCCTCAGAGCCTAAAACAGCTTGGAGGTTGGCGGATGAGTAATTCGGCCAGGAACTTGTCACAGGAGACCAAGTTCACTAGTATCGCAGCCTCCATTCGGTCTACTCTTCGCCCGCTACAATGCACACAAGGCGGGAGCCTTTCGATCATCTTGCAGCAGCAATCAGCAGCAGGACCGAACAAAAGCTTAGGCCGGGTCTGAGCAGATGCCAAGTTACCCAACTAACTTGATGCCAACTAGCGACAGCTTAAGCTGAACGAGGAATAAGCGAGACGGCACAACCATGAGTGAACTCTGATACGGAGTACTCTGTAGGGTGCGCAAGCCTATTTAGTCGACGTGGCCCCCGACCCAGTGTCTCAATTCGCGAGTCTAACCAAGGGAACGTCGTACTCGCATCTCCCGCAGTTGCTCTGCCGCACATCATGGTAGTTCTCTTTCTATATCACCAGAGGCATTTACCACTTCGACAGAGTCCGTGATGAGAATTGCCCAGCCTACTCACGGCAACAGGTGATCTTTGCATGATCGTCATCAATTTTACGATGGATCCTATTCAGCTATGCTTTGTCGATGGCCGTCCGCGCAATCCAACCCAACGGGCAAAAGAACTGGTTAGCTCGACAATTCGATCGCATAATGCCAGGGTCGCCCACGCAAAGCGGGGCAGTAATGCCACGGCACATTTAGTCGAACAGCAGTCTGCCTCGAATAAGCCGTTGGTCAGTCGTTTTCGCATAGCTCCCGCATCTGGGCGTGATCGAGACCACCAAGCAGCGGACCATGAGAAGGCCTTGAAGCGTACTCAGACTGTTGCCAACGCAGAAGCGAGGGGCCATTTTCAGAGCAAAGAGTGGCTATGTGCCATGCTGCATCGACAATGGATGGATGCAATCTGGACCCCTTTCTCGCCTCATGTTCCAAAGCATGTTGCAATATGTGCGCACTCCTTGATTTCTTTAGTAATGCTCGCTTTTATTTCTCTGTCTTTCTGGATATGGGTCTAACACTTCTCCATGTAGATCAACAAATGATCGTACCCACCATACAGCTCGCGTTTGAAGTATTTCATGTCCGGAATACTCACAATTACGAGTTTCTTCAGTGGATGACGCGACCCACGACGTCGGGGTACCATGCTGGCGCGGCCGGCTTGCAGCTCCTCTACGACCAGCAAGTCTCACCTGGCTGCGGTCAGACTCGACAATGTCTCTCCCACAAAGTGAAAGCGTCTGCAATCTTAAGGGGGACGTTGTCTCATTCTCCAACGAGGGTACCTGACGACGAATTGCTCGTTATCTTGTCCTTGGCGACGGTGGAGGTAAGGGTGAAACTTCATTCCGACATTGCACGCTATCCTCCCTAACAATCTGATTAGCGAACAGTAGACATGGAGGTTCACCAATATCATCTCGAGACACTGGCGAAGATTATTGCCGCTCAGGGTGGCATGGATTTGGTAGCTGATCACCCTAAATGCACAATACTCCAGTAAGTACGATATCTCATAACTCGCAAACGCACACAAAAGGGAAGGATAAAGGGAAGCCAATGCTCTGTACCTAACTAACGCGGATATTCATTCTTCAGGTTCGACGCGTGGTGGAGCCTGTCTACAGGACTTCGATACTTTTCTTCTCCGCGTTTTCTCCCTCAACCCGAGGCGGAACCGGAAATATTGTCTACTCAATTCCAGCACCAGATCTACGAAATCCCGAGGGGTTTCCGCACCTTCGTGATGGAAGGAAAATGGTCCAGCAGCACGGTTGAGATTCTCATCCGTCTCGCGTATGTCTACCAAAGGAGGAAACTCCAGAGAGATGAGTCGGGATGTATCGTCGGCCTCCCTCACACGGCCCAACCGGTCTGGCGAACTTTCCAAGAGGCATGTCCTGCATTGGACGCGCCAGGCGCAGGCAATGAGAAGCTGCTGGCGCTGTCGCTGGTTCTTTACTGTGGGATTGGCTTCGATTCAGCGCCTGTGTCGAGCAACGGAGGTCTCGCATCGAGAGGTGCACTTACCAAAATACTCACCCTGTGCGAGCTGCCATCAGAGTCGTCAGACGAAGTGTCTCTTCTCTTTTGGGTATGGATGGTGACCATATGCGCGTGGCACAATGCCTCTGGGAACGGGTTCTTGCCACCCGGTGTCGACCTGCTTCTGAAGTTGCGCCAGAGGTTTGTAAATGTCGAGGATTGGGATGCTGCAAAAGAAATATTGGAGGCTTTCTTCTGGAACGACAAGCTTAGCGAGCTATGCAAGGCAAAGTTTGAAGGAACGTGTCTTGGTTAAATGCACAGGACTTACTGAATGATATCTATAGGGCCTGGGGTAGGCATCAGTGTACCTACAATTCACAAAGGCTGGAATATCTCTGATGAACAGAGTAGCAGCGCACCGTTTGACATTTTCCCAGCTGGGTCACGGTTCAATGGCACAACATTGCGTAGCCTTGTCCAGCATTCACTCGCGTGGCTGCCTAGCGGGCCCCCGGATGGCTCAATCAGAGGACATGCAGCACAGTGACAGAGAAGCTACAACGAATATCAAGGTATTCTAAGAGAACAGTTCAGGCTGATTCCAACGGGACTACGACCACCTATAAGCGGAAGAGACAAGGCGTGCTGGAAAACACATGATTGAACAGCAGTGCCTAGCTTGTATCGGCAACGGCACCTGGAGGGTGGTCGCCACAGACTTGACATTTAATATGTGCTAACAGCAAACTGGACGTTTTCAGGGGTCAAACAGTTACCTGTTCGATGTTAGTATCTTCTGGAATCCCAACCCGGTTTAGGTGACGGACGGAAAAGGGTAGGAGCGGACCTCCAGCCAGACGGCCCTAGGAGACGTACGACGTACTGGAACACCAGATCCAGGGAGGAGTCTAAGGGCACCTTCCATTCACCGGATTTGTATCGAGGGTGCATCTTCCTTCTGCCTGAGACTGGGTATCCAGTAGACACCAAAAAGACCGCGCTAAGTACCACAATGCTTCGCAGCTGATGCCCAACACCGCATTATCAAGTGCATCTACGCCGTGTTGTTCTGGATTTGCTTTGGCGATTTTCTCGCTCTTGTCCAGGAATTTTTTTCAAATTCGGCAAGTGGTTAGACGGACTACGTTTACCGCCTGAGCCGCCTTTGCATTTGGCTGCCAAGGCGCGAAGCAAGCCACCAATCGATACCGGGCTGTTGGGCTGAAAATCCCCTTTAAGCGAGGCGTCGGCTAGCTTCAGGAGGCAACCAACAACAAAAAACTCCTTCCCGTCTAATCACCCTCAGCCGCAGGCTCCCAATGCGGAAACCGTTTGCTACCTGACGCCCGCTCGTCGCCACGGATAAACCAATGCGCGATTCCAGACTTGGCGAATGGTGTGGCTGGTCCAAGGCTGGCGCTCATGGATCGACAGCTATGGGCTGTACGATATTGTTACCAATGGAGTGCGCGTGCAGCGCGGCCTAGACGGCATGGGTCTCAGCCAGCCAGCCCTGTCCCTCCAGCAGGTGTAGGTAGGTATCAATTTCTTCGACTTCGGCGCGGGCGAACGCCTGAGCCATGAGCTCAAACTATAAAGAAGGCCCAGGAGCGTTCAGATAGAATGTTGAACCAGTTCGCCTGCACTCTCTCCACATACATCAGCAATGGCCGACTTTCTCAAGGAGACGCCCGCAGGGCAATTTCTTCGACTGATCGGTTGCCGGTCTGCTAACCTCTTGTATCCCGAGGAGAAACCCGGCTTCGAGCCTGCCGCTGCCGGTCTACCTATTGTCTGCGAACGGGCACCCTCCCCTGCTGAAAGCGACCTCGAGAAAACGCTCTCCAAGCTATCTGCAACCGTCCGTGCTTCTGAGAAGTGCGAGACATCACCCAACCCGGACAATGAGGCCATCATCGTGTCCTGGACCGAGCACGATCCCGGAAATCCTCGCAACTGGTCCCAGGCTAAGAAGACGTGGACGCTTGTAGTTGTCAATTTGTACACTTTTTGCGTCTACTGTACGGCGTCCATCATCACACCAACTGCAGAGGCCATCCAGCAGCGATATCATATTTCTATTCTGGTAGCGAGCATGGGCCTATCCTTGTATGTCGTTGGTTGTAAGTTGTTGACACTATCCTGTCGGAGCTCTACAGTCTTGTCCTAACTCTGCTATAGATGGGCTGGGGCCTATGTTCCTTTCTCCCATTAGCGAAATTCCCCGTGTCGGCAGGAATCCCCCTTATCTCTACTCCTTTGTGGCATTCCTCGTCGTCTCCATTGCCCTTGCCTTCGTCGACAATTTCCCTGCTATTATTGTTCTTCGATGGTTGCAGGGTCTCTTTGGCAGCCCCGCCTTGGCCAGCGGCGCAGCGTCGATCGAAGATATATACGACATTTATAGTGCTCCATACGGGTATGTATGGTGGATTGCAGCGATGTATTGCGGCCCTGCAGTTGGCCCGTTGATGGCTGGATACGCCGCTCCTCGTGATTGGAGATGGCCGGTGAGCCCCCTCTTCGATATTATATTCTCTTGTCAAACGGTTGTATTTACTAACCGAGTTTCCCAGCTGTACGAGGTCATTATCATGTCAGGGGTCATTCTGTTCCTGCTACCGTTCTTGCCGGAGACGTACCCAGGCGCCATCCTCCTCAACCGAGCAAAGCGACTTCGCAAGGCAACAGGTGATGATCGATACCGGGCACAGAGTGAACTACATCCTATTCCTTTCAAGACTGTCCTCTGGGAAGCCCTCGTTCGACCCTTGGAGATCACCATGAAAGATCCCGCTGTTCTCTATGCGGCACTCTACGGAGGCCTCGTTTATGCAACATACTATTCCTTCTTCGAAGCCTTTCCACTGGTCTACCTCGGCACCTACCAAATGTCTCTTGGCCAGCTCGGACTGATATTCCTGGGCTTGATGACTGGCTGTATCGTCGGGCTGACCTGCTACTACGTCTACCTCCGCCGCTGGTTCATCCCGAGGGCTCGAAAGTACCACGCCGAGAAAGGCAAGCCTGTGGAACAGGAACAGTGGCTGCGGCCTGGCATGGCGGGTGTCTGGGGCCCTCCCATCGGGCTGTTGCTGTTCGCTTGGACGGCCCGCGCAGACGTGCATTGGATAGCCCCCACGATCGGCATCAATATCTGGGCTGCGGGTAGCTTCTGCATGTTTCAAAGCATTATTTGCTACATCGCGCTGGCGTACCCAAAGTACGTGGCCTCGCTGTTTGCGGCCAACGACTTTGTGCGGTCCATGATGGCCGCCGCCTTTGTGCAGTTCTCGAGGCCCATGTACGTTAATCTCGGAGTCGACAAGGGCGTCACCGTCATCGCAGGCCTCTCCGGGGTCGGCGTCGCCGGCATGTACGGGCTTTACTACTTTGGCGGCTTCCTTCGAGCCAAGAGCAAGTTTACTAGCTGAACTGATGGCGGATGGATATGCTCGTGGGCATGTATATCGCCCATGAGCGATGAGCGTTGATTCGAAGATAGGAGTTGGTAGTACTTGGAGCGGTACGAAGAATGTCTTGATAGTTCAGAATTGGAACTTCCATCGTTATCGTTATCATTTCCATCGCCATCATTAATCTGATGGCTGTCTCAATTGCTGAGTATTTCAGCATCGTGCATGGCCCTGCATCGTGCGTGCCTCGTTCAGCAGGATTTGGAGTTCGTATTCGCCCCCGAGCCCAGCTAACGCCCAAATCTGCCACCCGTGCTGCCCAGGGACCATGCCGTACCATCACCATCCTCCGCCGGTGTTTTCTTGTTATTCAACTGTGTATGCCGCTGTGGTTATCCCGGCCTGACTCGTGGGCCTTTCTGCGCGTGATGCGCTCTAGAAGCTGCATAGGCCCCGTCAGCCTGCCAGGGGACGACCATTTCAGTGTTGAGGCTCTGTTGTCCAGCGAGGCTCTGAGAGAGGCAGCGCTGTCCTCGCACCGCCCAAGAGCACCTCTGTCTTCTCATGAAGTGGACAATAGCTAACAGGCCACCATGTTGGTATCCACTCTTCGTTCAGCAACGGGGTTTGGGAACGACTTTGTCTGGTGCCGGATTCCCAGCCAACTCGCCTCAATGTCACTGAGCCAGGTCTGCCTAGTTGCAGGCCAGTTTTGGACATGCTTGTTTCTCGTCGATTTCGTGTGCAGGTGGCGAGCAGAGGAGACATCGTCACCTTGGTCCGGATTAGAAGCGAATTTTGGGTTCCAATCTTGGAGGCTAGGTGTCATCGCTCTGCAGAGATCTTCCCAATGGCCTTTCATTGCCTTGGCCTGACCTTGACTTGGAATGCCCCTGGATAGGGCATTTCAGCTGATGAGACACCGCACACTCACCAATAGGATTTGTTACAGTTGTAACAAGTCACTAGACGAAGAGAGCACATGATATTCATTGGTCACTTGGAGTTGTCCAAGTCAGTCTTTTGATATTTGCGATGAGGATTAGCGAGGTGGACATGTCGGAATCAGAAGGCAGAGCGCGCATCAGCGCCTGAGATAGCTGAACTTCTCTCTAATCATACCGGGATTCTTGCGTTTGAACTGCAGCTTTCGAAGAACCTGATAGGAGAAATGCTCGTTCCAGAAGAACTTTTCGGAGATCCTGATTCGCTGCATCCAACTGTGCTTTAATTCTTGCTCGTCCAAGATCCTCATGCCAAGCGACCATGTCAATGCTTCGATGTGGGAGCTTGCCAGCATCATCATGCCTACCCAGGTCAGCCACTCTGCTTGGTGGCTCCGTCGGTGGGTGCTGTCGGGGAACAAGAAGCTCGCGGGAAGGAGACCGGTATGGACCTGGAGATATGCCAGATTCAGAAAGCGTCCGCGTTCGCTATAGTCCATCATTGAGCAATACGCTTGCAAGGCCATCAGGAGAAATTGGTCTTGTAACGGCAGGTGAGGGTTCTGAAGCAATTCAAAGCATTTCGTCCCGTTGGTAAGATTCGCTTCAATCAGCGTGCCATTCAAGGACGGGTGACTTTCTGCGTCTTCGGAAGTATTTGCTTTTGCGGCATCCACCCATGCTGCAACATCAGAGATTATGTCGATCACTGCAATCAGCGGACGTTCGTTTATACAGACCTCTTCAAATGCTCGCGGGAATTTAGCTATCTGGGCACAGATAGCCGGAGGATATGGGTGAACGGGGCGACTAAGGCCTTTGAATGTGTAAGTTGAGATTCCTTGACGACGGACGAGTGCCCGTTGGCATTCTGCATGCGTGATAAAGCTGAGGAGGATCGATAATGTAAGCCGGACTGGGTCCCAGAATCGAGGGCGCGCACACACCTGTCAGTTACATTTGCAAGCCAGCCGTCGAATCCTAGTTGATGGGCTCCCCCTCTGCGAGCAATTGCCTCGATTATGGCCTGCAAATGCATCCAGGCACTTTCATAGTTGAATGTCAAGTTCTATACTTGGGTCAACTTCCCAAGTCTTGTCTCGGAATAGAAGGGAGTTTTACGTCAAAAGTGGCCAGAAAGATCATCGTACAAATGACCACATCGGACACCTTATCATCTGCCGATTGTAGGTATTGACGGAGAAGTCGAATGGTTACGTCGTACATTCCCTTTGCCTGCGGAGACGGGCTAACGTGTTGTCGGTCCATCAGATCGAACTGCAACATGGAATTTGCCAGCAATGCGGCAAACGACAACTGGTTGCTGAGAATAAGGGGAATATAATGACGAAGAACTGGCAGATCCTCTGCAACGCCATGGAATTGGAGTCTCCGGAATGTGGCAGGTGCATAGATGTCAATGTCTGTGATATTCTATCAACAAGGTTCTTGCACGGCTCCAATTAAGCGGAGGACTCACAGTATCTGCAGGCAGTTTTAGCCATTCCCTCAACTCTGATAGGGAAGACGTCCAGCGGCAAGTGCGTCAGCGTTGATTGTCGCCGATGAGCTTTTAAAAGACTCATGTCATGACCGCGCTCGGACTTCGACCCTTCCTGTTCCTCCTCCTTCGGAGGCACCGTCAGATCTTGATGCGGGCTCGCCATTCTCTGCGATGGTTCACAAAGTATGTTATGGCTGCATTTGGGCTCATGCCATCTCACATGGTCGTCGTCCTCGAGGCTGGTTGCTGCGCGCTCAAGACGATGGCTTTGTGGCTCCTCTTCGGATGGGGACAAAGGCGTTATGCACCTAGAGATCGAAGGCTTTTTGATAGCCCTTTTGGACTAGCGGAATGGCGCTGAGGAATTCCCGGGCATTGCACGCACCGAAAATGTGATAGAGTCTCTTCCAGACTAGGCGCAAGGAAGACGGATAATTGAGTGAACCCCCGTTGCGCACGAAAGGGTCTGTTTGTGTAATATTTGCATCGGTCTGATTACCTCAGCGAGGTCCAATTGGTTCTAGCGGTCGTCTCGTATTGATGTAGCAGGAGTTCGGGGAGTGGCCGATGGCGCCTGGGGAGTAATACGAGCAAAGGGACATCACCAGCCCATCTAGCTTTTCGAAAGGGGCCTTGGGGCACGAGCGTGTCTGGGCAAACTGGTCGTTTCCTAAAAAGGTTGGAGGATACACGTCTCGTTATTGGCTCGGCTGTGGAAGCATCAAGCCAGAGGGTTTCCATGCCAATCGAACTGACAAGCAACAAGAGAGTTGGAGGTGGATAGGTTTCCCATTCTCTCAATATCGTGGCGATCAATCGATTACCAAATCCGTAACTGTAACGACGGAAAAGGCGGCGGATGGCCCGTGGAGCTTCGAGGAAGCGGATGCCAAGGTCAGAACAGCCTTTTTTACCCTTCTATCCCGTTCATCGAGTCTCGAAAGAGGGAGTCCTTTGGGGAAGGTGGCCCGTTTTGATAAAATTGACGAGCGGCGGAGAGCCTCCGAGTCGCCTCTGCAGGGGAGCTGTTGGTGCTAACAGCGGGTGGCACCCGCGTCGTTAGTCATCGCATGAAGGGTGTGCAACGGTCTATGAGCCTGACTAAGAAGCCCAGCCTTGCCGGCATTGGGTGGCCACGGTTGCAGCTTTCGTCTCCTCTCACCCCAGTATTCGGAGTACATCTGAAGGCACTTAAGCTGAACCAACAAGGCTTCTGGGCGAGGCCTCTGGTTGCCAGGCGGAGGGAATAAGATAAACAAGGCTGAAAATATGGGATGAAAGGTGTGTTGGGAGTGAAATAAAGAACTAGAGAAAGATAAAGGGCGGACACAACAAGTGAGGCAGTATGAATCGTGGAGATGCATTCGTGGTGAATAGAGCATTACCCTCGTTTCCAGAAGACCGCCTCTAGGCCGTGTGAACGAGCTTCTCCGCCCTTTGTGGCCGCATTGTTCACCAGTTCCTGCCACCTGGTCCATTTCAAGGTCGCACGTTGACGTGCGAATCTCCTGCTCCTCTTGTACAGAGCTATGACACGCTTGTTGCATTTGATGTGCTTGTCCCAATGCCAAATCGCAAGGCGCTTCTGAGGGATGGTGCGGTCTGAGGTTTGCTGGAGGGATTGGCGGCAGCTGAGGTGCCGGAGGGAGTTCGAGGTTGGTGTATGCAAAGGAGGTCCCTTGGCTCCTGTAGTTACTTGCTTTGACCCGGAATCAGAGCTTGGAATAGGAGCCCAGGCTTTGAGTATACGGATGTTTGGTCTTTCAACTTGGCTTCACGCAACTCTTTGCTAGCGGTCTCAGGAAAGATTTCATCAGCACTCCTCGCCTCTGCTTTCATCCCGTCAGGATTGAACCCATGCTGCTTCGCAAAACCATCTTGCTCGGATGGGTGCCGGAACGTAGGTCCTTGGGTCTGGGCGCGAATCATGGTCAGGGCCTTTTCCATCCCAAATCGTTCATGAACACTAAAAAATCGAGCCCACTCTTCCACGTCTTGCGTCTTCGGAAGCCAGCATGCCACGCGTTCGATCACATGCATTTGCATGATAAGACGGGTAAGTTCGGAGATAGGGAGTCGAGGAATTGCGGGACGGGATTGTTGGTACGAAGGAGTCGAACACGTCTGTGAGCTCGTGATATGCCAGAACATGCAGCCCCGGACTCAGAGAGCGATCGGCCATGCGGTACACCTGGAGCCAGAAGAAATCTTCATGCCAGAGCTGAATGGCGACCTTGTAGGTCCTATCACGCCTCCAAATCATTCCCGTATAAAGTTAGTCGACATAAAAGGCGAAAGATTTTGGGCTCTTCTTGGGGTAACTTCATCTCTTGTCGTTTCTCTTCCACGAATGCCCCTGAGAAGGCTCGCTCGAAGAACTTTGAGGATGCACATAAGAGAGTTCTGTGAAGGACGACTTCCTCCTTCTCATTTTCTGGACCAACAACAAGTTTGACCATACGAGTACCGCGGTCGACATTTGGTCGGTTTTCCATTTGGGACAAGGAGAGCCCCGAACGTGAGGCACTGAAACTTGGGCTGAGGAACTGAGTGTAAGGAGACTGGCAAGGAGGATTTGACAAGCAGAGCGTGAAGGCGGTGTTGTGGATTTGCTTTCGTATTGCAGAGCAAAGAGGGACTGAAATGAAAGAAATCATGTCCTAAATGAAATGTGGAAGGCGCCTTGAGGGAAAACGAAACCCAGTGCTGCCAAACTCAGTTACAATCAGTGCCCAACGCAGCGCCGACCGACAAAGTCCATCACCCGATAGACTTCGAGAAGCAGCAGAAATTCCTTGCTTCTCTTCCTTCGTACAGTTCTCTGAAATCCATGCCGACTATCCCAATCATGGGTACATCATCTGGCCAGGACTTACATAGGGCTGCTTGGTCTTTGGATCCATACCCGTCGTTCTTACAATGGCCTCCTTGTCTTCTTGGATCAAGGCACAACATCCACACCAGCAAGATGTGCAGAAATCGCCGAAACTGCCCCCCTCGATACCATATCTGTCACGTGTGGAGCCTCGATTAATGCATTGTAGGATGCATTGCCCTCCAATGCACGCTAAGCAGTAGAATGCACAGCACTTTGGTAAGACGTCAGCCCGTTGGAACAGATATAAGGCAAGCATCCAGAAGGAGGTAGAAAGGCTTAGCAAGGCGACGAGACTAGTAAATAAATAAAAATAAAAATACCTGTCCGTTGATGCCACTAGAATCATGATCCCCCTTGTAACGGTCTTGTGTCTTGCCGTAAAGGATGCATGGACACCAACACGCCAGACAACCTGTTCCGCAAGATCAAAGTCAGTAAGCAATCCTTTCACAACGGCTTGTTTAAGTTGTAACATACACGTGCCGAATGGAGAGAAGCAGTCGAAGAGACCAAATGACCATTTTCCCTGAGTACCACCAGGGTACGCTCCAGCAGCCCCGTTCATTGGTTTTTCGTGGGCCATTCCGTTGGGTTGCTGTGCCATTGTCGTCCTTTGATGGAAAAAATATGTTGAGTGAGAGTATATGAACAAGGCCAGCAAGCTCAGGGATAATTAACGACAGCGACACAAAGGACAAGAATGGGGAAGCCTCAGGGTTCAAAACGACAAGTCAATCGAGGAAAGGAAGGTATTAGCATATATCAGTAATCCAAGAGCATAATTTCGGGTAGCCGTTGATCGAACACTCCAGGAGAGACGCGGACTGGATTGATCGTCTTGGGAGTTTCCTTGAGACTCTATTTCGATGGGAAAATTTGGCTTCAGCTGAAGAACGAGTTCGGCCCCCTACTGGGCATGGATATGGTTCTTGCAGGAGTGACGATGGCAGGGTTGTCAGCCTCCTGCCCCTTAGGCCGTGCAAAGGCACGTCACCGCCCACTGGGACGTATCATTGGACGAAAAGACTATGAGGGACTCGGATATGGCTTGGGGAGGAATAACTAGGGCTGATGAAAGGGGTCCTGATGTCGGAACTCTGGTCGCCTTAAAGTTTCAGCAGGATGGTGGCCGATTACCTAAAATACGGAGCTGGAAAGGCCATGCGTCTTTGCCGTGAGAATTGAATACATTGACGCTGGTCCAGAGCGGTCCACAACCTTGTGGATCAGCGAGACGGATACTGGCTATTGCGACTTGTGGAGATTTGACCCAGAAGGCGGCCCTGTTGGATTTTGGAACCTGACAATCCTGGCTACTTCACACTTTTTAGATGCTATCATAGTTGCCCTGAGCTCGAAGTTAATGAATTAGGAGAACCTGGGCTCTCTCAGAGTCGGCTCTCGGGATGAGCTCACAAGCGTTTGACTTTCGCAAGCCAACAGTGCGGCCTCTTTCACAAGTACGGGTGAGCTGTGAAAAGTCGCAGAGTTCCCCGCGGCCACACAAGCCCCTGAGAGAGCAGATGCAGCAAAAGCTCTTGCGTGACGGGACCGCCTCCCAAGGCACATGATTGTCTTAGCTTGTGGCTCGTCGATTGACGCCCGAGCTTGGTTTCAAAAGAGCGCTTTTTCAATAATTTCGTGTTTGGAAAAAGGATCTCCCTCCTCATTAGCGAAACCCCACAATTGGGGGCTGAAAAGGTCTAAAACTGAGAAAAGGAGGTTGAGACGAGAAGTGGTTCTATCATATCCGTCAAATCGACGAGAGCGGCGTCATTGAATTAGGTATCAAGTATCTCGTACGGAGTCGTAAGTGGCACAGAAGACAGATAGTAGATTTCGCTGGAGGTACTGCTGCTGCTGGCCTGACTGCGATCCGTACTGGGAAAATTTCTGACTTTCTGAGACTTGTGGAATGACGGAACAAAAGGGAACTTGTGTCGGTGTACTCGGTACCGAGTAGGTTCCCCTGACCTCCTTAAAACTGGAGGCTCTTACCTTGGGACATCTTTCGTCGCCGTGAGACTATTTGATGCCGAAACGTCTCTGGGGTGGCCTTTCAACATTCCATTTACTCAATCCACTCATTCTCATAAATGGTGTCGCCTTCCGCGGGCGATTTCTGACCGACAGTTATACTTTTGGCCGCATTTCTAGAGGTTACTCGTACAAAGTTTGTCCTCTGGGTTGAGTCATTCGAGACGAAACTCAGATAGGCAGACTGCAAATGTGCACCGTGGGAAAGGTTTCAGAGTTGAGGGTTGTTGCATTTGGCCCCAATCTGATGCCTCCAGCTGTGGCGGCCGGAGTACTGTAAGGCCGCCAGATAATTCCATTCTGAAATTCATCGTCCTGGGATTCAGTCACGAGACATCCATTAATTCGTTGTCATCAACATTCGTGTTTCCGTTCGATGAAGCGTGCATTGCGTGTGCTCGGTTGTATTCCTCCCTCATAGTCTCCAAAATCTTCTGAATCTGCGCCTCGCCTTCTTCGCCGGGAAAGCGTTCCTCTAGCTCCTCTACAACAAGAGATAGGAATTGACGGTCATCGGGGTCCAGGGGCTCTTCCTCTCCTTCTGCAGTTCTTTGACCGTTGGTCTCGTCAGCGGCGGCGGCGTCATCATCGTCATCGACGTCGTCACCCTCACCGGTGACCCCCTCCATTTGTGCATTATCATCTGCGGCCTGTTGCTGTTGTTGCCCTCTTGGTAATCCCAACCCCAAATTGATCAACATCAAGGCTTCTGTCTTCGTCAAGCCAAAGGCGCGCAACCTGGGCACGACATTTTTGATGAATGTCTCGATCGGAGGGTATTTGGTGATGAAAGGGACTGTATTCGTGACATAATGCTTAAACTAGACGGATATTATGCCAAGTTAGCTCTTCTCTCTGATTTGCCTCTTGTAGAAGTTTCCTGATCTCAGGGTGGTAATCTCGCTCCTACAGACATACATCGTCTAGCACTCGCTGGTTGTCCTTCAAATCAATCTGCTTGTAGGAGCCGATTTTCCTTGGCGGAGGGCGAGACGGCTTTTGGCGGAGAAACTGATACACTTCGGGGGTTGTCAGGAGAGCGGACTGGGGGTCGAGGACCTGAGGACGTGAATGTTGTCAGCAATGTTCCCTTTGGGTCTGATCGGAGGCGGCAAGGTCATCAAAGGGAACATACTCTCATTTTCACGAATTTCCTGCCCTCTACCTCCCTGAATTCATATCAAATATGTAGAAGCATCCACTCCAATTTGCTTTTTATCGAACAATCATTCTGAGAAGCGTGAGGTGCTTCTCGAGTAGCAACCCGAAGAATCTCTCGAGGGCGCAGGCGAAGGTGCGGAGAAAAATTTCCAGGATCGAGATTCGCTGCGGGGAAACATCAGCCTGATGGGACTGGCGAGGCTGCGAGGCTGCGAGGCCGCAGGTTTGTCACATGGCGAGCGACGCATTGCTTTTCATTCCGAGATTTTTATAGCAGGACCCAACTACCTTGCTCCATGAAGGCTATCCGTGCATTCAAGCGGAAATGCCAGCAATAGGCGGGTCGTCTAAAGTAGGCTTACGGAATGTCATACCCTTGTGCTTGTAGATTGTACATTTTCTCGTCGACACATTCCTCCAACCGCCTAGAACTCCCACCCCACCGACGCCATGCAGTAACCTGAGATGCAGAAAGACAAAAGACAGCGTGGATACCAGTCAGCAAATTATGCCTTCTCTTTCCGCTTCTTCTTCTTCTCTGACTTTGATGTGTCGGCCTCGTCTTCCACTCGTTTTCGTTTCTTGGACCCCTCAACCTCACCGTTCGCCTCCTTTGCTGCAGCCTTCTCAGCCGCCTTCCTCACCTTCTTCACCTCCTTCTTCGAGACCGCTACAACCGTGCCATCCTCTTGAAATTGGATCTCGCCCCGCGCTAGCTTCCTCTTGTATCTTTCCACGCTCAATCCACACTGGGCAGCCAAGGCTCCGATCTTATCCTCGTGGCCAGCCGTTGCCGCCTTTTCTGCCTGGACCTTCTTCTCTTTCTTGGCAGCCTTGCGAGCAGCCTTCTCTGCATGCTTCCTTTCTTTCGCAGCTTTCTTGGCTTCCTTTTTCGACAAGCCATTGACCCCATTGACAGCAGACGGCACAATGGCTTCGACCTCTGCGCTAGCTATTGATTCATCAGGTTGGGACTCGGCATCATCGTTATCTACCTCGCCGTCCTCTTTCATGTCCGCATCTTCAGGAATCTCTTCCACGAGCTTCTTTTCCTTCTTGGATTTCTTCTGCTCTTTAGCTGGAGCCTCATCACCGGCCAACCCATCGGCATCGGGGTTGTATTTCCGTGCCTCCTTAATCTCCCACTTCTTTGGTTGTGGTGTGGTAGTCACGCCATTGGGGCCAATGGCGACTCCCCGAGGTTTGAGCGGTTTGCCCTCCATAGCGGCTAGTTTGCGTTCTAGGTTCGCTCGCGCTGATAAACCAAGAGCGGCCTTCTCATCTTCGGGAATATTGACTTCATCGTCTCCCCAATCTTGCAGCGCATCTACTCTTAGCCCGAGTGCAGCTTTGGCAGCAAGCACTCTGGCCATCTTGCCCTTGTTTCTGCCAGTGGCTTGGCCAATCAAGGATGCATGATAGATGAGACCATATTTAGGGGTGTCGTGCTTTGTCTTCAGTGCGCGGAAGAGTGCCTTCTCAGCTCCGAGGATTTGTATAGTACTCGCCGGGCTTTTGGATAAATTCATCAGACTGCCAGCATGGGCTATGAGTCGGGCACCCACGAGATCACCGACAAGGGTTGTTAGATTGGGAGCGATGGCCATCATTCTCGCCGAAAGGTAGCTAGCAAGCTGTGTGCGGTATTCTGTGAACTGAACCACCTGCTCGGCCAAGCTTTGTATGTTCTCCAAATCTTCGTCTGTGATTTCCGTTCCCATTGACCTGTCAGCGGCCGCCTTGACTGCGGCTTCGATTTCTTCGGGCAGAATCTCGGCAAGATCGCAGTTCTCCCAATTGGTGCGCATACCCATTTTCAATACCACTTTAGCATATGCGAGATTGTCGTTCAGAATCTTTGCCATCTCCGGGAAATGCCACCCGTACCATTCTTTTACTCTCATGGCATACGTATTCAGCTCTTTATCCAAATCGTCCAGTAGACCAATTGCTTGTACAATCATGACATCAATCTTGTCCGGGGAGAATTTAAGTTTGTGTCTGGCAAGAGAGTGTGAGAGGCCGAGGGACATCGTCTTGACATCTTCTGGCAGTAGACCGGGAATAAGAGAGGGCAGGTATTCTCGAATGGCTCGATAGAGGTCGGCGGTGGTAGAATCGGCAACGGCTTTGATCTCCAAGCCTGGAATCTTTCCAATTGCGTTTCCCAGTTTCGGATCTGCGACAGCGAGAGAAATCTTCTTCTCTTCCTTTAAGGTATTCAGGAGCGACGAAAGTTTCGGTGTGACCTTGCCTTCCACGATCGCGGCTGCTTCTTCAAGTGCTGCGGCAGCGCTGTCGAATTTCTGGAATTCCTTCAATTTGAGCATAGAGGTCACATTTTCGACGCTGCTCAGTTCGGAAGCGAGATCGTCCCGCTTGAGGAGTTTCTTGTCTTTGGCCTTGAGCAAGGCATAACCCGCGGAGGTCTCGGTGAGGATAAGGAGAGTCATTGTGAGGATATGCGCTATACGCGCTTCTAAAATTTGTGGGAGATATTATGATACTAGATGTGCCTCGAAAGCAGTATGGAAAAGCTCTCCAAAATTTCGCGAACCTCATCTGCACAATTTTTGCGGAGCGGGCCCACTATTGCCAAGATTTTCTCCATAAGGCAAGTGCGGCGAGAGCATTCAAGCGTTTTCCGCCTGTTGAGCCATCTCTCCTTTCAGCACCATCGTCACTACAAGTGACCAAGCCCAGAGACCGAAAGAGTAGCCGAAGCACTTGGAATACGATATTATAGTTGATTGTAGCATTACCCCGGTGAGTACATGGTTATTCTCGACCTCAAAGACCCATTGGCTATGGCTGTCCCTCACCAGCCGACCACAGCTGGTCGATTTCTGCCTCCGGATCGTGTCCATATGCCCACTCAGTCAAAACGGGGTCACTCCACTGATTGGGGCTTTCCTTGACCTCTGCGCCTTCCAACTCCGCCTTCATTGCTTCATCACGAGCTCGCTGGACTGGTCCATCCGGAAGATGTAATATCAAGCCGTGTCCGTAACTGGCTGCATGGACTTTCTTCACTCGAGGTTTGCGCGATTCTTCCCACTTTGACATTGCTGCAGGAAGGTCTTCTTTCGACTTGACGTGCTTCAATGTGGCCGCCAATGCAGCAGCATCTTCCACGGCCATGGCCGCTCCCAACGCCATGTACGGAACCATCGCGTGAGCCGCGTCGCCGGTTATCAAAAGTTTGCCGGACTCAGATGACCAGGTGTCAGGGATGTCTATGCAGTTGATCGGCCAGTCTATCGTTGAAGTCACCATCTCTAGGAGTCGCCTCAAGCTTTATTTGAGTGGTAACAATCTCACGGTCAGCGCATTTCGGTGCCAAAGGTGAGCATTTTGCTGTGGGAAATGGACTTACCATGGATCCCACCCAACATAATGTGACCTCATTTCCTCAAGTATTCGAGACAGAGGCTGCTCCGTCGCCTCTTTGGGATTTTGCGGATGAGTAACAACCAAGTTGAAGCGTTCTCCTCCAGCTATGGCATAGCTCATCACGTGTAGGTCGTGCCCGACCCTAGCGCCAAAGTCAGCACACGTATATTCTCGGAATTCTGAACATAGTGCTCAAATATGTCATACCAGAGATGCAGATTCGGCTGTTCGACAATCCATTTGGTCAAAGGATCTGCCCTCATATCGGCGACAGCGATCGTTCCTCGATATGCAGAAAGCCCATGGCCCCAAGGCCCTTTGTCTTTTGCGCTGTTGAGTTCTCGGCGAGCCGTTGACTTTAGTCCTGCGGCAGTCGGTGTCAGTTGTCAGGCCACAATTCCTAATTCGATCTGGTGTCTCACCATCGGCAGCAACAATCAGATCCGCCTTGATCAGGTTGCCGTCATCAAACGTCACTTCGCCATTTTGCGTGTCGTACTTCTGCACCCTTTTGGACAAATACACAGGAACACCCAGTTCGACCGTACGATCATGCAGAACCTCGTGCAAATGTGCTCTATGGGTCACGTAGTACGGCGAGCCGAATCGTTGCTCGCTCTCTGGATTGAGCTTGGCTTTTCCGATGATGGATCCATCCTCCCAACGCCGCCAAAGAAGGGCTGTGGGCTTGACAGAACGACGTTGTAGAGCAGGACCAAGTCCCCACGAATGAAGGATGCGAGTCGAATTTGGAGGAATTTGAATCCCAGCTCCAACCTACAGGTTCCCATGAGCTAATGGAACCTAACCACTTCCTTTCGAAGGGCTACAAGACAGACGACGCCAAATCAGCACGGTGGAGAGACTCACCTCACTCAAAGCGGAAGCCTGCTCGTAGATGGACACCTCATGGCCCATCCGAGTCAAGGCAATCGCATTTGAGAGACCTCCAACACCGGCCCCGATAATAGCAACTTTCAGTTTCGCCCATGGATGGTCCGTTGTTCCATTCGTTCCATTCGATATTCTTGTTTCGCTCGTATTTGTCGTGGGTGCAGCTGGTTTGCGCGACAGTTTGCTCTTAATCGGCGTCGGAAATGATAATTCCTTCTCCTTACGGAGACGACGGACAAAGTTGTATGATCCTGAAGGATAATCAGGTATCTAAAAGAGGTTCCTTGCGTTATTGTCCCCGTCCGAGGAAACCTGCATGTCTGACCGACCGAAGGGATACGGACGCACCTCTATTTTGTCTAATTCCACGTTCATCTTGATCCTTCAGTTCTCTTCGAACCTTTTGGTGTTGTTGCAGTAGTGTCTAGTTTGCTGCCGTTCCTACCCTTTTCTTCTATCTGGGCGATATTACTAGTTATGTAGCGACAGGTCCAGCAACATCGTCTGCTCTATCCCGACGTGGCAGCCTCTGCAAAGAGCCTCGGATCGCCCGAGCAGAAGAACAAGGACCATTTCCGGGCGCCAAACGGAACCGCCACGCGCAATGACGCGAAGATTCGTGTCAGCGAGCTTTCCCTGCATCTAGTTCATGAGAGTTACAAATGGCCGCTTGGCAATGACCTGCAAGTCGTGAGATCCTCGGCCGCCACCCGATGCTTACACAACAACCTCCCACCATCCGGGATCTTTGGGCAACAATAATATGTTGCTTCCCACGGAGAACCCACCCGAGCTTTGCGCTCCTTGCACAGCGCAACTTAGGCATCTACCCATAGAGAGGGACCAAACAAATTCCCTACCATCGACCTCGTACGCTGTCGGCATTGCGGTCCTTCCCTGGCGGAACCAGTAGGGGGCTGCCTGCAGCCGCTTTCAATGCGAGAGAAATCGAGTATTAGCATATTAGCACCGCTGGCCCCTTTGAGAAGTATTGCAAATGTATAGCTCTGCTTAGTTGATAAAGGCATTGGCAATGCACTTACAGGAGGACCTACAATGTACACCCTAAGTTCATCCAGCTACGTACCCAATTCTGATCCAAGCGAGAAGCCCTAACACGCTGGACATGACACATATGCCGGTAAATCTGCAGCAATTCTTAACAGAAAAATTGACATATTGACCGAAGATGGTTACAGAGGGACGGCATGTGCCCTGGCATTTCCACTGCGCAGATAATAACTTCTAGAAAGTGATATGCTTGATGTCTATTCCCCGATAGAGTACATCTTCAGGCGCTCAAGCAGGGGTCTATCTGACAGCACGAAAAGATAGGAATCCTGCTCGCTGTCCGCTGTATGCATGACGCGGCTCCAAGCGGGCACGACGAAGGTGTCGTGCGGTCCCCAATGCACCGTCTTCATGGCCCCGGTCGCAGTCGTGATCTCGGTTTTGCCGGAGCCTGCGTGGGCATGGTAGATGTAAGAGCAGGTGTCTCTCCTGGGCGTCGACTGTTGTCCTGCTTGCACCTTCTCTGCATGTGCCCCCAGAGTGTCTGAGATATAGTGGCCCGAGGGGTTCCGGTAATGCTGGAGTGCCCAGGGAGCGGCGTCAGCGTCGAGCCTTGCTTTCATTTCTTCCCAGGGGAAGCGAAGAGCGCTATTTGGTGCTGGCCTGGGATTGATGACAAAAAAAAGAAGTCTGTTAGTGCTTTGGCTTCTCTTTCTTCCGTCACAGAGTCGAGTAGTGAAGATTGAGAGTGCTCAACACCCGCGGTACTTACTTGCTCGGATATCGACTCTCCTCGTAAGGTTCAGCGAAGTGAGTCGGGAGTTGATGGTATAGAGGAAGGTCCAACCCATCCAGCCAGATCATCGGGCCGGTACCTTCATGGCCGTGGTCATGCCATTGCCATTGCGGGGTCAAGATAACATCTCCTGCTTCCATATAAACCTTCTCTCCTTCGACTGCGGTGAAGCCACGAGTTCCTTCAATGATGAAACGCAGAGCGAACGCCCGGTGGCGGTGAGCAGGTGCAGTCTCGCCTTGATTGATGAGTTGGAGACCCGCGTAGATGGAGTCGGTAGTGAATGGTGCTCCTGAGGATATTTCTGATTAGTATAGACTGCCTTTTCCATGCCTGTTCTCGGCCACGTGGAATATAGGAATCTCACTCAGCGCAGGGTTTATGAGCATTAGAACGCGTCGCTCTGCTTCTTCGCTGGTCACAACCTTGCCGGCCTCCAGCAAAAGCGGGCGTAGATCGTTGTACCTCCACACTGAAACTTCCGCCTTGCGTGATGGTTGTGGAGTGACCATAGCTCGCATTGCCGTCCAAAGGGGTTGGACATGCTGTTCGGGGAGTTTTTGAAGTAGTGTTTCTGCCGCGTTCAGAACCGTCGTGTCGAGAGTTGCCGTGCTCGTTTGCGTGAGACTCATGTTGGATAGCATACGACTACTTTGTCACGAAAAGCTTTCTGCAACAAATCAATCTGAACACTTCCAAGGATTAAACTCATTGCCTTGCTTAAATTAAATATTCATTGACTTTTCATCGATCCCAAGACACGCGCGCATTCATTTATCCGGCCTCCGAAATAGCAGAACCGTGTTCGGCAGAAGATCCGAGTCCATTTCATCTTAGTTCGGTTCAGGCCCGCCGACCGGGTGCATGGAAAATATTCTGGTGATTAAATTGGCGATCATGACGACTATGACGACTATGACGATTATGATTTTGAGAAGAAGTAGTTTGTGAGCGGAAAGAATGGAGGTGTGGCGAGGAAGTCTGCAGCCTTTGTTCGTGTCAAGTTCTAGTCACTGTCAGCCTCGCGGGGTAAGCGAGACTGGCGTGCGTTTCATCTTCCTTTCTTACTACATGAATCTCAACTTGTTCTTGAGGCTCCCCAAGCCACCAATCTTCACCTCTACTTCATCTCCATCGGTCAAGTACTTTGGTACTTTCATCCCAAGAGCCACACCTGCAGGGGTGCCCGTCATAATCAATGTACCTGTCTCCAGCGTTGTCCCCTGGCTGAGAAATGATACGATCTTTCTGACTCCGAACAACAAATCCGAGGTCTCGGAATCCTGTCTGACCTCTCCGTTGACCAACGTCTGCAGCGATTGTTTGTCGGCGGCAGCCAAAACCTTGGGAGATACGATCATGGGTCCCACTGGTGCAAACCCATCAAATCCCTTGGAGAAGCACCATTGAGGGACATTGCCAGCGTATTTGGGATCGCGTTGCCATATTCGGCACGACAGGTCATTGCCAGTGATGTACCCTGCTACGTAGTCCAGCGACTCGGCCTCAGTTACGTCGCGCGCTGTTCGACCGATGACAATTGTCTGACTCGTGTCAGTCAGAAAACAACAGCTTCTCTCTCTCCAGGATTATCGACGCATAGCGCGTTCCATACCAATTCGCCTTCATAGTCCAATGTCTCTTGGGCAATCTTGGGAATGGGGATTTCAGCGTCAAAAGACGCCAATGATGTGGAAGGCTTGATGAAAAGGGAAGGGTATGGCGGCGGAGTGCGACCACCCTCCTGAACTGTATGGGGGTTCCCTCATCAAAATCTATTGCCCTTGGCTAGGATGTTGATCGACGCTACTCACTATGCTTCATATAATTCAGGCCAATACAGCGAATTATGGGCACTTGTTCTCTTATGATGGGGCTCAAAAGCTTCTCAACCGGCGCAATCTTGCCCGTGGCTTTCACTCCAGGCGATATTATCGAAATGGGGTTCCCATCGCCTTCGATGATATGGGCTTGTAGCTTTCCCGCCGCTGCAATTGAGACTACGTCAGTCGGATCGCTCCCTTTGGGGAAGATGGCATCGCCATAGTATATGTTGTTGTTGCTTTGGAAGCGAATGAGATGAGACCAAGTCGCCATGGTTGCTTGTGCTTGATGTGGAATTTACTAGGGTGCTTTGGATCCGGAACAGATCAAATTGCCAGGGAAAAGAGGCTGCGGTTCAAACGCGTTTGACTACCTTAAATTTATTTTCTTCTCGGTCCGCTTCTTCTCCCATTGTCAAAGCAGCTTCGTGGCAGCTACAATGCTCCGGCGTCGCCCGAAGTCTCGGGTTATGTCCGACAATGAGAGTCAGTGGTGCTCAATATCACTCATACCTACCTAGGTATATTGAAACTGCATCCATATACAAGGAAATGAGTGCACAAATCTTAAAGTTCCTCCATCTATAGCAATTGGGCATAATCTGTGACTTGACAACCTTTTCATTCGCACAAGCATTTTTGGAGGATTTGCTCCCAGGGACGACTGCACCGAACTCTGGCAGAAAGGACAATGCTCTTGAGTCAATGGCTTTGGCCGGATCTTTTCCAGACAGAAATTTGTTCGATCATGCCCGAAAGTGGCTTATGAAGAGCGCATAGTTGATGGCGAAGTAGCGTGGCTCGAGTTGAGGGGCGGGCTGGGGATAATTCCTGCAGATGCGGCGCAAGATATTGAGAAATTCTCTCAGTATTCTCTCCTCTCAACTGAAAGAAGTTTTGTCGAGATTAGCTCTTCGTCGGACGCTCACTCTCGTTCCTTATCAAGAGTAGGGTTTGTTTGAGCCTTTTCTGGCATGGGACGCTGTGTATGACTAACTTGGTAAAGTTGTGGAATTTCTTGCCCTGGTGACTGGATCTCCTGCGAAGATTGCATTCAATGTATATCCCTCTGTCATGCCCTCGCCTGAGGCCCGAAGTCAAACTCAAGCACCAACCCTAGCTTGAAGCATTATGATTGGTAGGTCATCCTGATGTCGATGCTAGAGATCGCTGAGGACGCAGAACCCTACGTGCCATATTGAAGTGCATCAAGCATTGCTCCGCAGCTGCTGGAACACTTCATCGAGATGCTCGAGGGAATGCCCGTGTTCCTCTGAGCTATGAAACACAATCTTGACCTTTCTCAGCGAGCAACTGCCGCAGAGCACCTTGTTGTGACGATTTCTGCCTCAATAGGTTGTGCAAAAGCAGTTGACGTTGTCTATGACTGCTGAACTTTCGGATGATTGACTGGGCGCTGGCTGGCTGAGGCACTGCGATGTCGGAGGGAATTTAGTTTGATAATCACTTGTTCCAGCAACATACGAAGAGTTCCCGGGTCGCGCCCGAAGTTTCCTCGCCGCATAACGAATCCCCAAGGCTCCTTCCCCTCGTTCTTGGGGTTATCCTCGGCATGCGCCCGAAGATTAATTCCCCAGCCTTGCCCCCAGAACTCGCGGATGAGGATATAGTCCATTGGCAGACTATACCAGATATCTTACTGCCTGTTTATTTTATCAGGCTAGTCGCTAGCATAGAAAATATCCAACCAAACGTGGACATGGCGGACAATAATAGACCAGTGAGATGATTTCTTCGCGGCTATGTCAGTTGCAGGTTTGGCTAACCATTGTATTCACTGCCCAGACACGCATCGAGACGGATGCAATGGGGTCCATTGAAGTAGGCCCATATTCTGCAGCTCATGTTTGGATGAAGAATGCCCCTGACTTGAAGTTGCGCTACTGTTAGGTTCCATCTGACAAATATTGGGGCGCTCAAACTCAACGGTCAGAAAGCCTGCCTTTGATTGAATCCACTTATCCTCACATCTCAGTGGGTGCATAGCTCACTTCAGAATTTCTGCATCAACCAAGATCGCGATCGCATGCCGGCCTCTGTCATTCGTGCTTTTGGGATCATCAAGGGTGCTGCAGCAAAAGTCAACGTGAAGCATGGCGCATTAGGTGAGTTAGATATGGTTCTAGTTCTCCGCTTCCATACCAGGATGCTAGGTGAGATAAAATGGATAGGAAAGCTGAACAGAGACCTCGAGGCAGATGCTAGACTTGGGCATGCAATTCAGCAGGCAGCGGAGGAGGTAGCTTCTCTCAAACTAATAGACCATTTTCCATTGGTGGTTTGGCAGACAGGTTCAGGAACGCAGACCAACATGAACACTAACGAAGTGATATCTAATCGAGCTAACGAGATACTTGGTGAGCCGCTCGGTCAGAAAAACCCTGTCCACCCCAACGACCATGTCAACATGTCTGGCTCTTCGAACGATGGCTTTGCAACGGCTATGCATATTGCGGCTGTACTGGACCTGGAGGACCATTTGCTTCCTGTATTGACTAGCCTTCGAGATATCATGAAGAAAAAGAGCCAACAATTTGCCCATATAGTCAAGATTGGCCGAACTCACCTTCAAGATGCCGTGCCACTTTCACTTGGGCAAGAATTTTCAGGGTTCGAAAAACAATTAGAGCTGGGCATCCAGCGTGTGGAGCAAGGGCTGGAGGGCCTACGTTTCTTGGCAATGGGTGGTACGGCCGTGGGGACGGGTCTGAACACGTACAAAGGGTTCGATGAGGCATTTGCGGCAGAAGTCAGTCGACTCACGGGCAGACGCTTCTTCACAGCACCTAACAAGTTCGAGGCCATCTCGGCAAATGATGCCATTGTCTACGCTTCCGGAGCATTAAACACATTGGCTTGCTCCCTGTTCAAGATCGCTCAGGATATCCGTTTCGAAGGTAGTGGACCGCGGTGTGGACTGGGAGAACTTCTATTGCCTGAGAACGAGCCAGGCTCATCTTTCATGCCAGGAAAGGTGAACCCAACTCAATGTGAGGCGATGACGATGGTCTGTGCAAAAGTCGTGGCAAACCATACCGCCATAACTTTAGGAGGACTGAGCGGCCAATTTCAACTGAACGCTTTCAAGCCGCTCTTGATTTCTGACTTTCTGCACTCGGTCCGCATCCTGAGCGATGCCATGCGGAGCTTTGAACGGAACCTCCTGGAGGGGCTCCGTGCAAACGAGAAGCGCATCAGTTACCTATTGGGACAGAGGTGAGGCTCATAGCCGTCTCCCGGCCTTCTACATTTCAATAATGCACGTTTAACTGACATCTGGATAGCCTTATGCTCGTGACGTGCCTCAGCGGTAAACTGGGATATGACTTGGCGTCAAAGGTTGCAAAGCATGCCTATAAACATGATCTGACATTGAAAGCAAGTGCGCTAGAGCTCAATGCGCTGAGCGAAGAAGAATTCGATCTTCTTGTACGTCCCGAAAACATGATTGCGCCATCCGGTTAGCCAATTCAGAGATGATGTTGAACCAATCTAGGGCCATTAGTTGAATGATTGAAAAGGAAGAGAAGTTTTATCTGCGGCAGAAGAGGCTTCAAATAGCCTTGCACGTGCCAAGTTGCCGTAGAGCCAAGAGGTCTCCCACCTAGCCTAATTGGGATAATCCAACAGGTGAGAGCACAATACTGGGTGTGTGCACAGACAGAGGGTCACGGATTTGATGACTCTCGTGTGAGGTCAAAGAACATGCGTCTCTAAAGCTCATTTCTAATGCTCTCTTCCTGTTTGACCAGGCACATACGGACATATGCTTGAAAGAGGCGACTCCACAAACCCCGGCTTCTCCAGAACGCGGGGCGGGCTTGGCAGCTAGTGCCGATTTGAGCTCTCGGAACACGTCCGAGTTTCTAAATTCTGACTGTATCTTAACTTGATGCGACCTATTTTGCGAGCTGGTTTGAGCCGGTCCCCTTTCCACGAGGAAGCTCACCCACTTTCTAATATTGAAACTACTGGAAAACAGCTATTGACAAAATATTAGTGAGCAACTGTTGTAACCTCTCTTTTCATTGAAGCAAGAGGTTTCCGAGGCTCACTTGCAGGCGAGATGAACTCCCCAGGACCATCGGACCCAGTTGCGAGTGAAAGGTCCAAATCCGGAGCTGTCGGCTCCAGCCGAAGCAAAAAGCGTGCTTCGTCCAAGGCTCAGAATCCAAGCCTTAAGAGGCCGAAGATTGCGCTTGCTTGTGAGGAGTGTCGAGCGCGCAAGGTCCGCTGTGACGGAGCTCAGCCTGGTACACAGTTCCTCCCAACGTCCCATGTAGGACCTGCTAACCGTTCTCCAGTGTGTGGAGCTTGCCGCCGCTGTCGCAGAGCCCACCCGAATTGCGTCTACCCCAATAGGGGCCCATCTGGCGTTTCTGCAGAGTCAGTCAGAGCCCTGAATACGTCTTTAGTGAACAGAACTGATGAACGGAAAACCAGATACGTGACACACCTGGAGACCAGGATCCAGCAACTGGAAACCCTACAGCGCGACATAGCACGACCAAGCTCGCACCACGGCGATAATAGGTCAATCTTGAACCAAAACCTACCCATCATCGATCCATGCCCGCCGGTGGGTTCTGGGACCTGTCGCTAGCAATTATGTGGCGAAAGCTAATACTGGTCTAGCGGTCGCCATTAAATGTGGAGGTCTGCTCCAATACAGGAGATACCCACAGGCACGAAACTGTGCTGTCACCACCTCTGACTGCACCTCGTGAGCAAGATCATGTCGACTACAATTCATCCCCTTTCACTGGACGTGTCGAGGGGATCGACGGCATGGGGAATATAGGGACGACAGAGAACAGCTACTCCGAAGACACATCTAGCGCTGCCAGCTTTATGAAGCAAGTAAAGAGCGCCATGGCTGCCAGGCTATCTTCATCCGCACCCCAGACACTCGCGGTCTCATTCTACAATGAGATACCTATTCCGCGGATTGAGTCCAGGCAAAACCAGCACGATCAGTCGATTGCTGAACTATTTGTGCTTCCACCACGGCATGTCGCAGATGACATGATGGAAATGTACTGGAACGAAGTATACCTCCTCTATCCTTTTCTCCAACGGGAACGGTTTATGCCAGCCTATCAGAAGATTTGGACTGGCGAGGACCGGGAAACTGACCAGAGGTTGTTGTATTGTATTTTGAACCTGATCTTTGCAATCTGCTGCCAGATTAGCAAGAAGGAGTCACCCAGAGAGAAAGCTGCCGCCGCTGACGTCTTCTATAAGAGGGCCTTACACCTATTACAAGTCAATGTGATAGGCAGCGGTTCGGTTGAGCTTGTTCAAGCTCTTCTCATTATGGGTCAGTACCTTCAGAGCACCGATTGGCCACACAGGTGTTGGGTTGTCATTGGCCTCGCGATTCGTATCAGCCAAGGGTCTGGTCTACACCTTCGGCGGACGACAGCGAATGTTCCTCAGATCGATCGAGAGCTAGCCCGTCGGTTGTGGCACGGGTGCGTTTTTATGGACCGGATGGTGTCGATGACCTTAGGCCGTCCGATGATGATATCCAAAGCCGACGCATTGGTTGTACCCTTCCCTGAAGCTATCGACGATCGATATTTGTCACTCGAGCTTGGACAAGATCAAACACAACCCCAAGGCAAAGTCTCCATCGTTGAGTTCTTTGTTCAGTCGCTAAGACTCTACATAATCACCGAGGAGACATTGTCTTCCATGTATCCCCATGAAGACGCCGCCTCTTCGTCGACGCCACTTTCTCCTCTGGAAAAGCTCACAAACCTCGATTTCAACACGGTTTTGAGGATCCACACAGCCATCACCAAGTGGTACGACTCAGTGCCAGACACACTCAAGATTAATAACAACCATTCGCGGAGGTCCACCGAAGAGACCCATTCAAGGCAGGCAAACATACTGCGGCTCCGCTGTCTCCAGATTCAAATCCTCCTGTTTCGTCCGATTCTTTCGCTCTTGTTGGCTCAAGAAATCAGAAGCAAGGCAATTTGTCTCTCTATACCGGACTTGTGGCTGCCGCTCTCTATGGGGCTGATTTGCGTGAGGAAATGTATAATCAGTGCTCTCGAAGTCATCAATATCATCTATGAGAAGCAGATATTTCCGGGTTCCAGGGACATTGAACCTCTACCAGCATGGTGGTATCAGATCTTCTGTAAGCCCAAATCCAGAACCAAGGTGTTCAACCCTCAAGAGGCAAATTTGCTAATGTGTCGAAGTCATCTACAGTAAGCTCCATTTCAGTCTTCTAGCCCAACCATTCAGGCACAAAAAGTCTTTGGGTCAAACAACCTTAGATTTCATTCTGACTTCCTAGAATACCCACCCTTTCGCTTGCGCCCGCTATCATCTTTCCAGGAACCGTTATTGGCACAAATACCTAACACGCTAACTTAATACTACCAGCTGCTGCCACAGCCCTGATACCAGCACGCGTATATAGCTACGTCCGAGGAGATATTCCACTATCATCACTCGCCGAAGCATGGCGACGCTCACTCGAAGTCCTTCGCCGTCTCTCTCCACTGAGTCCCACTGCAACACGATGCCTGGCTGCCCTCGAGCTCCTAGACGAAGAAGTAGTTGCAGATGAGATACCCAACGCCAATCCTACCTCCAACAACCCTGAACAGGACGATGTGCGCTCATCTAACGCACCGCCTCCTCCTAATCTTTCTGATAGCAATATACAAAGGAACAGCACAGTGCGGCGAGATGCCCGCAACAGCCTTGAACCATCAGCTGACAACACCACGATAGCGGCGGCACCCTGGGAAAGTCACAACGTCCCACCGCAGTCGGAGCTTGTGCCTCCTTTCCCAGTTGAACCACAGCCCCAGCAGCAGCAACAGGAACAGCAGTGTGGCGTACACGGAGAAGTATTCGCGACAACGCTACAGATGCAAGATTTTACGTGGTTAGACTCCCTCCCAGCCGACCTCTTGGCGGGTGGCTATGATGATCTACCGGAGCTTTATCCAGTCGTATAGTTCAAGAATTCAGAGTGTTGATGTTTTAAGAGCGTTCCAGAAATCCTTGAAAATGGACAGAGCAGACAAGAGCTAGGACCCAATTCTGTCTCTATCTCATATATCTGCCCAGTGAGGTATGTCATAGTCATCTTTGGTTCCTTTCGTTTTCAGAATCTTGTTAGGATCGTGACTGTGTATCGTCACCGTCTCTTGCTTTGACAGCACCGCATGACTGCTCCGATTTTCTCGATTTTCGGATCTTTCCTGCTAACAAGCAATTAAATCAAGAGACATTCTCTCTTGGAACCTGCATCTTCCTCCAAACCCGAATACCGCGTAAGGCTTTGGAGTCGAGCTCCTGGACATGCTCCCTGATTTCGCCTTCACAACCTCTTAGTTCACGAGGAGGGCACGTTCAGAATCAGGCCACTTGGCATTCCTTAAAATTCATTTTTAAGTCACCATTTCCCTTGATACCCCATGAAAGAACTCTCGCAGAATCAGCATGATGAGCCGGCACCTATGTCTATGACATCGCGCCAAATTTGACCATGATGGTCTTGGGAAATGCCGTCCTGCCATCTGCAGAGTCCAAAGACGCGTCCTTTGTGACGATGTTCATCTTTGCAAGAAAAGAACATAATTGTCAGCGTAAATACCACAGACATACGAGGGAGAGAACCACCAACCTTGAACCGAAGAACTAGAGAGGGGATCAGCTTCTTGATCTCGAGTTCGGCAACGTGCCGACCCAGACATATTCGTTTTCCTGACCCAAAGCTCATGGACGCTCGTTCCATTGCAAGTCTCTTGTCCGAGTCCACAAGCCACCGCTCAGGTCGGAACTCCTCCACGTCTTCACCGTAGAGTTCGCGGTTGTGGTGGATGACTTTGGCCGCACTCCCGATCGTGGTGCCAGCGGGAATGTGTTTACCGGCGATGACAACGCCCCCTCGCGGAACGACCCGCTCCAACGGAATCGTGACGAAGGGATTACAGCGCATTGCTTCCTTGAAGACGGCATCCAGGTACTCGAGCTTATTTACTTCGGCCCATTGTGGCACTGGTGTGGAAAGCTGCGCGGCTTCAAGCTCTTGCTTCAGCTTTTCGAGGGAGGCAGGGTATTTCATCAGGCAGAAGAGAATCGTCGTTATGGTCACTGTCGTACTATCGAAGCCCGCCGAGATGGTCGAAGTCGTCATCAGAGCGATTATGTCGTGACCTATGGCCGGGTTCTTTTTGAGTGCGTCAACGTACTTTTGAAGGAGGTCTTTCTGCCCCTTCGTCTTTGCCGCTGGGGCCGATTCACGATTAGCCAGTCTGTGGAGTGCTTCTTGAACCCACACAGATGACCTCTTTGTGAACCAGTTGAAGAGTGGATGTTGGAAAATGAGGTATTCTAAAGTCGGGAATGCTTGCCATTGCACCCAGTGCGCAATTCTATCTCGGCTTGGGCTCACCATTCCCCAAACATCTCTCCTGTTCTTGAGGTGGCCCAGATTCTCATTGAAAGCTAACTGGGTGAGCATATCGAGCTGGAAGAATTGCATAGTCTTGAAGAGATCGAACTCGGGAACTTCGATAATGGTCTGGATGAGCTCCTTGACGGTGTCGTCGACATTGTGCTCGTAGTCGAGGAGCGTGTTTGTCGCAAATGCATTCCCAACTCCTCTCTTCAGAAGAGTATTGCCCTCCTCGTCTTGCATGTCGATCACGCTCCCGATTGACTTTCCACGAGTGGCGACCACCCGCAGTGGAGAGTACGAGTCGGCCTGAATCGCACCTTTAGAAATTGTTCTGCACACATGAGACCGAGTTGGGACTTGCCTTTTTGAACTCTCCATGGTTTGTGTAAATGACACTGACAGAGGCAGGATCGCTGACGTGAATCGTATTGGGACCAATTCGTACAAGAGGACCATATTGCTCATGAAGCTTGATGAGCGTCGTGGCTATGGTACCATAGTTCTGAGCATATGCTCTCCAAAGGTTCGTGAAACCTGCTAAAAACGGCCCCGGAATTGCGCTCAGCTTTCGGTATCTCCGGTAAAGCTGTAGAGGAATGATGAATAGAATGGCGGCAAGCACAATGGTCTGGATAGGTGAAGTCATCTTGGGTCATGCGGCAGTTCAGGCTTTTCAAAGCATAGATATCGGCGAACCACGCGCAACAGGCCTTTAATTAATGGCTCTTTATAGTTGATTTAGGGAGATTTGGTACCCTGTTGGGACCCCCTCGCTGAGTGGGTGATGTCAGCAAGTTCGGAAACGATCCGAGGCCGTAGAGTCGATCACGGAAGACCTGATCACGGAACGCCTGATGGGTGCCTGATGATTGACCGAAACGGAAGTAATGAAATCTCGGTATGCGCTTCGAGCAGAGTGATTTCTGGTTCTTGCCTTCCAATCCAGAGCAAGAGTATCTAGTGTATTACCCTTTCGGGAAGTCCAACGAGCGACTGAAGCTTGACAATGACAGTACCTCAGGCATTATTATTCGGAGTGAGCCATTGACTTATTTACTGTGTAAACATCCGTGAAAGACTTACTTGCAACTTAGACATGCAGCAGATGCAGTAGTTCCTGAGAAGCCAATCCAACCCATCTCTCATCCATGAGAGGCTCAAGATACCAGAGATGAAACATCGACTGCAACATTGCTTGTTACACCAGAGATACTAGAGCTCCGAGGCTTGCCATTGTTGTTGTTTTGCCTCTTGCTCTAGTGGCCCAAAGGCTTGCCTAACGTTTGTAAGAGAACAGTGTGATATACACCCCGTGAGTGATGACACGTTCGACGATGATCAAGGCTGTGTCCGGACAAAATTCAGAAGTGCCGCTGCCACAGTAAGGTACTCTTTCCTTGCTCGCTTCTTTTTCATGCTTCGCCCCCTCTTGGTGCACACACAAATAATCTTGATATGCCGAATGTTGTCGAGTCAGGTTGTTGATTGCATGCTCTTGGAACGACTCGGCCGAGAACCTACCTTTATACTGGCCCCTGAAGAGATGAAAAGTAGGCAGAAGGTCAGAATCTATGAAAACTTGGAATATCTCTTGTCCCATCGTCATCAAACCCGCCTGGCCGATGGGGCCATACTGGAGACTGTTTGAGACAGGTTCCTGGCAAGGGGGATAATAAAGTTTATGCAAGTGGTGTAAGTGTTGAAGCTGAAAAAGGATTTTTAAGCACCAACATCTGTTAGCTCCTGCAATCGAGTATTTAAAGACTAATAAGTTCGTGAAATTGAGGGTATGGTGAGTGGGAAGGAGGCCAATCTGGTGAGTCTTGCGCAGATATTCTTTGTTTGTACCCAAAGCGAGTATGACATCATTACCAAGGGGTATTGAAGCATACTCGGTACTAGAAAGTGCCTTTATCCCAGCTCTGGCGGGGTATTTTCTAGATATCAATAAAATTAATATTGTTCTATCCGCCCAGGTCAGGCAAATTGGACAGTAACAGTTCTAAAGCGCAATATTAAGCATTCGCCTTATTGCAGGCAATAAGACCTTGTCATCGTGATGTGGTGAGAAAGCTTAAACAGACGAATGATTAATAGAAATTGTTCGCTTAACTTTTTTGTACTAGTGCTTCGGTCGAGCTACAAATAAGGAACAAAGTACGAGGTAGCATTGGTAGTCCCGGTAGGCAGAGCAAGCTGTTGATTCGCTAGTAACTGGTTAAAATACCTTGTAGGCTGAAAAGGGCAATAGAGGTTATCCGCCTCGCCACCGATAACCGAGGTAATCTTGTCAACGTCATCACTACTAAACACTCTGACCATAGGGAGCGCCTTGGACGACACAAAATAGCTCAATAGGAATTTAGCTGGAATTTAACTGCAGTTCATTCAGCGACCGCAAAGGGCATAGTTTCTTCCTACCTGTCTTTTTGGGTATTCTTCAAAGGAGCTCTTTCAAGAATTGCAGCCTTGCGACCGAGGGTATCAACCCCCGTGTGCAAAATATATTATACGGCTCAGTTCCTCCTCATCGGGACAACGTAGCCGAGAACCCTCGGTTCCGTGTGGCAAAGATTCGCACCCTTTTCCGAGCTTCTGATTCAGAGATCTGCAATCAGTCCATATACTGCTAATAGCCAGCAATCCGTTATTGCCATACAAGATGAGCTCGCCCGCGACGAGAGGTGTGGCCTCACGCCATGACCTCGATGACACTGCCCTTGGGAAATATTTACAAGAAACGGACTCTGTACCTCCATTACAGTTGCCGGTTGTTTCGACAAAGATTGGCTATGGCCAAAGCAATCCGACGTACTACGTGGACGATGCAGCGTGAGTTTATGCATCAACATACCGCTTCGCTCATCACCGCTAATGCAGCACGCTCCAGTGGAACCCGGCTGATTCTCAGGAAGAAGCCAGCTGGGCAAATCATCAGCAAAGTCGCCCATCAGGTTGACCGCGAATTCCGGGTATTGAAGGCCTTGGGCACCGTAGAAGGATTTCCTGTACCGAAAGTCTACACGCTATGCATGGATCCTTCGATTATTGGCACGGCGTTTTACGTAAGATTTGTCACTTGCTGCAACAATTTGCGCTTCTTTCCTTAACTAATCGCCGCCCTTTAAATAGGTGATGGAATTCGTGAAAGGCAGAATATTCACGGACTACAGCCTGCCAGAACTATCGCCTTCAGAAAGGCGCAAGGCGTGAGTTGAGTTGTGCATCTCGCTACCACGCGCTGACTGAGTACCCTTTGTCCAGCTGGTTCTCTTTGGTAGAAACCCTCGCATGGCTCCATTCAATCGATCCATTTTCCATCGGTCTAAAAGGATTCGGCAAGACAACAGGATTCTACGCTCGACATTGCAATACTTTTACCCGGATCGAGGCTGAGCAGTCTAAGATCGAAGACAGCGAGGGAAAGCCACTAGGGCGAGCCCATGAGCACTACGATGAGATCATCGACTATGTGCGAGAGAATCTGCCCGGGGACCGCTACGCCATTGTACATGGAGACTATAAATTTGACAACGTGGTAAGCTCCTTCCAGAAAACCCAAAACTGAGTTTGCACATGTTAATATCTGGTCATATGCAGATACTCCATCCCACCGAGCCACGAGTCATTGCCATCCTTGATTGGGAACTCTCAACCATTGGGCATCCGCTGATGGATGCTGTTTTCGTCGTTGCATCCTTCTGGAATGAGGCATATAAGGCAACAGGTTCTCGGTCTTCAAGTTCTCTCTCTAAAGTCAGTGGTATACCCACAGCCGATGAGCTGATGGACCGTTACAGTGAGATAGTAGGATTCGATCCCCGGAAAGATGGGAACGGCAGGGATTGGGAGATTGCCAAAATCTTCCATCATGTACGGGGTAGTACAATTACCCATGGCATCCAAGCGAGGACGATCCGCGGCCAGGCAAGCAGCGAATTCAGCCACGTGTATTTCGAGTATACAAAATCAGGCCTGGATATAGCACTGAAGATCGTCCGGGAGATGAAAGCAAAGGAAGCATCTTCACCAAAGCTCTAGCATAGAAATCTGACATGGTGGAGTTTTAGAAGATAGAAATTCTTCATTAAACTATGAAGTAGCCTCTGGCCGTTGGGCCGTCCATCTGAGCCGTTCAGCGAAAAATCACAAAGGATCGTATGTCTGATCTACAGTGCCGTTGACTGACAAGAAATATTCACAGCCACGTTTAGGACTGGGTGGATATCGCTATTCATATCTCTTATCTGTCGTGGGTGCAAACCCCCCCCCTTTAAGCCTTGCCAATCCGTATTAAGTGGATTCCGGCGGTCTTGTGCTCCGTATTATATCATCAAAATCGAGAATTGGCGGCGTTCTGTGACAACTTCAAGATTCTTATTCTTAACAACCTCCTTAGCAACACATCTACTTTGTACGGCCAAACTGCCACATTCTACTCCAAAGTCGAAACTCAGGACTGCTTGCCGGTCCATATTGGTCTCCCGAGGCTGCGGCTCGAGGCCAAGCCAGGGGCAACCGTGGCAAAGTTGGAAAGAGTAAACCCGCCGCGGGATCTTAGTTCATCCCACGCGTTGTTGCAACCGCTAATGATCATGAAGCTTGGAGGCTGTCAAGGTACAATTCTTCAGTATGCGTTCTGTTTTGCGCACGCTAAAGCCGTTTGCAGTTAACCGAGCAATAGTGGTCGCAAGTGGGAAGCAAACCTCTGCCGCTCTGGTCGATCTCATCCCGTTATCACAAGACTTGAACGCCGCAACAGGCGGGATGCAGACGCCTAAGCTGGGTTGACTAGTGAATGCCTTCCCCAGGACCGTGGCAGTGTTTCCCATTTGGAACAGTCAACTTCGGATATGCGTGCAATCGGGATGACCGAGGCTATCATAGCAAAGATTCTAGACTTCAAGACCAGCATCAGTGGATTTCAACCCCGCCTTTCAATATTTGATATACTAGACCTTGAAGCTCCGAGATACCTCTGTCCACTCTCCCTCCCTCTTCACAAAGACTGTTGTCACTTTCCGGAGACCCGTCTTCAAAATGCAAAAGTACCAGCTCTTGTGCATTCTTTTCGTTGCTTTCGGCTCCATATTCTATGGCTACGACTCTGGTAGGGACACCCATGGTCACAGAATCCTGGTATACTAATTTTGCTTCAGGTTGTACGACATCGGTCCTTGGATATTCGTCGTTTATCGAGTACTTTAACCTCGATGCTACAACCATTGGAGCTTTCGGATCAGCTTATTATGGAGGCGGAGCCGTTGGTTGTTTCCTCAATTACTATTTGCCCGACAAATTTGGGCGGCTGCGGACAATCCAAATATCCTGCGTTCTTGCTTTGATCGGCTCTGCCATGCAGGCCGGAGCGACGAACTTCCCCGTATTCTGTGCAGGCCGTGTCCTTGGTGGTATTGCAAACGGCATTGTCTTCTCAGTTTGTCCTACCTACGCGAGCGAGATCGCTACTCCAGAGATTAGAGGCCGGGTTGGCTCACTGTATGCTTTCAACGTTAACTTCGCCTATATGCTCACAGAATGGATGGGTCTCGGCTTTTATTACATCAAAGGCAATGCCGCATGGCGGACTCTTTTAGGAATCCAGCTTGTACCGGCCGCTTTCATGTTGATCGCTTCATTCTGGATGCCTTTCTCTCCACGATGGCTCATCATGAAGGGGCGAGAGGATGAAGCACTGGAAGTGCTTAGGAAGCTTCATGCCGGTGTCGAGGGACATGAAGAGGACTTCTACATCAAGGAGTTCCACCAGATTAAGTCCCAGTACCAAATCGAAAAAGCCAACCAGCTCGGCCTTGTTGCAATCTTCAAGAAGAAATCATACCGGAAACGCATGTATCTCATCTTGACCTTTGTGGCGTTCTGCCAGTTCACAGGAATTATCCCGCTTCAGAACTACCAGGTCACAATCTACACCAAGCTCGGCTTCACCAATGTCTTCAGTCTTGTCTTGACAGGTATCTGGGGCACATTAGGCTGCTTATCTACAATTACCGCAAGTCAAATCGTCGACAGGATGGGTCGACGACATCTGATGGTACATACACCCGTCCCGCCCTTGGACCAATACAGCTTTACTGACAATGTGAAACAGTTTGTTTCCTACAGTTTCATGATTCCAGGTGGCATCCTACTCGTGGCTTTATGGGCAAGTTTCGAACACACAAACAGTAGCAACTACGCGTTAGGCAAAGCTGTCATCTTTGGCATGTTCTTTTACGGTTTCGGATACGGCGGTTTCATGAACACCTTCTTCCCAACCTACTGCACTGAGGTCATGCCCACCAACATCCGCGCCACGGGTACAGCTTCCGGCTACGCTCTCTTCAATCTCATCGTCATCATGCTGGTTCAGGTGACGCCCATGGCCATCGAGGCCATCAGTTGGAAGTACTTTATGATCTTCGTCATCTGTGACGTCATCTTCATTGTCATTTTCATCATATTCTACCCCGAGACAAAGAATAAGACATTGGAGGAAATCAGTGCGATTTTTGGCGACGAGGTATTTTGAACAAAAACGTCTAGAAAAAAGAAAGAAGGGACATACTAACAAGTTTCATACTAGGTCGCCGAGACGCTCGAAGAGGCTGGGCAGCACGTTGACGAAGTTCTGCACGAGCACGAAAAAAGCGTCCAGCATATCGATGAAGTCCCGGCAAAGCTTGCGTAAAAGGCTCTTACGACGCGAGCTTGGAGGAGAGCGCATAATCCTACCACCAATGCCAGCGGCCACATCAGTTATGCCCCGAGTCACCAATTTGAAGAGCGGGACACGAGGAAATTTGTTGAAATTGTTTGCAGCCATGCATGCACTCATACTGTTTTTCGATTTCCCTCAGGTATCCATCCACTGGAGCGGAACTCGGCAGTGGCTCTACGCCTCGTTGATCACAAACTAGTCTTCGTCTATGCATATGAGTATCCCAATTACATATATAGTAGGCACGCTGTATTTGAGGCTCTATGGGGATTTTAAAAGCAACGGTGATATTCATTGGCCTTAAAGATGAGGAGTCTAATGCTATCCTTCATAGTCGCGTGACTGTGAGTGTTTTCTGAAAGTTTGTATGAGGCTGCCAGAGTTCTTCTATCTTTTTGGCTACTTCCCCATAGTCCAGCGAAACTGAAACCACACAGGCTCATGCTGCGGTCAGCGATCATTACATGAATGTCAATGCTGAAGGGATGAGACACGGTATCCGAAAAGCCGCGCTCGCACAGAAACAGGTGGGCATCGACGGTCTTGAGTGGGGGCTGTGACCACGCTAGCATAATGTTGAGGATCGTGCTTCAGTCCCGGCCAGATTCATCGAAGGATCGAGTCTTAAATCGCGACAGGAGCACAATACTCGAGCTTAGAAATGGTAGCCTCATTTTAAAGTACCAGAGAGTTTAGGTCGAGGACTGTTCTTGGACTGTTCAATGACAAGGAACATCTGATCCATGAAGCGTGAAGGGCAATGCGGGCAAAGGATTCGCATGCAGGGTCTCAACCAAATGCCAGGTTGTGCGAGCCTTGGGATCACCAGATCTAAACAGGTCATTATCGACCGCCATATAAAATCGCTGCTTCTTCGAAAAGACATAACTTCCAGCAGAATGAGGGTATTCAATGACAGCGAGAGTTCAGAAGTGGTACTGAGCATAGGTGACGAGAATACGAGGTACATACGACAATGAGCAGGGCTGCAGTCCTCCCGGACGAGGCTGAGCCGAAGTAGCCCCAAGCTTCGTCTTAAGAGGTTACTAGCCTAATTGGGCTAGACCAAATAAATCTTGGCACTTCGACAACACTTGAATTCTCGCTGTCACTGGACATATACTTTCTCTTTTAATCACTCGAACTCTTCCCGACCCCCAGATTGGTTCAATACATCGCCAAGCATAATGTAGCCTAACACGTGCTCAAGTCTGTGGATGACCCCCAATACGAATCCCGAGCCCTCTAAAGTCTCATCCCACTTTACGACCTGAGCACCTACCCGCTTATTTGGTCTTAGTAATTCGAGCTATGGCTGTGCGACGCTGAGCACCACTTGCATACCCCGAGGCACGCACCTCAGGCAGCCTGAGCAGAGTTTTAAGTGCTGTTGAGCGGCACACAACTTAGGAGCGTAAGAATTGTCAATATTTTTGCGGCTCTGTTTCTCGCAAGATGATAGTTAAGAAGACAAAACGGAGTTTTCCGCTGTCCCACCTCTGTTATATCTGTTGGTGACAATATCAGAGCCGCTGCGGTTTCTCGCTCTTCGAAGAACATGATGGATTATCAAGAGTCCTGGGAGGATGCCTAATACGTGCTAGGTTACAGTTGCCAGCAGTACCAGAACCCTCAGGCTGGGCGTGACGAAGCCCTGGCAGTCGTTTAAATAGCAAAAGTACGTCTTCAGCCACAATTTGAAGGCCAGTGAGTAGGATTGCCCCTTGTATGGTGGCTTGAAAGGAGTGAATCAAGGTGAAACCCTTTCAGACTGTCCTATTTTCTCGGTATTGATACTGTCACTCTCCTGACCATTGTCCCTGCTTTCTGCCTCCTACCTCTTGCCTCCGTCTGCCACCTCCCATCTTCAACTATCCTGGGTGCGTACTCGTGATTCCTTGGCTCAGTTGAATGATGATCGTACTGTTCGGGGAAGAGATGCTACGTTGGTTAGCCCAGGATCATCTCCTTCTCCAAGGATCATCTCACTTGGCTGGAAAAAGTCCCCTTCCCTTTAAGACTCGTCGGCAAAGTCGAAAAGCTCAGAAATGCCGCGGGGGTTGAAGCTGTTGAACGACCAGTCGCGGGTCATCAGCCGAGCCAGCCTCTGGCAGCAGCTTGGGCCGGTACAACCGCTGCAGCCGGGTTCGCAAGGGTTTGAGCAAGCTCCGCCGCCACCGCCACCTCCACCGCCGGCCACGACCATCATGACGAGACCGAGAAAGGTGAAAATACTGGTGAACTTCATATTGACTGGAATTGTTTGTTTCGAAGCCGGATCGTTGCTGATGATAGAAAGAATTTCTGACAGCCGTGAGTGAATGATTATCTTTATACGCTAGGGGTTGGAGACTCGGGCGGTGGACCCAAACTACCCCTTGTTTGGTGTAAGTGGTCGGAGTAGCCTGTGTAGCTCGCCACTCGAGACGCTCTTCGCGGAAGCTTCGGTGTAGTTCTCTGGCACGGGAAATTGGAGCTGCTTCTTTGGACCGCTCTTGGCCTCCTATGGCCAATACCGGCCCCTTGATACCAAGAAAAGGGAGCTAGCTTATCCTTCTCCCTTTAACTCCACTCATCTATGAATACAGCCCTCAAAATGCAAGTTTTTCAACGAAACTGGTTAGTCTTCTCTTCCTCCTCGCCACCAAATCGTGGGTGGCCTCGAAGTTGAGTGGCGGGAAATGATGAACGCTTCTGAAATTATCGATCGAAAAGTACTCACACGACAGACGCAAAATAAGCACTACCAGCCCAGAAAAACACGGCATACACGCCATAACAGCAGGCGCTTGGTCCTTTGTGGCGTTCAGGTGTGGTGGCCCCGAGCCGAGTATATCGAGACGGACGGGCGGCGACATGCCGGTCAGATCCCCTTGAATACCTGGACCCGCATGCGGTCAACAGTTCACTCCGAGCACCGGAAGTGCTACCCCGAAGCGTGTTAGGGGAACAAAAGGACCTACCAAGATTAGCCGCATTGACCACGTCAAACTCTATCTCATTGTCGTTCAGACTAACAACGTCCTGCCTGCGGTATTAGTATCTGTTTATTTTGACCTCCCTCCAGTCCAGCATTTGCTAAAGGACCCAATCCAGTAAACCTCTATCCTTCCCTTTTCAGTTCAACGCGCCTGGCTGAGCTAACCCAGAAAGATCAGGTCACGATGTTTCGTCCTGCCCCCCAACTGCTTTCTGCTTTGGCATTGGCAGTATCTGCGCACATCACCGCGCTTCTGGCAATGGCCTTTTCGTCTGCAGATTCACGTTTTCGGGTCATTGCTATCCTTGTGATAGTTATCCTGGTTCGACAATGCCTCCTTACCATTGATGAGCCTTCCGATGTAGGCGAATTGTTCCGGCTCTACATGTGCGGCTACGCACTTTACGCAAACGAATTTCTGCTCCTGAAAAAACTCACAGTTCCGGCCTTGCCATCGACCCCACAGCGCCTCCTTTCCGGTCTGAAGCTTCTCTTCTCACCGAGACTATATGTCTCTAGAAAGGCAATTCCTCCATTTGACTCCAAGGAGCCGAACTATGTTCCGACACGCTCGAAATTCCTTTGCCGACAGGCAATCAGAATCGCTTGGATGGTTGCTACTTACTACTGCATCTTTCATCGCTATTCCCTGCGGATACTCGTCACTGACTATGCCCGACCAAGAGAGCATCTCCTCCGGCGCTTGCCACAGGTCAGCGGCCGTGAGACGATCGTCAGGGTGTACACCGCATTCAAGGAGCATTTCAGAAACTATCTCCTGATGTCCCTTGGTCACAGCACAACCTCTCTAGTCGGAGTATTCCTCTTTCAGGATGATCCAGCCGACTGGCCACCGTTATACGGAAGCTTAAAAGACGCATACACTGTCCGGAGATACTACAGTCACTTTTGGCACCGAGTCATGCGAACTGCATTTGTGTCCAATGCGAAGTTCCTATTGTTTAACCTTCTGCGGGTCTCTCCTTCGGCCATAGCATCCAGGTATCTGGTTTCAATCACCGCCCTTGCTATTTCCGGCACTATGCACTCTGTGGCGTTTTCAACATCCTGGAGATGTGCAAGTCTGCGGCCTCTGTGGTACTACCTGTCGATCGCAAGCGCCATACTAGTGGAGGATCTCGTACAACTAGGCTACCGCAAATCAATGGCGTCGCTTTCCGGAAAGGACACGACGCCTCGTGCGAACGAAAGCGGTACGCGGGCTGTCAGCAAACTACCCTTTCATCATGCAAAAGGCAAATATTTGGTTGGATCAGAGGATGGCCTGGGATCCTCCCTCAAGGGTGACAGGCCATCCCCTGCTTGGCGATATTTGGGGTATTTATGGGTGATATCCTTTGAATGTTGGGCGATCCCAAGGACGGTCTATCCACAACTGATCTGCAACTGGCAAGACCGTTATTTGGCATTGAATCCCGGAGAGCCACTTTGAGCAGCTGAGCACCGATTAGTGCAGGGAAACGAGAATCAGAAATTCTGATGGAGTTTCAGTGGGTCTCTATTTCCCACGGCAAGAGCTCCTTTGTGCCAGCTTTTGGGATCAATTCACGTACTGCAACTTCAAGCCCACGAAACTCCGCTTTTGTCTGTTATTAGTGGCGCAAACCATCAGCCTTTTTTTCAGCCCTGTAAGCGTACCAGGGTACGTGTGGAAACAAGAAGCGATAGGGCTTGACGACGTCGTCAGACTCTTTCAAAATGGCTCCCTGCTACTACTAGATCCTTCGAAAAGATCTCTTGCCCGGGCCTATCCACTCTCCCGGTCTGGATACGCCGCTCTTGATGAATGGTTCCACGGAAGGTGGCTATATATACATACGAGCTGGAGACGTGTGGGAACAATAACAGGACCCACAGCACGCATACGACGCTTAACGAAAGCGGAGGCGAACATTGCGTGTCTGCCCCACTGTGGAGTATAACATCGGTATAGGTAGTATACGGTGTACGGAGTACTCCGTATTGTTAACGACATTCCGCATACAGTATAAGCTCCGTTAAGCGACACATGAGTGATTACTCTGGAAGCTATCATCCCCCACATATTGCGTGGCCTGGGTGTTCTTACTAATAATGCAACCAAAGATACTCCGGAGCACTAAACGTCTAATGGATAGCCGAGGCCAGGTGCAGTAATTGGACTAACCACATTCGACTCCCTTGTTTCATCTGTTCGTCTCCACTATAAGTGCTTTGCCGTTAGAGCTGACAGATGTCCACGCACTTCAGCGGTAGTAAGACGGGGACTTGTCAGAGCATTGCAACTCTCTCCCCTTTTATGAGGGAGTGGCTCCGTGAACTTTTTGGAGAAATGTCCGGTTCGATTGATCTTGCAGATTGATCTAGATTTTCGTCAGCATTTGAACCAACCGCTCAGAGTAAACTTTTTCCGTCGGATTAGCAGGTTCCCACGGGCTGCTTCGAGACCTTGGTTCAACTCGTGAGAAGCTCTTGCTGCCAATGCGAGATATCACATTGTCTCTTCTGCACACCTCTTGTATACCCTGGGGGAGTGATCGAGGATGGGAGACGACTTGGACATCATGGCGAACATGACTCTGGAGTTCAGGCATGGGGAGGGTATCGACCGGATTCCAACTACTTGGTACACCTCTGCCGACCCAATAGACTCGTTCATCTGGAGTCATGTTATCTTGATGGTAATTGCTTTCGCAGTCATATTTCCCATCGGCATGGTCTTGGGCCTGGGGAAATCGCGATGGCACATTCCATTCCAGGTCTTTGGCTTGGTCCTGACTGGTAAGCCAACAGCTCGCCTCTACCGCAAGCAATTGGAAAGTCATTTTCCGTTAATTGGACTACAGGTATTGGCTGGATACTTCCATCTTTCCATGGAGGTAGGCAGTATCTGAAGCCTAATATCCATGCATCATTCGCAAGGTGGCTCTTTTGCGCCGTCTTCGCTCAAGCAGGAAGTGGAATATATTTGAGCTTCCGTCTGGAAGGCCGACAACATCGGAGAATCAGAAAAATATTGCAAAGGTGGCATGGTGTTGCAGGAAAATTAATGCCTGTCGTTGGCTGGACACAAATGATGTTTGGAGGAGAGACATCGTAAGATTTCCCCAAGGATCCGCCGCTCGGAGCACGCTTGACTTATGAGCTCGTCTAGACAAGGCTTCTGCCACGGAGATTGGCTGCCGATGTGTGCCGGCCATGTCTCTATGGGATCTATCATGATCGGTACAGGAATTATACTGGTTATCATCACCATCGATGGAGAGAGATGGATACGGAAGACCGGGAGATCGTTGGATTTCTATGCTTGTGCCACAATTGCAGCATCTGGGTGCGGTAACGCATGTACGATCTTGTCTTTCGCCTTCCTGCTTAGATCTTTCGCTGACTGATCTTAGTATTCGAACATGTCTGTGCCTCATAACCTGCGGAAAAGAAGAGTTGGCTAATTCTTGTTAAGATTCCAGGCTCCGAGTGGAACCATCGGGAGTATAGCCACGTCGCCTTCGGAGTCTTCTGGTGGGTAGCTGGCATAGTCGGTCTTTGGCAGACACGCAAACTTGACCAACGGACACCTATACCCGGAGTGGTATTCTTGGTAACAGGATGGTACTTCAGCATGCACGAGCAGCCGAATACTATGGCAAAGCATGTGCATGAGATCCTCGGATGCGTGATGATGAGTGCAGGAGCTATACACTTTGTGGAAATTGCCTATTTCACCAGAAATCTTGATCGAAACTGCGCCACAATTGACTACTGCCCTCGGAAAAATCCGAATCCGTCCGAGTTTGTCTTTTCGTTCGTAAGTTTTCCATCGCAGGTCAGGGAGTACGGTAACAGTTGTTTGGCTTACCACAGGCTTTCACAGTTGATCATAGTTATGGGCGTCATTAATATATACGCACCACCTCAAACTCTGTGGCTTTTCAATTACTGGGGTCTTGATCACATTTCCCTCATGTTGATATGGTTCTCGATTGCAATGGGCATCATGTGTTGTACGTTTAGTCTACCCACGGATTTGCCAGAGATGCTGAAATTCCATGCAGTTACGCTTATGCTCGTCCAGCTCTATAGGAGCCTCAAAAACTCGGAAATGCAATTGATACGTGGTCAAGGTGACCTTGGAATCATGGGAGATACGGAGCTCTGTGGCCTTTTGGGTACAGATACGGCTCAAGGTGATGAAGAGGAGGTCAAAACAACAACAGATCCCTCAGCCCGTACACTACACATATAGTTGTCGGCGAAGCCTGTCGCGTATTTGCCGATGAAGTGCTTGAGGCATATCAGAACTATCGAACAGGGCTTGGTGACGTTGCCCCTACCACTTCTCACTCTTCTTGTTTGGTTTGTCTCCATTTGCTGCGCCATTAAGATGTACTTTGTCTATAAGATGTCTCCAGAAGCTATACACAGGGAAGAGAGGGGATAAGGTCAATTTAGACGATGAGCCTCGACAGCCTGACCGGCGACCTTGACAATATTCCAGAGTCATGCAGGAATGTTGAGACCAAGAGCTCTCCATGCATGCCTTTCGTTATTCAATCCAGACACTCTTCCCTTACCAACCCTTCCAGCAAAACAAGCAACATCCATATAGAGCAGCACATGTGATATATGGCATCGCTTATATATGACGGACAAGAATTTACTTATACTACCACATCGTGGCCTAAGCAGTCAACGGCAGACTGGATCCGTGAACGGTCCACAACTTATCAAGGTAAAGCTCCCTCGCCCTCCTCCGCAGTCGAGGTTGCGTATATCTATTCACACATGACGAAAGATCTGGTAAAAACGAGAAAGAATCCAAACCTGACACCTTGGGCACCTGAAACAAAGGAACCCGAAAGCAAAACGAGTGCCCATAGACTATTATATATGACAAAAGAGATCTAGCTTAAAATATGCTCCCGGTGGTCAGCTCCCAGGGTGTGATCTATCGGAGATTGAGAGGATTGAACTTGTCCATTGTCTATCTACAAGGGCGATGTAGGCTATCTGTACCCTAGAGGTAGCCACGAAAAGAAAAGGTTGGGCATGCCTTTCTGACATATTCACAAGTCTGACCCACCAGGTTGCGTCGTCATATCCAAACAGAGGCCTTCTGAAATGGGGCCATAAGCTGAGCTTAGTTTCGCAAGGCTTACCAGTCGATATCGCCGAACCTCTGCTCAACTGTGCCAGCAGGTACGCAGGGAGGAAGGGTTACAGGTGGCGCTCGACCAATTAGTGCTTGCGAAGATTGAGGCCTAGGAGGAGAGAGGGGTCCAGCTCGGTTATATATGGTCTTGAAATCTGCACTGACAGTAGACTCTGCATCAACCTATCGAGAATGGTTAGCGTGGATTAGCCTCTGACCATCCTAAAGATTATAGACGCATTGCCAGGAATTGTATTGGGAACACTGACTGATTCGACCTGGCCAAGGGGATGGTCGAAGCTTGTGGTCCTCATCAACTCCGGGAACTCAATTCGTGCCCAGATACCATTCGTAGGAATGTTGTTAACATCGGGCGTGAGGACCGTTGCGAGGACGGAGCAAAGTCGGGCGTAGGCTCTGGACATGTTCTCGAAGTAGGTTAATTTGTCGGTTGGTGTGCCCATGATACAACGAAGCGGGTTGTTAGTGTCCTGGACATTGTCATTATAAAGATTGCAAGACCATAAGTCCTATTATTGTCAACACCACTCATTATCAGAACCTAGGTTTTTTACTTACCCAGATCGAAATCGTCCCGACCCCAGTTCTCCGTGTTTGCCGTTTCGCTGTATCAACTTGTTGGGCAGTATAGAATAGACATGTCGACGGTCCAGGGTTAAATAGCCGATGGGCAATAAAGAACTAAGATGCATCAGTACAATAAATATTAATAAGTCGAGAGTGATTCGACCTGGGTAGTATACTTATCGACCTTGTCGCAGGCAACATCTCTTAATTCAAGGTGCAGCGGAAATGGAGTAGCAAGATCATCAGCAAGCCACATTAATAGGAGTAGGACATGATTTAAATACATTGTTATCAACAATGATGTTGGAAACTTGATTAGATCAAAGATAAGGTAGCTGGTGAGATGAGGAGTTGAGGTGAAAGATTTCTCGAAGCTTTGCAGCCAGCTCGTTATAGAAGAGAGCCAACGGTGTAATTGTGACTCTTGGGTGGCGCCTATGCGTCAAACCCCGGTCAACATGTCCACATGACGGCCAGTTCAGCAGCAACTGTTTCCTGAGACGCCGAGCTTAGCTTTAGAGGACTGCTGAAACTGACTATATGGACAATGACCACCTGGCCTTTTGGGGCGAATTTAGTCTGACCTCGAACAAAAAGACTACACTTTGATACCGTCTTACGATATCTGATCACATCAAAGCTGGGGAGCTTTGCATAAGGTCTGGAAGACTAGAAATTATGAGCAACACCGATTCTCTTAGAGTAACGCCCACGCTGCGTAAAGTTGATGTTGACATTGAGGATATTGAGGATATTGAGGATATTGAGGATATTGAGGATATTGAGGATATTGAGGATATTGGGGACAAAAGCAGACCGTTTGATTCGACAAACCTCGAGACTCAAACAGAGGTTTCCCTAGACATCCATGCTCAAGTCCAAAGACGATTGAGATCGGTGGCTGGCCGTACGTTAGATGTTGGGGAGACTGATTAATTGATGGGCCGGGCTGAAAGTCTTGGTTCAAGGAAAAGTTAGTCAACGGGTACTAACCATATCCACATAGCCACTGAAGGTCCAATTCCCTGCATCAAAGGTATATCAAAAGGCCTACAAGGCTGCTACCTGGTTGGTTGGCAAGAAGGGCTCTTTGGTTGCTTCACACTGAGACATGTTCTGTGATGCTAAAAATGAGCTGTGCGCCGAGTGTACAAAAGGCTTCACACTATTAGTTTTTCTAGACGCTGTGCTGCATTTGGGCGCGAAGGTGTAGCGTGGATGGTGCTAAGATTCGTGCTCTGATTAGTCTGATAAGGGCCACCAGGGGTGAGACCCATTAAGCGTGTTTGATCTAGCCCAATTAGGCTACCTAGGCGGTCAGCATATCACTTGGCATTGTGGCACAGCTGGTATTTATTTCGCCGACTTTTACAAAATCCAGAGAATTCATCTGTGGGAGATAAGGGGTGGCTTTCTTTTTTCTTGTTAGTGAGGCTCAGGTACTCTGAAGAGACGGATGTAGGTGTGGGAGAGTGGATCTGAGTGACGCACTGCATATGGACAATCATTCAACAAATTAAATAATAATCGCTTACTTCATTTTTCAAAGCAATTCGAAGCGAGGATCACGTCCTTGATAGGTTTCACTGCAACCACTGCAGCAGAGCTCATCCGAGGATCACAGAGCGAGGCCTCAGCATGGAGAGAAAATGCCTTGAGGACAATGACTCCCACCAGTAAGTACCCCCGACTACAGTTCCCCCGGCCAGTTTCCGGCCTTCCCAGCTGTAGCGCTACTTAATAAATGGAGGTGAGTATTACCAAGACGAGGGCCAGCTTTCAAATTCGCGAAATGCAATCGTTACTATACGGGGAGTAGGAAGTTTCGGCGCCTCTGGATATAGAGATTACATGAAAATCTTTACATTCCTACTGTATGGCGTTCGGTAAAAGCACCAAAAGATATCTTCGGAGAAGGCGTATCAGGAGGGACTTTAAAGTCATATGAATCACACCCGGGCCCGAGTCCCGATACGCACGACACCTGGCATTGCTATGCGACTTTGGTCAGTTACACATCGGAGTTTCCACTATTTTCGTTCCCGTTCAACGCCGACTGATGTCGCCGGTGCCGTAATCGCGTTCAGAATGCGCGGAAACTCTGCGAGATACTCTGCGACTTGGCCGTCTTCGACTTCGAATCGGGCTCTGCCTTTCAATTCTGAGTCCCAGTGGTGCGCCTCCTCTTTAAATCATCCTCCCCCTCCTCGTCGCCGCCGTCGTCTTTATTCGCTTTCGCTTTCACTTGCGTTGTTATCTATTCTTTTACCTTTTTCTTTCCCTTTCTTCCTTCCCGTCATGCTTCGCCAGAATCCACAGGGCCAATCCCACTAAGAGACCGATAACGGCCAAGTAAACAAGCCCCATCGTGGCTGTTCGACGTGCGTTAGCTGTTTGGTCTTTGGATTAGTACTGCTGTGTCTGCGGGGCCACTTTACCAAATCATTTTCCAACGTAATTTGTCTAGTAGACTGTGAATCCGATAACTCCTGTTCCTAAAAGTCAACTGGTACGTATATCCCGTATGGTGACTTAGGTGCGTTTCAGATTCAGCTCATGCTAGATTTTTTTTTTTTTTTTCTCGATTCGCTCCGTGTCTCTAAATATTTTTTCTCAATCGCTTGCTGTAGTTAACAAGCTGCCGCAAAGCGGCAGGAACCTGGCGCCGTTCATTACGCCGGTCGGTCTCGTAAGCGAAATCTTCAATGACACTTCTCAGGACTTCTGCCTGCTCGTCCAGTCCTTTCTGTATCATGGCCAGTTCGCTTCGAATGTCGGATATTCGGCGCATGAATTCCGCCCCCTTTTTCATGTCGAGATTTGCAGGGGCGTTTAGTGCCATGTACTCTTGCACGCTCGACATGACCTGGACGACTCCGATTTCGAAGATTTCTAGCGACTACTGAAACTCGCCGACCTGGCCAGATCTGGCGAAATTTATTAATGTGTTCCGCTAAAAGAAGTTCAATTAATAGGTCCCGACCATCCAGTAGGCTTGTTAAGACTCCCATGTGCTCGTTCTTCCACTTTCGTTATCGAATAGCCAAACGCCCTCTGTCTCACGGTGACTTCAGTCGCAGTGTGCCTCGTATATTGATGCTCTCGGCGTACACCAGGAAGCTACGATATGAGTCAAATTGACTAGAAGGCACGAAGAGAAGATGTACCTGCTTTCGCTCTTTCCCCAAATCAAAAAGCTCAAGCCTTCTAGACACTGCGTGTTGCGTCATATAATCTGGGATAGCACCGGTTGGGAGCAGAAACTCAACACTGTCCATTGGAGGTCTATTCGCTGCGTTATACAAAGCAGTCACCCCAGATATATCTTGATGGTTTAATTCTTCTTGGAAAAGCTCTCTGCCCATCTTTTCAAAAATACATTTCAGCATGTTGAGATCTCCAATTCCGGCGGCATAGAAGATAGCCGTCCTGTTCATGATTCCCTTTGCTGTGAGACTTGTGTCTTCATGACCTGTCAGATATGTGCAGACGTCACCGAAACCCCTGTAAATTGTAAAACGCAGAATACGGTTAATGTTGACTACTACACCTTTTTGGCGGAAATGCTAAAACCACTACTTCGGCCGTGGAATGCCTTGGTCGTTCAAGGTATACCTACCCACGATATTGTCGACTTGACGTGCTGTTCGAAGAATCGGACGCGTCGTAATGCAATCATTTAATTTCATTATGAACTTTGAGTCTTCCATACCTTCAGAGCACATATGTTCATCAGGATTTTCAGCACCTGGGCTGGGTTGGGGATCTGTGGCTGTGGGAACAGGTCCCCCCAGCGCTAGTAAACGGTGTGGACTGTTGTTGGCCCCTGAGCCATAGTCAGAATCGGCAGATTGAAGAATACCTTGGATTCCACATTCTTGGATTACTTCGCATCCCTTATCTTGGAGAGCGTCCGAGCCAGTCTCATATCGCAGATATGCGTTGATGTTTTTTGCTAGTAGGGTTCGCCATGGATGTAACGTGGTACCGGGGTGAATTTGGGTCTTCATGGCTCTCTGCGAGCGGGATAATGCGAGAACTGGACCACTAAACACTGTAGCTAGCTAGACTTCAAAAGCTGGCGTTTGGGCACAAGGTTTCGGGGCGCTGGTCCACCCCCAAAGTCTCAGCTGTCAGGCACTATGGGTTGCGTGATGATTGGACGAACCGGACAGGTAATACCCTTTACTATTCGCGTAGTTGGGTCCGATTTCAGCAGAATCCATCCACTACTGCTATCATTTACCCTCGTCACCAAATGTTTTGATTCTCCTTGCTATTAGTCTTGAGCCACAGCTGCAGCTAATTGCCAGGAAGGCACGATCCCCCCAGCAATGATACGACCGCGCTTGATGCTAGGTGGGATCCTAATCGCCGACGCATCCAATTATTAGACACGAGAGCCCGGCGAGGTTCGGAGCCCACAAAGTCCGCAGCCTGACTGGACATCTTTGGTTGGGCTCATGGATTGGGGGTCATGTGTTCTTCCCCCTCTCTTCCCTAGTGTCTACCTTTGTGCAGTACCAGCCTGGTGCTGGCGCCAGGAGACTTGTCCTGGAGCCACATGAGCAGACTTTGTATGTGTCTCGAGGAGGGAGGTTGGAGGACCTTCCTGAGAGAGACTGGTGACGCCGATGAGAGTCGCGAGGATAACGATCGGCGATGGGCGAGGGCCACGCAACAGCAAACCTGTCAGGATCAGCTATGAAAGGGCTCTAAGATTTCTTAGTCGAAGGCTGAGATAGTCTATATTCAGGATCAGACCGAGTTAACCAACTGTGGGCGACAAGTGAATGTTTGTGGTGGGGCGGTATGCGATTAAGGTAAACTAACTCGGTATGGACAGTTGTCGACCTCTGCAAGAGACGCCAAGGCGCTAATAGCCTCAACACTAGGCAAGCCGATTGTCCCAAGGGACTACATTGTCTGGAGTTGGCTCTCTTGGATCTAATTCCAGAATACCAAAAACAGCTCCGAAGAGAGCACTCTCAAGACCCATGGCATCTAATAGCCTTGACTTGTTTTCTCTTGCCAGGATGTCCTTATTGGTAATACAGGCCGTCCAGGGGATGATCCACCATCCCTAGGCCCGAAATGTTCAGAATTTTTGGTGGTTCTCCAACTCGAGCACACCATCTCTGGTCGATCTGACCGGGGCTCAGAAATTGAATTGATGGATTTTCATGGTCATTGCAGGTGCGGCTTGTCTGCTCTGGCACGGGATATTTATTATCTAGCAGCATTCCACGGGCAGCAGCCGTTCCTGCTGAGCCGGTCTGGGTGTCTTCTATCTGGAGTACCAGAAGTGGCTTGATATGCGAAGGACCGAGTAGCACAGTTTGTCAGTGCCAAAATTTCCACTTACTAACTAAACTAGGCTAGCCATCATTTTGAAAACAATGAAATCACTCAAAACAGATATCATTTTTGCGCTGTGAAGTCACAAGGCTGCGGATCCACAGGCTAGTGAAGGCTATCCAGGCTATCCGCTCGGTCTTCCAAAGGGCGCATATTGCAAGCGCTTGATCAAGATATCCTGTGGATTCCATATTGCTTGGATTTCTCTCTTCATTATCAACTCTTTGACGCCCGTTCCATCAACGACAACATGCATCCAGCCAAAACCTCTCCCGCGTCTCAACGGAGACTCCTAACTCCGGAGGCTGTAGATCACTTGTGCCTGCACCAACATCGCCACCGGACATTCATCTTCCATGAGGCCAATATCCAACTCTTTGTTTCAAATTCTCTCAACGACTTCTAGCTCAGGGAGCGTAACAAGAAATTTAATGGACTATGACAAAGTAAATTGTTAGCAGTGCTTACCACACAGAACGGCACTATTAGTACTGACGTGATAATCCGCCCGGCTGTGGTTTACATTTAACCACTCGATCGAAGTTTTCAAGAAGATGGTGCAAGGCTGTGAAGCTTCGTCCATATACTGGACTAAGTTGTCTAGGCTTAGCATGGAACCGGGATAGGAGAAGTCGTCATCCATTTGACCGACGGCGAATTCCTCTGCACGCCTCGTCGTGTGGTAAGTCGTCCAGCCAAGCACACCAAAATCCTCGTCATCAATGTACCGGTACGCCTGGTATCGGAAATTTATCACGCTCACTCGAGGGAAGTGTAAGGGAATGAGCCTCCAGAGTTTGTGAAGCCCGTCAGAAGAGTGCACAGATCGGCCATTGAAGCCGTAGAATGAAATCTCGGTGATCTGGTTCCGGAGGTGCGTCCACATAGGTGCAAGAATCTTTCGGAATGCAAAGTCCTTGTAATGTTTGTCCCAAAATATTGTCATCCGGCCGTTGAGTGCATGTTTCCGTGCGTGGCGTGAGTCCTCGCGAATTTTCCTGCTGACTTGTGCTAGACAAGGGTAGTCATGGCCGTATACGAGTAATTCCGGAGGTTGGGTTTCCGATTCCTCCAACTGCACAGTCGAGGCTTGGAGGCGTCCGCCAATGTCTACTCTCACTCCATGCTTCTTCTCGTATACGTATTCGTATACTTTATCTTGGAGCTCCTGTGGGAGCTTGAGGAATGGAAAGGGCTCGATTATCCAGGGAGCATCCCAAGGGTCGTCTGCTTTCGAGTGCCAGTCATTTCCCAAGGGGGGGACGACCTTCACGTTCGGATCTTCACCCCAGGTGAAGTTCCCCTGTGTGAGCTCATCACACCAGGCAGTAACCTCCTCCTCGCCTTTGTCTGCACGTTTCCCTTGTCGGCTGTGCCCTCGACGGCCGCGATTTGCAACGTCACGAGGTCGGAGATGTGGGTGGGCGACCCAGCACTGGCTAGTAAAGTGCCCGTACTTTCCACAGGCATGATAAGTGCATTTAATAGGTCGATGACGCTGTGGGGGATTGTTGTTGAAGTTGTCTAGGACCGCGCCAGCAGTGTGGTTGCGGCGTTCCATCGAGACTGGTGATAGGGCGGTCTTTGCTTTCCAAAGTCGAAGGATGAGAAAATGAAGTTGTCTATAGGATGCTGGACGTGTCTAAAACAACGAGGTCCGAATAGGATGAAAGGAGTGGATGTTATATCGGCCAGCTCGGCTAGTTCGGGGTCGTCAGTATCACAGGCAACAAAGAGGTGTCACTCTATTCCCGGAGCAAGAAGTGAATGTGCGAAAAGTTAGTGACACCCTTTGTTCATGTATGTGAAGAGGGTGGACGCGCCGCCCCACTCTTGACAGTGCCCTGAGGACCTCAATGCCAACGACAAGGAAGTGTTTTAGCTCCTGGAGTGAATTCTGTCGTCCGAATAAGTGCAGACCTTGCAATCAGCAGACGCCCAGGTTGACAAGTATCGCGGCGTGCGCCTTTAAGTTCGAGCCAAACTCCGGACCAGGAGCTGTTAAGTTCTCCGCAAAACTTACCATTACATGAGAATCTTGGTTTTGCTGTCAGATCTCTGTTTGGCTTGTGAAATTTGGCAAGGGAGACATCTGGTAGTTAATAACAGAGTGGTTGTAATGGGAGCACTTCCACGTGCCCCTTGTTCCATATTAGGTCAAGAACTGTCAAACAGCGACTAGGCTGACGGGAAAAAGCTGGGGTGTGAAAAACCCAGGCATTTCGGCACTTGGCTAGGCAGAACTTCGTGGGGCAAGAGCCATTTCATCGCCGTATAGTCATTTCCACAGCGTTAGAGTACTGAGGAGGCATAGGATAGGAGTTCGGACAGCGACCACAAAGGACAGTGGCTTACCCGAGGCGACTCATTGTCCATAGCCAGTAATTTTTTGCTGTAATCTTGTAATCGCGACTCCCGAGTCTCCCTCGAGCATCCCCATTATGTGCTGTATTTGTGGAAACGTTATTAAACAAAATGGAGTGGGAGATCATTTGGGATTCGGAAAAAGGCAATGCGATGCCTTTGCTGGCTCGGTAGGACGTCAGAGGTGTCGGTTCGGCTAGCCTGGAGCATCGCCTTGGTACTTTGTCTTCCTCTTTCTGAATGATCAATCTTGACGAGTTGAAATTCTGCAAAGCCTCTTCGCTCAGAGGTTTAATCAAGCTGCCTGTGCTTGGGATTGTCCTCCACTAGGAAGATTCGGGGGGAGCCATGGTCGCAGAACCCTTGCCACATCAGTTCCTACCGTCGTTTTCGAAGAACGGGAACTCATAAAAGTCCCCAAATGCAAATGACGGGTCGAATAATCGCGCAAACTCGTCGCGGATCTGCGAGTCGAACGGTGTGGAGTCATCGCCATCCATAGGGTGCTCAACATTACAATCGGTCAACAAACTCGTCCCCTGGGTCGGTCTCATATCTGAAATGCCGCCAAAGTGGTCGGCGTCCTGCTGCTGCTCGGTCTGCAGTTGCCGCGTGTTCAGAATCTTAGACTGTAGCTCCTCGAGGCATTTCAGTCGGTTCCATGCCCGCATCACCGGACCGGATCGCGAGCTCAGTTTTCTCAGAAGCGTCAGTCCCACATGGAAAGTATCGCGGATCTCCATCCAATATTCAGCAGTAGCATGTACCGCGATCAACAGCAGATTTCCCAGACTCGAGACGATGAAGTGCTTAAAGAACGTGGCATGTGTCTCTAATAGAGTTGTTGCAGCATCAAGTTCTGATAATACCTGGAGAGAATCTTTCGCGACGTTGACTGCGGCGAGGATGTGTTCGGGGTGGCTCTTTATGCGGGACGCGGATTGCAGAAGGGGCCGGTAGATGACATTGTGCAACTGGTTTGAGCGGACGAAGAGCGCAACGCTGAGGTAGAACTGCTGTAGGATTTCGGAGTTGCAACTTTTCAGGTCGGGTAGTCCGGTTGATCCATGACAATAGCGGATGGAGGCTGGGATCTGCTTCTGCCACTGAGAGACTTGGTAGTCCAGATACTCGATCTCCTCTCGTACGATGTCTGGTTCTTTGCTACCAAATTCGTTGCTCATTTGCCAGGCTTTACCGGACAGCTTGGCAAATGGGATCATGGTGCGAAGATAGACATTATCAAAGTCCAGGGATACCAAGGCTGGGTCCACAAGGCTATCTTGAATGACGAACGGGACTCCCAATCCGAGACTGGATCGGCGGTCGAGTGTGAAGACTGACCAAAAGATTCTCAGGGCTGCCTTGCGCGCACCTTCCTCAGGGAAATGCTTCACCAATGTATCTCGACGATGAAGGCCCATTTCTAGACATCGCCGCGACGCGAGACAGGCGTACCTGCTAGCCTTGGGCTCTTCGTCCAAGTTGTAGTAGAATAGTGCCTATTACAGAGATATTATTAGCCACTAGTTCGCGGAATGGCGCGTATGAAGAAAACTCACGGTCGAGACGAGGAGTTGAACACCGCTGAGACCCTCAGTGTTTATAAGTGAGTCTTCCGACGTATCAAGAACATCTTGCATTAGCCGCATAGCCGCGTCTGTCCCTGCAACACCCAGCTCAGTGATCATGCCAATAGCGACGAGGATCTTCATGATCTGAGTTTCGATGCTGTACAGCAATTCTATGCAGTTGCCAAAGCCGCCCTGACATGGCCGGCCTCGGACCAAATCCAAAGCATCAAACAGGAGTTGTATCTTCGGAGCAAGGCGCGAGCGATCGATAACTGGATACATTGCCCCTACTGAATTGTGATAGATGTCGATATACTTCAACGCATCAGATCGCTCAATTGTCCACAGAGGGTCTCGTGCTAAATCTCTTCTCAGAAGTGTTCTGTCAGCAGTCTGGATTCTGGAGATAGTGACGAAGGACGGGAACCTGCTTGGTCGGTTCGGGACGCCGATAGAACATCTAAACCCTAACTCGCTCAGGCTCTCGTTGGCTACTTCGAAGGTGAATTCTGAGCTGGTAGGTCCGTGATATTCTGGGGAGATAGTTTCTGGCGCTTCATCGGTGTTCGCCTGCATGGACTGGTCTCTTGCCTCTGAATCTGTGGCTTGCGGCGCGTCGACATGAGAAAAGTTCAGCTCCATCGCGTGCTCAAGGTTGGCCACGGGATGATGGGTCGGCTCGGGGAGACTGGTGGGAGATATTGCGCTCAGCTTTTCGTGGAGCTTCTCCACTTTATCCACCAATGCACGTATCTGCATTCCCATTTGAAGTAGCGTCCTATCTTGGGTACCTGATATCCCCTCGAGGTTCTCCGAAGGCAGAATCGCGGGCTGGGCGGATGCGACATCATTGTTTCGTAACGTCCGATGATAGCTGCACGGCACCATGTTGTTGACACATCGCTGACAGGGTTCTTCACCGTCACACTTTACCTTTCGCCGCTTACACTCGTTACTGACGAGAAGGCAAGTTAAGTATCATGTAATTTGACAGAAATGCAAGAGAAGTGTGCTTACCAGGCGTTTGAAACATAACGAGGTCGCTTGGCCTTGGAGCCACGCTCTAGGCTGCCCTCAACGACCCTCTTGCTCCGATGTTCATCGTGCTCTTGAGTACTCTGTTGGTCTGTCGTTACTGCCATTGTTTTGGTACTGTGGTCGAATATAGTGATGATCTTTGAGGACGTGGTTGAGAACAAGCCTTGAGCAACAGCGAAAGATTTGGTCGTAGGCGCAGGAAGCTTATATGTACCCCATATGCTCACCGGCACTGCCGAGCGGTTTCATGCGGGGTTTTGTGGCACCAGCCCAATAGAGGGGAGGCTGCCGATCGCGATGAGACCGATAGTGCCGAGAACTTTAAGCAACGAAAAAGACGAACGTAATGTAAATCGACGTGTTGCAACTGACGAGGAAAAATAGAGGCTGAGTGGTGTTTCGTTGATGCAGTATATGTGGCAATCCATGCTTCAAGAATTAGAACCCAAACCACTGATCCAGGGCCGCCTTGGCCGCGTCCACATCTGGCTTCATATGGTCATCGACCACCCAAGCAACAACGCCATCAGGTCGAACTAACAAAGCACGCAGCCCCCGCGTGTCCCTAGCGCCTAGGCCAATATGTTCGACTCTGGCCTTGTACTTCCCCTCGACAATCAGTTGCTTGAATGCTGCGTCGTCCTCAAAATCAACAAGAAGTCCCCGACCATGTTCCAGTTTGGATCCTAGCCTGGAACCATCATGCAGCTCGAAATCCGGAGTGCTGCAGCCGACAAGCGGGTGGGCATACGCCTCTCCCTCACCAAGAGTGCAACGTTGTGACAGGCCCGAGAAGCGGCCGATGAACAAGTTGGTCCCGTCAGAAGTGTCAATTAGGTCACGAATGAGCGCCTGGACAGCCGCACCATAGAGATCGGGCTGGAGCACCACAACTTGTGCTCGCGTCCACTGGAGCACCCAGGCCCCTGCGGGGTGACGCTCGCTCTCGTACGTGTCGAGCAGTGCCAGGTCTGATAGAGGACCATCAGACCCCGATTCTCGCCGCACGGTTGCGGCGAGCTTCCAGCCTAGATTCATAGCGTCGCCCAAGCCAAGGTTCATGCCCTGGCCTCCAAGGGGTCCGTGGATATGCCCAGCATCGCCGGCAAGGAGGACATGGCCCTTGCGATAGCATGTTGCTTGCTTGCACCGGTCAGTAAACGTTGAGACGAGGTGAATCTTCGTGATCTTCACATCTGTTATTCCTGATATGCGGCGGAAGACGCTTTGAACGTGCTCCTGCCCGATGTCTTGCGTGCGGTCGAAGGCGCCACCGTCGAAGTCCGTCATGTAAAGAGTGTCGGGGTTTCTTATAATATACAGTCCGGCATTCGTGATGTGGAAACCCGGTCTTAACTTGTCGGGGTAGTCCCAGTCGCACTGAGCCACGTAACCAGTGAACTTAGGCTCCGTTCCAACAAAGTCGAATCCTGCAGACCTGCGAACCACACTTCGTCCGCCGTCACATCCCACCAGCCACTTGCCGCAAAAAGATTGGTTTTCTCCAGCTTCCACCGTCACGCTGTCGTCGTCATGTGCTAATATCTTCGTAACACCATGACCCCTTAGAATTGTGACACCCAATTGCTCAGCACGCTCTGTCAGTACCGCCTCGACGCGGTCGATAGTGGTAGGGCCAGGCACCAGGGTCGGCCCTGGGAGGCGATATTTCCAACGGTCCATGTCCAATCTGTTGGCGTCAAGAGGGATACCGGCGAAGTGACCACCGAACTGGAAACCTGGAGTTTTCTGATAAGATGAGGGACGCTCCCCAGGGACAAAGAGCTTGCTCAGAAGCCCCCGCCAGTAGAAGTTTTCAAGTGATGGCGAGTTCATGCCACGAAAGCCCAACGGGTCGACTTTCCAAGGCGATCCAGGTCTAGAATCACGTTCTAGGACCAGCACAGATGCATGAGCCAGTCCTAGCTCACAGGCCAGAAAGAGCCCGATAGGGCCTGCACCGGCGATAATAACGTCGTAGAGCTTGCTCATGGTTGGGTGCGCCGACAATGCAGCTCCGAGATTTTCGGGTAGACACGTCTGCTCGCGGTAAAGAATACATTTCTGGAGATTCCAGGGAGCTTTTATAGCTACACTGAGGCACTACGTACCCTCTTTAACTTCGGCCCCGTTGGAGTTGAAGTTGTATAGGCAGAAAGAGGAAAAGGAGGGAAGCCCCTGGCTGCCCTTGCCAAGCCTGGGGAGATTCGAGGTCTTTCGGGGTCAGAATCTCCGAGCGGGCAAGCTTTCGGTGAACCGAGCCTCCAGTTTCCCCGAGATCCGCAATGCCACCAATCAGATCACCTCTTAGTATTCAGCCTTGCCTGATTCTCCCTGTAATGATCATCGCTTGCATGTGCAACGCTGCTGGGTTTGATCGATCATAGATTCCCTAACGCGTGGTTCACCAGAGTTGCGGGAAAGTCTCAACTGCCGTTCGCCTAGCAGATGGCATTTCTTTTCTGCTGGAGCCCTTGCCTCACATTCACGGCTACTACACTTTCAGTCGCACCGACGTCCACTCAAGATGAACCTTCCAGATGTCTCGCCGGGACCGACACCCACTAAGCGCAGCTCTGCTGCCTGCGTTCACTGTTCCGATCGAAAAGTAAGGTGTGACAAAGTCCGCCCATGTAGTACCTGCGTCCGACACGGTGTGCCATGCATCTTTCCTCCGCCAAAGCCAAGGGTGCCTCGAAAGAGACGAAAATGTGTCCACATCGAAGAGTTTGAGAAGTTACTGAAGCGATACGAAGCAATACACCGAGACAAGAGCGTCGAACTCGACCAGTCTGAGGTCTTCGCATCTTCGCAGTACGAGCATCATGTCACTAGCAGCCGCTCAGAGGTACCTCAAACCGTTCGGCGACTGACACCACCAGACTTAGCCGTCTCTGGGCTACAGACAACAATCTTCAAACCTCGATTGCTGCAGGGGCAGGGAGGTACGAAGCTTGTCCACAAGTAAGCGATAGTTTCTTAATTTCAAGAACGAGGCTGATCCCCAATAGCAGCTTGTGGTCAAGAGTGGCCGAAGAGGTACGTGGTATTCGGCTCGTCGTGGCTACTGCGGACTTGACAGCCTTAACCGTCCTAATGCTGACGGTGTAGTTAGATCCACGACGCAGGGGACCCACTTGAAGAAGACTCAACAGACGACACAAGCGAGGATAAGTCGTCCCAGGATGATTTTGCTTACGTTCTAGGCTGCAACGCAGCCGTGACTACATTCTCGCATCCACCCCCTCAACTCATCAATCAGTTATGGCAGATTTTCCTTAGAAACATCAATCCACTTACGAAGGTGGTGCATATACCAAGCCTTCAGTGTGCAATAGAGAAAGCAACCAACAGTATCGAACATATCCCGAGAGGCTTTGAAGCACTCATGTTCGCCATATATACCACCGCTGTTTTGTCGCTTACACAAGATGAATGCAAACAAAAACTAGGGGAGAACAGAGCGATACTGCTTCCCCGTTACGTGGCTGCTACAAAAGCAGCCTTATCTCGTGCAAGATTTATGAGTAGCACTAGCCTTGTGGTTTTGCAGGCACTGGTGCTCCACATTCTTTCCATCCGAGACGACTACGAACCCCGTGCTGTGTGGAGCCTCACTGGAGCTGCGATGCGTGTTGCAGAAGGTATGGGTATGGGCCTCGATGGCACATTGCTTGGCTTGCCTCCTTTTGAAACTGAAATTCGTCGACGCATCTGGTGGCTGCTTAGGACACACGACTTCCGCGCGGCAGAGTTGAATGGTCAGCCCAAGTTCCGAAACTTCGAACTCGATGATACCACGCCTAAAATGCCCGCTAACGTCAACGATAGCGACCTGTATCCTGCAATGTCGCAAGCAGCTGTTGAGTCGGTCAGACCAACAGAGATGATATGGTGCATGGTCAGATCGGCGATGGCTACCTTCGCTGCTGGACAGACAGCAAAAATAGTCAAACCACGAAAAGTCGCGTTTACCTGTGATGAATACGTGGCTATGGACGACTTGGAGCGAAAAGACAATTTTGTCAAGGGGATCGAAGACATGTTGGAGACAAAGTACCTGAGATTTTGTGATCCAGCTCAGCCTCTACAACTTATGGCCCTTGTTGGTGGTCGAACAGCAACAAACCTTGTCCGATTTATGGCTCACCATCCACGCCGATGGGCCTACCAAGACCATGTGCCAGAATCAGAACGACATTTTGTCTGGGGCGTTGTTACTCAGCTCCTAGAGCAGTACAACATGATGCAGTCACACCAACATCTGAAGCGTTTCGCTTGGCATGTGCCCTACTTCATCCAGTGGCACGCTGTCATCCACATCCTGGACACACTCCGAGCAGATCCCTTCCACAGCGACGCTCAGAGAGTTTGGCAGCTCATTGACATCTTGTTCGAAAACAATCTAGAAATATTTCTGAGTATCAACAGGCCAATCATCGCGGCAGTCGGCAATCTTTGTTTGAAAGCATTTGGCTGTCGCGAGGCTGCTTTGAGGACCGCGAAAAGAAGTCTCTCCCATCCGCCGGAATACATTACCAAGCTTCGGGAACAACGAGACGCAGCAAAAGCAAGGAGAGAAGCAGTAGCTACAAGAATTCAGGAGCAAGGGAGACTAAACAACCAAAACATATCGAGGATGATAGACAACGACTATGCACTGTCAGATACAAAATCGAGATCAGCAGAAGCACCCACTGCAGTTCAGCTGCAGCAGTTTAACAGCTTTCCAGGGAGCATCCGGACTGAAGATGATGCATTCTGGCTCACCGCTGCCCCAAACGAAGGCTTTCCCACTGATGGAGCAGCCGACATGACGAGCCTATATACGGATGCCATTCTGGCACAAGATTATTCGCTTAATGTCCCCAATGAGGATGCCATGGACTGGGAACGATGGGATACCTGGTTTGGCCATCTAGACCCTTTACATCCAAAAATCGTCCCGCGACCAGAACGGCGGATCAGTGTCCAGAGCCTGATCTCGAAGTGAAGCATACAGATATGCCCAGCCCCAACAACTCAACAGTCTGCTTGAGAATGCCGATTTGGCATGTCTTTGCTTATTTCCGTATCGCCCAACCCGAATGTTGTTATAGTGCGTCATTGTCCAAAAAGGCCCCCGCCGCCACAAGAGGCGCTTTGGCGTCAGAATTCCAAGTATCAGATGCGGCCCAAAATTCTCTGGTTACTGCTTCAAGGCTTCCTCCAGGGCGTGCAAGTTGTGAGGGATGAAGTGGACCTTGTACGCCTTCGGTTGTGTTGTCAGCGAAGCAGGATTTGCCACTCCTTCAATAGGGCTGGTCTCGATGAAGCCGTCCGGGACGATCTTGAAGCTGTTCAAGATTCTCAAAAACAAAACATACAGCTCTCTGTATGCGAGTTGTACGCCAATGCACATTCGGCCCCCTATGCCGAACGTGAAGATGGGAGTTTCCGGCCTCTCTAGCCAGCGCTCGGGACGGAATTGATCTGGATCTTCCCACAATTCCGGATCTGGAAGACACCAAATTGTCAGATTGATATGGCAAAGGATGTACCTAAAGCTCACTTACCCATATTGCAGGCCCAGACATTCAGGAATAACACTGTTCCTTTTGGTATAATTTTGTTGTCATAAACGAAGTCCTGAATAGTACAACGCGGGAGTGACAGTCTCGTCACGGAGAAAAATCTACGAAAAGCAGGTATGAGCATGGTACTGCGACTTCGTTGTAATTGAGTTGAAACTGACCTCAAGATCTCTTTGATGACTGCCACAAGATATGAGCAACTCTGGTCGTCTGCGGCATCGCAAAGGGGATTCTCTTCAGAGTAGGTCTCGCGAATGGCCGCGAGCGCTTTCTCCTGAATGTCCTGTCGTTTCGCCAGCATTCCAATTCCCCACGACACGGCAGAGTTCATCGTATCAAGACCAGCAGCTAAGAGCGTAAGATTCAGCGAACTCAGCTCCAGGTCGTTCAGCTGCGCCTCCTCATCAACGAGAAGGTTGGCTCTGATCGATGGCTTGTGAGTGCCATTCCGGATACGTTCGTCTAGGTCCTTATCCAGGATCTGCATGTATCTGTCTCGGCGGAATTTCATGTCTTTAGCCTGCGCGGATTGTGTGTTCCAGGGGTTCAGACGGAGGAGCGGTATATAGTCCTGCAAGTTGCCTGTCGTGCTTCGGAAGTTGCTGATGGTGTCTTCTACATGGACAATCTCATGGAAGAGCTCATTCTGCGACTCCATTCTTGTTCCCCAATGAAGAGTAAGACCGATGCTCATGTTCATACGAAGAAAAAGTGGCATAGGGTTGACCCCTTTCTTGCCAAAGTCACCATAATTGAGTGCCTCGGAGAGGAAAACTCGCGTTTCTCGATCGAGGTGTGGAATATAGCTGGCCACAGCGGGTCGATTCACCGCCGTCGCCACCGCCTTCCTTCTTCTCTTGAGAGATTCAGACCATGGACTTGTTCCCAATGTTGTCCCCGCTGTGTCCGAAATGATCTTGACGTTGCGGTTAGTGGGTTTCAAGAACAGGTATTGAACATGGCCGAGCTCACTTTATGGAAGGTGTAAAACTCGGGTCTCGAGCTTGTGGCGTGCGAGTTCTGGTTGAAGATGGCCTTCGCCGCCGCCGCAGAGTTGACCACAAGGACCGGTATGTTTCCAAGCTGGATTTGGTAGACGGGCCCGTACTTCTTGGCCCACTGACGGTACTGCTCCGGGGCGTCCTTTTGGCGAATTTGCCACAAGTTGCCCACGATAGGTTTCCCGGGAGGACCTCCGAAACCAGGCACTCGCGCCGACGAACGGATGAATTCATACAGAGCGAATGCGATCAGAGTCGTCACTGCCACGAGTGCCGGCAGTAATGTCCATCTGTTTTCAATGATCTCAGCAGCATATAACAAAGCCATCGCTGTGGTTCTTGTCGAGGCTCAAAGGCTGTCGCTCAACAAAGGAATGGGTTTATGCTAGGAAGAGTGCTGCCCATCTCGGTCACTCGAGACATCGTGGACAGTCATAAGGTGCCTTTAAAGGCTTGATGCTCGCAGCCAACTGTACCACCGACGAGCGTCGTTGTGATGTTTGGTTCCATGAGACCTGAGGCGCCTGAACGGAAGACCTCCGAGATTCCGACTTATATCGCAAACCTGAATATTTGGTGTTACCCCGCTCATCTCGCAGCTTTCCGAGATCCCCGTTGTCAACCTATCAATCTTTCGGCACATGAGCAATTGGATAAGGGTGATTTCGAGGAGGTAATCTCATCAAGTGCTGACGATATGAAAGCTGGATCATGGCTCGGTTAGGAAACAATTGTATACTTTGTGTGGCTGACTGTGTTCGGGAGCCTGCCGATGTTAAATTTTGTCGTATGCGAATGTCAGATACCCCCTCCCGGTATCGGTGAGATAGGGAGACATTGTTAAAATGGCCTCCCATCTTGCGGTCGTCTCTGAGGATTGGCCCTGGTAGTGCCTGAAGTCACTGCTGAGCGCTGATTCATTGTGCTGCCGAAGACCCAGAATGGCCCAAGTCAGACGACCATTCAAAGATATCGAATCAGAACGTCCAGATTTCGATCACTCTACCAACTTTGTCTTGTCAAAAACCATATGCCCAGATTGGAAATGGGGTCAGGGTGCCCATGACGGTGGTATTGGTCTCGACAAGAAGCACATCGAAATCGACCCTTATGAACCAGGACGATCTGCAGTGAACAACTACAAATTACTGATCTCTGCAATTATTCCAAGACCGATTGGATTTTTGAGCACTCGACACGAGGACGGCACTTTGCGGAATTTGGCCCCGTTCAGCTACACACAAATAGTGAACCACGACCCACCAGTTTTCGTGGTGGGGTTTACAGGCTCAAAGGACAAGGACACGCTGAGGAACCTCAAAAATACCGGCGAATGCGTTATCAATATCATCAGTGAACACTTCATCGAAGCTGCAAATGCTGCAGCTATCGATGCCCCGTACGGTATGAGCGAATGGGAGTTGGCAGGCTTGACGCCTGCACCCTGTCGGGAAGTTAAGGCGGATCGGGTCAAGGAGAGCATGTTCAGTATCGAGGGTAAACTGCTCGAGATCAAGGATTTCGAGAGCAGGTTCACTAAAGGCGCAAAATCGGGCTCCATGGCCATCATTGAGGGCGTGCGCTTCTGGGTTCGTGAAGACGCCTTGACCGCAGATCAAGCCAGCATCGACCCTGCTGTGTTTCGCCCTGTTGCTAGACTGGGAGGAGTGGCCTATGGCCGAGTCACGCAGGCCTTTGAGATACCGAGACCCAGATATGAAGAGCTCAAAAACCAGCTGCCAAATTAGAAAGATGAGCGGTAGAATTGCAGATATCTACTGATGACATAACTCTGCAGGCAATGTTATATACCGCTTCGTTCACCATTTTCACACCCATTGGAGTATGCTTAAGCTGGATTAAGGATAAGGTCCAGCCAACAAAATACTTCATATTTACAGCTGATTCCTGCTAGCCTTCCGAAGACGGAACTTCTCCAAGTGAACAGAGGGGGATAGCTGGCCGAGACGGAATGGCATAAATGGCCAAACCAGAACCATTCTCACGCTTCGCATTGAAAGCACCCATCCTTCAATCACACAGAAGGCAGCTTTCAGGCTTTGATTGACAAAAATTTAGTGACGAGAGAGATATTCCGCAATGGCACCGTCATCATGGCTTGACATTGCCTCTGATAGCCGGTTTTCCCTCGCCAATATCCCATTCGGCATTGCCACCTTTCCAAATTCAGAGAAGCCAACAGTGGCAGTCGCCATTGGAGATTATGCTCTCAACTTAGCCGTTTTTGCCTTGCACGACGGATTTTCTCAGCTTGCGGAGATTCAGGCTCACGTTGGAGTCTTCGACAAACAGAGCCTCAACGGTCTTGCAGCCCTAGGGCGAAGCCTCTCGGGGGCCGTACGACGCTATTTACAAGACATCTTCCGGGGAGACACGCCGTATCCTCATCTACTAAAAGACAACAGGGAACTGCGAAACCAATGTCTTGTGCCCTTGACGCAGATTCGTATGCATCTCCCATTCCACATCGGAGACTTTAGCGATTTTTACGGAGGAATGAACCATGCGTACAACGCCGGTGCGCTGTTCAGGGGCCAGAATGGAGCTCTCTTGCCAAACTATTTGCACCTTCCAATGGCCTATCATGGCAGATCGTCTTCGATATTTGTGTCTGGGACGGCTGTACGGAGGCCATGGGGACAGATTGTCGAGGATATCACTGCCGCCGAGAAGCATCCAATATTCGTCCCGTGCCGGACCATGGATTTCGAACTCGAACTCGGCTGTTTTGTCTGCGGTGGCAATCAGCCATTCGACAACATCTCGATCAAGGAAGCCGAAAACAACATATTCGGCTTCGTCTTGCTGAACGATTGGTCGGCACGAGACATCCAGCGGTGGGAATATGTACCACTGGGCCCTTTCAACGGCAAGAACTTTGCTACGACAATCAGTGCCTGGGTTGTCTTAGCAGATGCCTTGGAGCCCTTCAGGAAGCCCGGAATGAAACATCCAGGAACACTCTTGCCGTATCTGCAGGAACAGCGCGAAGCCTTCACATATGATCTGAACCTAGAGGTACAGCTCGTGAGTGGCAGCACGAAAAGGAAATCAACCATCTGTTCGACCAACGCATCCGATGGACTGGTCTGGTCTTTCCCTCAGATGCTAGCCCACCACACCATAACAGGTTGTACCATGAGAGCCGGAGATCTCTTAGGATCGGGGACGATTAGCGGTGAGACTACCTCGTCCCTGGGGTGTTTGTTAGAGCAGACATTGAATGGAAAGCGGCCAATTCAATTAGAAGGAGGAGAACAGCGAGCATGGTTGGAAGACGGCGATGAGGTCATCTTGAAAGCTTGGGCTGGCAACGAGATGGATGGATATGTTGGTTTTGGCGATGCTGCTGGAGTCTTGCTATCTGCTCACAAGCAGATTGCGTAAGGATACGATACATTCGCGTTGGTGAATGTTGAAGGTACTTGCCCTCATAGTCTTCACATATCAACCTCGGTAATCATGCAAGGACTGCGCACTCATGGTGTCCAAAGGCGCTACTTCCTATACACCGAATCTGAAGCCCAGAGTCTCGGCTTCAAGGAGCCATCTTGCCCTTCATCTCTTTGATCATGGATGTCATGGATAGTCTGTGAAAATGATCTGCGACAGAAAGCTCGGAGGTGCGGAAACATACTTGCTCGGAGGCGCTCGGAAATTTCCGAGCCTTGTCAGCAGGACCCCTGGTGAGGCGACTACGAACTCGGCAGAACTCAACTGGGATTTGCGAAAACATACCTAGGTATTCTAGAATATGGGAGCCAGTGGCATGATGAGCGAGCCAAGATCATCTATATCGGCGACCTTAATATTAAAGAGGACTTGTTGAGGTCAATCGGGCCACAGCACACAACTCTTCACGGGACAACCACACACGATGCCTTTCTCGAAGTTCAAGACGCCTGAGAAGTACAGATACCAAACCGGCTTTGGGTCTTATCAAGAGTAAGTGACCGGCTCCACAGAAGAACTCCATCGTGTCTCTTGCATTCTCCGTGCTCATCCAACAACTCCAAAATAGATCTGAAGCGGTCGAGGGCGCTCTGCCAATTGGACAAAACACACCACAGCGCCCCCCATTCGGCTTATACACAGAAAAGATTTCTGGCAGTGCTTTCCAAGCGCCTAGGCCGGATAATCAGCAAACCTGGCTGTATCGCATAATCCCGTCGGTTGTACATGAACCGTTCGAACCAGAAGCTCTGCAGGACGGTGCAGAGCAGGCCACCAACTACAATGCCTACGACGATCTTGTGCATACCCCAACGCAGGTACGCTGGGACCCATTCGATATTGAGGAGAAGGCGGATTGGGTGCATTCGATGCACTTACTCTGTGCCGCCGGGGATGTGTCGACGAAATCCGGGCTGGGCTACTTCATTTTCACGGCGGGAAATACAATGGATCCTACATCAGCCTTCTCCTCGGCGGACGGTGAGCTTTTGATCATCCTTCAGACTGGCGTCCTCGACATTAAGACGGAGCTTGGCCACTTACTGGTGCGACCCCTGGAGATCTGCGTGATCCCGCGAGGGATTAAATACAATGTGTCGCTGCCCGAGGGTCCTGTACGGGGCTACGCGCTGGAGCTCCATCAGGGAGTCTTTACGCTCCCGAATCTTGGCCCGCTTGGATCCTTCGGGTGTGCCAATACCAGAGATTTCCAGATCCCGGTCGCTGCGTATGAGGAAGCCACAGAGGGCGTCGAGTACAAGATCATCAGCAAATTCAACGGCCGTCTCTACGAGGCTAGGCAGGGCCATTCACCCTTTGATATCGTCGCCTGGCACGGGACATACTACCCGTACAAGTACGACCTTGGCCGCTTCATGACCGTCGGGAGCATCTCCTACGACCACCCCGACCCGTCGATCTTCACCTTACTGGCCTCATCAGAGGGCTTAGCGGAGTTGGCCATATTCCCACCGCGCTGGCTGGTCATGGAGAACACATTCCGGCCCCCGTGGTACCACCGCAACACGATGGCCGAGTTCATGGGCCTGATCCAGGGCGAGTACGATGCCAGGACGGACGGCGGGTTCCGGCCTGGCGGAGCAAGTCTCCACAACGTAATGGTCGGACACGGTCCCGACAGCGCTACGCACGCCCGGGCCTCCGAGATGGAGCTCCTCCCTCAAAAGGTCGGTGAAGGCAGTATGGCATTTGTCCTGGAGGCGAATGTGCTCCTGGGCCTGAGCCAGTGGGCCTGGTCCAAGTCGAACAAGAGGCAGTTGAACTACAATGCTCGGACGTGGCTGGGGCTGAGGAGTCACTTCAAGAAGCCCGAGAAGGCCAAGGTGATTTCGCCATTCCTTGATCAGCAGCTAAAATCCAGTGGGGAGGTGCAGGCGAGAGTGAATGGTCATTGAAACTCGAAAGTCGTATCTTATGCAGAGCAGAATGAGATGATGCCTTCTTCCAAAATATGAGAAATAAGACAGTATGTGTGACTACGCGCGGCGTTGTAAAACGTGGGGTGTCTTTCTCATCCGAGTATGAGTAGGCCGCTGTAGAGATATCTGACTTATGAATAGCAAAATGACTTAAGAGCCGCAAGGCTGACCATTGTCTAACCAGACGACTATTATAGCTGGGAAAGCTTGACAGATTTCGTGCTCTGACTCCCTCACAACGGCGAACCAGCACGTCCAGCGCCAGCAAATGCGTTTTGCAATGACTCCCAGATCGGCTGACCCTCATATGTGAGATCCCCGAGTGGTGGACACGTCAGAGGATCAAGTGCCGAGCCCAAGGCCTCCGTAAGTAATTTCAAGGGAACCGCCAAGGCTGAATAGAGCGGGGACAGAGAGTCCGGTGAGACAGTGTTGACGATCTGGAAGGCGAAACAAAGCAGATTATTGCCTTCCAGCAACGTCGCTGCATTCAGAAGGCCGCCTGACAGATCTCTGATGTCCAATAGTGTGAAGGAGTTGACGGTGCCCGTGTTGCCTCCAATCGACGCCAGTTGGGGATACTGGACGAACCATTTCACCAAGTCCAAGTTGAGCTGCACCAGGCCATAGTCGACTGGGGTTTTGTACCAGTTGTTTGGGATGCGTTCCCATCCTCGTTTGTACTGGAGCGAGCCATCGCTGTTGTCGACCACGCCCCAGAAAGACTTGAATACCTCCTTAGCTGATCCAACAGTCAGCAATGTCCCTCCGAATGTTGAACCTTGGACACTTACTCATGATCCCCTGCGGGTTCTCTGCTGAATGATTCGCCAACAAACGAAGGGTAAATGCAATTCCAGCATTACGGGCAATGGCGCCAGTATAGGGTCCATACCAACAGTACGGGTTGGTGGCAATGCATTCGTTGAGCATATCAACCCCATGACGGAGCACATCATCTTCCGAAATGACATCGGTGCCCTCGCCAGCACGGTTATAAAGCTGAAGAAAGCGGCTCATGTCCATCGTGGAAGCATCACCAGTGACATAAAGATCATCGCGAGTGAGTGAAGCATCTGCCTCGATCCAGTTGTGCGACCTCCCAATGCCTCGTGGTTCACCAAGGAGCCCCAGCAGGTTTCCGAGAAGATTCTGGGCTTGGGGGGACGATTGGTCAATAGAGAAACCTGGACTCAAGGATATCGGGTTGCCGGTCCAGACAGTGCCTGAACAGACTTAGCTGACGCTCCTGCTTGGGGGTTTGCTATGTCGTACCCATTACGGCCAGAATTGTGGATAGCCCAACGTCCATTCCGTATACTTATTTCATGGTTAACACCGTTTTTGTACAGATTGTCTGTTGCATTATTCACCTTCATTGATGACACCGATGACGTCGGGAAACTAATAATACAATCGTTAGAATCGATGAAACTAACAAATTTGGACTTTGAACTACCTTTGCAACTCCAGAGCGATCGATATAGCCATGGTTAGCTAATGCATTGAGTCCGGGACATGGCCCTCGTTGTGCGCTCGACGTTGGTGCCTTCCACTGATACTTGCCATCGACTTGTGGCGGGTTAGCCATGAACTTTCAAGGCCACACGAACAGGTTACCTTGGATGGGTGTATCCAAAGCGTTGATAAGGAGCCTTTTCTCTCGTTGATGTTGTACTTGACGGATAATGTCTTCGAACGTCAAGTCCTCTGGGATATCAAATCCACCCGCTCTGGCGAGAAGCGCGACATTGGAAACTGTGGGGAATGCCGAGGAAAGCGCACAGCCACCCAGTAATGCGGCACAAGTCGAAATAAAGAACTTCATCTCCAGAAGAAGAAAAAAAAGAACGGCAATGCCACTGAACTGGCCAGCGACGTACCAAAAGAGCGACTGAAGTGAGTTGGCAATTGCTGCTTGCAGAGTAGAATCAGAGAATCAACATATCGAACGTAGAACGAAGAGAACTGCTAGCAACGGCCATTGGAATTTGAAATTCTGCACAGCTAATTGGTATGCAGATCAATGATGTCGACTCATCTCGCGGGAGCGGACATTCACCATCGGATGAGGCCAGCTAGTTAGCAAGTGACTAAAGAGGCAAGCATCCTCCCGGGAGCTCAGACTTCGGGCGAGAACAGCAGAAAACAGACGGAGTGGGTCTATACCTGCCAGTGTCAAGCACTGATTTCGTTATCAAAACTTCTCGAGTCTGGAATAGGTACTTAGGGTACGGAGTACGTGACAAGGGGCCAAAAAAATCCATGCCACCATGCCACCGCCGTCACCAACTAGGCTCAAGATCGTGCTTGGTCGTGCCAAAGACTATCGTGACAGCATGGATCAAACCCCACACTTGTCAACGGCCCGGGTGGCTGACTAGTGGGAAGGTAGTTCTCGGGGATGCAGCTCCTGATGCTGCTCGGGACGAGTGCATCAACATTGCCCCTGGCTAACTCTCAGGCGACAGACTTTCAGCTGGATGGTCTTGGCTGGACATGACTGCCACGAACTCCTCAGTGAAATCCTTTTGTTACTATATCCATGGGATCCGATCCGCGTTTTTGGTTGCTATTCGGATGTGGTGCACTTCAGTCAGCATTTTGCGAAGGAAAACCATGCCCAACTCGAGATCAGCTTTTGCAAACCTTCACAACGCCAAGGCCAGGATTGCAATCATGAGGGGTTGTCCCTGTCCGAGACCTGGACCACCCGAGAGTTCCATAGGTAGGTTATGCCGTAGGTGTTTCTTGGTCGCTGATCATGACTCGTTTGAATCATGTGGATCATGCAGTGGGAGAAATCAAAACTCCGTGGTGGACAGCGTGTTGGGGCAACCTGAAATAAGAGACGCTTGGCCTGACGGGGTACTCCGAGCCTACTCCTTGGAGTCGTTTTCTGCAAGGCAAATCCTGTCCAGGCCTAGCCGATTCCAAGATTCTGGGAATTGGCGTGGGAAACGGGAAAGGAGGCGGGTGCACGAGGCTGGGGATTGTCCCCGTAGCGGGTAGCTTGCGACTAGAGAGACGGCCTAGTACGCGAGTAGCTAAAGTTAACGGGATTGGCAGGGGCTGAAAGCGGAGTTCTTGTGATTTTGTTCGATAATGGCGACGGGGGAGACCCTCGAATGCTCAATTTTTCTGAGCAAGGGAATACCCAGTTCTGGAGTATAGACATGTCTTCTGCTGCCGGGGTGGTCATTTCGTCTAGGTCTGCCCTGACGTCGAGTAAATTCATCGGCGAGATCCATTTCTTTACCTGCCCCATCACTATACCATAGAACTCTTCTGTACGCCCACATTATTCAAGTTTCGTTTGATTGCATAATTGCGCGCTCCCGTTGAGTGGATACATCAACTGTGCAGATCTCGAAGAAGTCTAACGACGGGGAAGAATCCACGAGAATATTGCTCCTGCATCCCGATCCTGGTCACGCAAATCTTTCACAACTCTGTGTATCCTCGCTGTTGATCTTTCTCCAGATCCCCTCACCAACTGGCATCTGTGCTTTTGCTCTATTCTCGAATTTTTCAAGTTTGTGGGCCAACGCCAATAGACCTCGTCATCAGGCCAGTCAGTTCTCCACCGATTTCAACAACGAACGACCTTCCATTGTCCCATGCATGCATCCCTGGTGGGCTCTTGATAGCTCGAGAGACCAAGCTGCGACTATACTAGACTGCGTTCCTGGGAACTGGACAGACAATTCGCGAATAATTGAAAGATTTGAGGCCAAGGGGAAGCGACTCCCTTGAGGTCTAGCAGGCTTTTGGCCCTTAAGATAGAGCCATATCATGACTCTGTTGCTCGTCTCTTCTCATCGATAATCTTCTCACGAGTAAGAAGGGACTTTTTTCTGTGTGTCTGGAGGACAGATTCCCAAAGATGAGATTTTTAACGGCCATATTATTTGTGATGACGACAACTTTGCTTCCTGTTGTCACTGCGGACCTGGAGTCTGCAGCGGCTCTGTATCCCAGATGTGGTGTGAGTGAAGATCCTCTTCTCAAACTTCTCATTGCTAAGCAGCGCAGCTTGATTGTACTCTGGCAGGCATTGCTCAGTCAAATTGTGCTCCAACGGACCAAGCATGTATTTGCACAAACCAGCAGTTAGCCGAAGCCATCACAGTGTGCGTGGCCATGAACTGTACGATCAGAGAGCAGTTGAGTGAGTTCTGGAGTCGAAAAACGGAACAATACGGTGAACCCATGCTGACACCTCCAAAGCTACTAAGAATGTGTCTATGACGGCCTGCGGTGCACCGATCCGCGACAGAAGCGGCCTCATTGCTGGCTTCGGAGCAGGAGGAGGTGCAGTTGCCCTCCTTATTTACGTGGTTCGCATCTTTGCAAAAGCCACCGTACCTGCGGCAAAGATTGGTTGGGACGATATTACCATCACTATCGCAGTGGCAAGACCCCAAATGTCCTTTTGGCTCGAGGACTCGGTGCTAACTCTAATGGCAGGTTCTCCTTGTAGTGTTCTCAGCCTTGTCAATAGTGCGTAAGTAGCAACACATGGTTTTTGCTCCACGTTCATGCTGACTCTTGTGAAGTTGCCAATCATGGTTATGGGCGAGATATCTGGACCGTCCCTTTCGACGACATCACTCTTATTCTTCAGGTTTGCAGCATATTCCAAGAGTAGTCGGCGGGAAAAAATCAATCTGACGATGAAACCAGGTCTATTTCGTTGATGAACTTCTTTACATCATCATCATTTCCCTGACGAAGGTGGCGATTATTTGTTTTTACCTTCGAGTCTTTCCAGAAAAGAATTTTCGCCGGATTGCCTTTGGCACCATGGCTGTGACGCTGCTATATATGATTGCATTTCTCATTGTTTCGGCCTTTCAGTGTCAACCAGTGTCATTGGCATGGACAAACTGGGACGGTGAGCATGATGGCAGATGCAACAATGTGAACGCTCAAGGATGGGCTGCAGCAGCTATCAATATTGCTCTGGACGTTGTCATCCTGGTTATGCCACTACGACTTGTGATGAAGCTCAGCCTGCATTGGAAGAAAAAGTTACAAATCATGATCATGCTAAGCGTGGGAGCTCTGTATGTTCTATTACGCTTACCCCAAGCCTGTCACAAAAGGAAATCTCTAACCATCTGTTTTCTAGTGTCGTCGTCGTCAGTGCCTTGCGGCTGGACACGCTCTTTCAGTTTGCCAAATCCCACAACCTCACATGGGACACTACAGCTTTCGGCTACTGGTCCTGCATCGAGATGGACGTCGGAGTCATTTGCGCCTGTATGCCTGCCATGTACTCGTTGTTCAAACACTACTTCCCCAAGATAGTCGCCGGGACGATCCAAAGCAAGAGCAAGGTCAGCGGTGCCTATGGCAGCCGGAGCGGCGCTGGAACGCCAGGGATACAATTTGACAGACGAAAGGACGATAAGGACGGTGGACAGGATTTTGTCCGCCTGGTTGACCTTGAGAGCGTCAAGGGAGACCGTGTGGGCACCGGCCCAGGCACTGCATTTTAGACGAGTTGATAATGGGAGAATTTTCCGTGCAGCAGCCACCTTTTTGGCACATTGATACAGACAAGAATCTATGGCCCAATACGGAGTAGAGTTGGCATAGGCTATGCCATGTCGAAAGCCATCAAAATACGATAAACACGACCAACCATCACATTGCAAACCACGAGACTAACTCCATTGAGACTGTTCTAGCTTCTCAAATCTGTAAATTCTAAGGGGGGGAAAGTCTCTTACTATTTATCCAGGCCAAAACTGCTTGAGTTCTGCACTCTCGCCGCTCCCCCCATGCAGAGTCGTGGTACTGAGAGCACCTTCCAAAGTCGTATTGTAGCAGGTGATGTCCTAGCCATGCAAGCCTCCCGTACGAAGCCCGAGAAGCGTTATTCCGGCCCGGGTCCTGTAACAACCGACTCTGCCGCTAACTACTAGTTGATGCAGGGCGCCGGGTACCCCCGGCAGCGGGATCGTCCAACGGCTGGCCAGCCACAAGCTTGGGCCCGAGGGCAAAGCAAGGGGCGGTTGGGTCCAGCCGCAAGTCGTTCAGCCTTGTTGGCTCCATTTCTGCCGAATGCGGCTGGCTGTGGAGTTTGGCTCCCATTGCGCATTCGAGGAAAAACCCTGCCTGGGTGACGAGTCGAGTCGAGTCGAGCCATGTCGCACGAATACGCGGGCTCCGCAAAACCTTGTCATTGGGATCAAATGGCCTGATACAGTTTAAAGCAACCTTTTTCTTCACTTGCGGTTCCGTCTCGGGGCCCTGACCCTTAACTTTGTTTATCCTGTCACGAATGGGGCTTTGTGCATTCGAGGTAATACCCTCTGCCCTAGCTTTGCAGACTTGTCCTGCTTCGGCATCGAGACGTATTCAGTGGTCTGTTTTTGCTAATTCATCCCACCAGGTCCTGAACAGAGACCAGAGAGGAACCAGTCGTCGATCCCAATTTCCCATCATCTCATGAGGGACGTGATACAACGAATGCAGAATAGAACGGCTCCCCTCCTCCAAGATATAAGATATAGACGCCGGCTATGGCTGTTGGTATTGGACTCAATCTTCCAAGCCATCTTCGTCATTCGTTTGGTGTTTTGTGTTTTCATTTGCCGGTGAGCTTTTATTTTGCTGGCCATGAAGGGAGTTTTAGCTTTAATTACCGTCCTTGGCACGACTGTGTCGGCTTTGTGAGTATATACGCCTGCCCTAACGATACAATCGTCGATCTTGTGAGACTGATATCCCGTTCTTTAGGTCTGGAGCGGCGCATAGACATTCGCATAATAGAATTTTCAAGCGCGACAACACCACGCAGACTATTCAAGGTGCCAATACCACAGACCCTGCGGCATATGACTATGTTGTCGTAGGAAGCGGGCCTGGAGGAGGCCCGCTGGCATCACGATTGGCCATTGCAGGTTACAAAGTCCTCTTGATTGAAGCTGGAGACGATCAAGGAGATGCAATATGGCAACAGGTTCCGGCGTTGCAGCTGCAAGCCACAGAATACACTCCCCAGAAATGGGACTACTTTGTCAATCACTACCAGGATCTAGCAAGGCAAGAACAAGATTCCAAAATGGTCTGGAAGACGCCTGCCGGAGACGAGTACGTTGGAAACAGTCCACCGGCTGGCTCGACTCCATTGGGGATCTGGTACCCACGCACGGGAACCCTGGGAGGCTGCTCAGCTCACAACGCGATGATTTCCATCTACCCACACGAGAGCGACTGGAACAACATTGCCTCGATCACCGGTGATAGTTCTTGGAGTGCCGGGAACATGCGCAAATACTTCGAGCGCTTGGAACGCTGCAGGTATCTCCCTAACAGTGTCGTGGGTCATGGTTTCGATGGCTGGTACGAGACTAGCCTTACAGAATTGTCACTTGCGGTTGAGGACCAGAAGCTGCTGTCGCTTATCATTGCAGCTGGAACAGCAATGGGGAAGGGTCTTCTCGGGATGGTTCTCAGCACAGTGGCCGGGCTGGGGGAGGTCTTGCTCCGCGACATTAATGCCGATGTCCCCAACAGGGACTCTCAAGAGGGGCTTTACCAGGTCCCAATTGCGGTCTCAGAAGTCGACAAGAAACGCATTGGTGCGCGAGACTTCATCCTCGCCACGGCAAATGCTGTCAACGCCGATGGATCGCGCAAGTACCATCTTGACATCAAGCTCCATACATTGGTCACGAAAGTGCGTTTTGACATTTCTGGACCCAATCCGAAGGCTATCGGCGTCGACTACCTAGAAGGAAAGAGTCTATACCGTGCCGACCCCCGTTCTGGTGGAACAGCCGGTGGCACTCCAGGCAGTGTCAACGCCAATCGCGAAGTTATCATATCTGGTGGTGCATTCAACTCGCCGCAATTGCTCAAACTGTCTGGCATTGGGCCTGCTTCTGAGCTTTCCAACTTCGGAATCCCCGTCGTCGTCGACCTGCCGGGCGTGGGAACCAACCTCCAAGACCGCTACGAGGCGACCATTGTGGGAGACAGCAACACCGACTTCGCCATCACCAAGGACTGCACATTCCTCCGCACCCAACCCGACCCATGCTTGGAACAATGGCAAAATCTGCCGGGCCCGTCCCTTAAAGGTACCTACGCCACCAACGGGATCGCCATTGCCGTGGTGAAAAAGTCGTCCGTCGCAGACGGAGACCCGGACCTCTTGGTTTCTGGCGCCCCAGCCTTCTTCACGGGCTATCACCCCGGGTACGCGAATGAATCGCTGAAGGACGCGCACCACTGGGCATGGATCGTGCTAAAGGCACACTCGCGTAACAATGCTGGCACCATCACACTGCGCTCCTCTGACCCGCGCGACACACCCGTCATCAACTTCAACTACTTCGACACGGGTAACACGGCCGACGGGGCCGACGACAAGGACCTTCAGGCCACATACGAGGGCATGCAGCTGTCGCGCAAGATGTTCCAGGACTACATCCCTTTGCAGGGCACCTTCAAGGAAGTCTGGCCTGGTAACAGCGTCAAGACAGAAGCCCAGATGAAGGACTGGATCAAGAAGGAAGCCTGGGGTCACCACGCTAGCTGCACTTGCCCCATTGGCGCCGACGACGACGAGATGGCTGTTTTGGACTCCAATTTCCGTGTCCGTGGCGTCGACGGGCTGAGAGTCGTCGACGCTAGTGTCTTCCCCAAGATCCCGGGCTTCTATATCGTGTTGCCCACGTACATGATCAGCGAGAAAGCCGCTGATGCTGTTCTGGAGGATGCTGCTAAGATTGAGGGGGCTTTGGTTGGATAGCCTGCCCCTGCCATTGTGGGAGCTTCTGGCCTAAAAGGGTATATCCCCTGTGTTGCTGAATGTAATAGCCAAAGCGATGCAAAAATAAGTGGCACAGTCTGTCTCGGGATATGTACCTCAGGAGTGCTCGATAACGTCAAAGCGGCCGCCATATCGAAGATATTGACAATATAGGATGAATGACAGGAGGGTCCCTATTCCTACAGGCCAAAAACATACTTGTTGTGAATGAAGGGCAACTTCGATCTAACAGCAAATTATTCTACTCCCGTCAGACTATGGCGCCTTGGCCACCAACTTTTGAATCTAGCTTGCCAGGACAGGAATTACTGAATCATGGCCGAGGATCAAGACAACCTCCTCGTTTTCTATGGGTCACCGCCTCAAAATCTCGAAAGGGATACCTCTCTTACACCCACGCTCTCCGACAAATTTTCATCAGACGCTCTAATTACTTTCAACGTCCACCGAAGCGCGGCCATAAATCCTTTGGCTTCCAGAATTTTTGGAACCCAATCAGGAGGTGAAGCCATCCGGACCTGGGTTGGAGGAGAAGACCTAGACACTTAGAGCGCACCCCCGCCGGCTGGACAGCGCAATCGCCTCACATTTTCTCCGCTTCATCACCAGCATTCGCAATAGTTCTTATAGGCCCAGTAGCAGCCTATACAGAACTACCAGCACCCTGCGCCAAAACCAGCAACAAAGACGCACAACAAGCCCCACATAACCGTAGCAACTCTCGCACCACTACCAGCCAGGCCAGCGTGCAGGTCCCGAAGCCATCGGACATAGAAAGGAGGCTGGACAACCCTTAGGACGGTCTTCTCAAGGCATATCTAGCCATACAAATTTCTTTTTCTTCTCAAGATTCGTGCATGTGGTTAAGATGTGCACGTTGAAGGCTGTATGCCGACAATTCCGTGGTGCGGCGCCAGGATATGACAGTCCGTGACCACCGAACAATATAGAATGCTACTTTCTACCTTTTCTCTACACCATCTCTAATATTTGGATACTCCTAGATCATTTACATAATACGAACCCTATTCAGACGGATCTAGCACTCATATTCTAACCGTCTTAAAGAGGCAAAAACAACGCTGCCAGGCTTGTAAAACTGTTCTTAGTATTTGTGGCGATACAGGCAGTTTGATAAGGTTGTATTCTCGTTGATCTATTGGCAGGCTATTTCCTAGCCCTAACTAATGAAGGCAACTTTCAAAATACTAGCAAAACTGGGGACGAGGCACAATTCTCCATGGTTTTACCGCCTCCGGCGCTTAGTTAGATATTGTGTAGCTTTCCGTTTCTTCTGGGACATGGAACTACGTCCTCATGCGCTCAATATTAATGCAAAATTGACGATGTGGCTGCAATGACCTGTGTCGTTCGAGGGCCATGGAGGTACAAACGTAACTACTGGTCCTCGTGGAACACTAGTGGCGAAAGCATATCAAGCCCCAGCTCTGGTGACTGTAGAGATGGCCTCACATCATTCATTTTCTGTAGCTCCCATTCGGGGTTTTGATCTCTCAGCCACAATGATGAAATCGCTGGATACTGTACGAGCCGAAACTCGACTAGGTGCCAAGACTGTGTTCGCTATTCTATTGCTCAACTGACTTCTTCTGCATGATGCTCTGTGGCCCACGATGTCTGTGGCTTTTCAATCTGTCCAGTCTGTCTCGGTGTTTCTCCAGTCCGCAGGCATACGAACGAAATCCTTGTTCCAGATCCAGCCCATTCGCCGGCTCTCATCGTCTTGATTGATCGCCAGCCACATGTCGCCTTCCACCGCGATAATGTCGAAAGCCTCTCCCAACACGTACGTCAGATACCTCAGTCCAAGCGGACCTGGCTGGCTCTCTTCCGAAAGGTTGAATTCGCGCTCACTCATTGCACGAAACAAGATTCTGGGGAAGTCGGGATAATTTGGGAAGGTGTAGGGCCCGGAATTTGCTGGGGTAGTAGCCATATTGTCGTTTGCTGGAGGCGTAGCCACATTGTCCGTTCCCGGAGCCGTAGCCGCATTGTTGTTTGCTGGAGTTGTAGCCGTAGTATCGTTTGCTGGAGTTGTAGATGTAGTGTCGTTTGCTGGAGTTGTAGGTGTAGTGTCGTTTGCTGGAGTTGAAGACGCAGTACCATTTGCCAGAGTCACAGCCACCATGCTGTTTGCTAGAGTTATGTCGACATCGTCGTTGTTTGGAGCAGACATGACTGCTTCTGCCATCAACGTCTTTACCAAATTCTTTCTGAACACAAGATGCTTACCCTTGCTGGAGTTGTACTGCTTAGACACTGACGGCTGAAGTGCTTGTAGAGCAGGGATTTGTGGTATATTTCTCTTACGAGAACGTTAATTTAGAGGATTTTCAGCCTTCAAACAGACTGTTTTGGTTTGCTTTTTGTTGTGAAATGTCAGGACGGACAGAAGATGGATGTTGGACAAAGACAAAGAATTGTAGACGTATTTGAGGTAGAACTTATAGAAGACTCAGCAAGAAAGCGTATTCAGCGTGTGAATTCAGCGTGTGAATTGAGTACAGACTCCTATTGTCGATCGTAGGTCGAGGACAATAGAAGTCGCCGGCCCAGCAGCAGCAGAAAAGACGGGGCGCGCCTGATGCTCATGCGGCGGTATAACGACGACAGGCTCCGCTTTTTCCACCTATTTTCGAGCTGTTGATTCATTTCTGCCGGTCTCCGTTCATTCAGAGACTGTTCTGACATTTTGAATGGCTTCGAACGTGATTCAAATGTTGTCTGTTCTCGAATCGACCGAATACTTCGTCAAGCGCACAATGCTTGCCCGGAAGAGAACAAAACAGGTTCCCATTGATCGGTGAGTGCAAGAGGTCTGTTTCACCATGGCGATGACGATTTTCTTCCTCTCGATCACTTCGGGATTGACGGCATGAAAGTCGAGTTGATATTCTTCGAGCAGGACCTAGAAGACCCTAACTCATCGACAAAACGTTGGGAACCATCGATGACAGCGAGCTCACTCGGCTCAGTCTTGTTGACGCCTCCTGCTTCATTGGTCAGTCTCCCTGGCCTTGCACTTGTTGAGAAGAATCGCAGTGCCCTTGGCCCAACATCCGACTCGTCCCTGGCTGAAACACAATGACTCAAGGGTATAGAACATGACGGCGACCTGGAACCGATGCCAAAGTACAGTTGATAAAATCAGGATACATACTCGGAACCAAAGAGAACAAATATGTTGGTGTTCCAAGCACATCATTGAGCTTTTCAGCAAAGGATTCTCTGAAAGATGGATTCAAGAGCCGCGAAACACGCGTCGTAAGTCCTTGATCCCAGGTTCGAAATTCAACCCAAAGCCCATGATGAAACCAATTTCACCTCTCTCAATATGCACAAGCCTTCAGGGCATCGGCATAAATGCGAACAGATGCTTGTACTTATCTGAAAGGGCACGATCGTTCTTTGCGCCCTTGTCACATACGTGTTTCGGATTTATACTGATTCGAGAGGTTGCCAACTGATTCAAGCTATTCGCTCATGGTTACCCACCGATCGAAGGGAGGACAAGAGACGTCCTGGCCTCTTTTCAACCGCCCACCGATGCTTGTGTCGATTACCGTGAACACCACTCAGGGCTGCGAAAGCAGGTAAGTTCTGCTCCGTCCGACTTATGCTGGGCACTTTTTCTGTGATGAACTCAGTTTTGGTTCCTTGCGAGTCTTCCCTAAGCGGTGGACCATGAACTCAAACATCGATTGATTTGCTCTGACGAAGAATATCGCTGCCGTCATTTCCATACCACGTTCCACATGTGTAATTGAGAGCAGACGACTGACCCTTTTTTTCTTTATCCCTAGAAGCACCGAGGAAGGCGGACCAGCGGTAGACATGAGCCACGAATCGCTCGAGGCTGTGGCAATAATTGATACACCTTGAAGAGCAGTGGGAACTGGATACTTTGACGTCTACTGGATCAAAATGATTCTCCTCCAGCCGAAGATAGGATAAGTGGTCGTAAGAAAGAGCATTGCACAAGGATCTTGAAGAATGGAAGCTTAGATCGCACCAAGACGGCGCAGCTAGCGGCTTGGACAATATCCGTGGCCTTTTGAATGGAGCATTTCCATCTGAGAGGCAGTATGAGTCCTTGATATGCATTGAAAATACAACACAAATCACCACAGTCCTTGGCTCTTCTGTGTCCAAACGTAATATTTATTGTTTCTTGCGGAGTCGTGCATGTTGTAGGCGGCATGAATTATGTATAGGACGCAAAGCTTGAAAGGAAGCTCCAACTGGCGGAGAATTAGGTAGGTGTTCGGTGGGTGTGGAGCTGCGCCTATCTTCCTGTCCACACAGTCGCTTTTTGAAGATTTGTTAACACCAGACAGAGCTGTGGTGGCGACTGTTGCACTGGCACACCATTGTGTCTTGCAATCCAATCCAAACAGCATCAAACGGCTAGCCTCGCAGACTCTGCTCGTTCCTGCATTGACGATCCATGCATCCTGCATGACAGCCGGAGATAACTCTTCTTAGTGAACCGGCCACCCGAGCCGCATCGCTCCAAAGGATGACACGAACAAGCGCTCTGGCTCGCATGATTGGAGAGACTGAACCATCCAAAAGGCGTCATTGGCCGATCGATCCAGAAGATGCCGCCTGCTGACACATTGCGCTACGGGTTTAAAGACACTATGCATACGTTGTACGCACAGGGACCAGTTTATGGGGGCTCAGTAATCACCATGAGGGGCGATTGTGTGTAACGCCACGGAATAGAATATAAAGACCATGGCTGTCTTTGTCTTGCGATCTCAAATACCCGAGACACAGTCCAGCTTCGCTGCTGACCCTTCCCTATAATTTCAGAGCCTCGAACATCTACAACACACAGCATTCTTCCAGAGCGCAATGGCATTCGGGTTTGAGACAACAGGTGACGAAATCGTGGACACCTTCAAAGACCAGGTCAATGGCAAGACTTGTAAGTATAGAAGCTCAAATATGTAAGTAGCCAGCTCACAGATTCTGGTCCTGATCACCGGTCCAACTCCAGGAGGAATCGGAGCCGAATCCGCTCTCTGTCTCGCGCGTGCAAACCCTAAACATTTGATCCTCGCGGGCCGCTCACGACAGAAGATCCAGCCTCTCATCGACCAAGTCCAGGACATTGACCCGCACGTGAAGACTAGTTTCATCCAGCTCGACCTCGGGAGCCAAAAGTCAGTGCGGCAGGCAGTCGAGGACGTCAAGGCTCTCCTCTCCGGCGAGGATGAGATCGACTGTGTGATCCTCAACGCCGCGATAATGGCGTGTCCGTACGGCTTGACGGAAGACGGCATTGAGACACAATTCGGGACAAACCATCTAGGCCACTTCCTCTTCTGCAACCTCCTGCTGAAGGACGACCTGATCCGTTCGCGGGTCGTCATCGTCAGTAGCTCCGCGTCCGAACGCATGGCAGAGTACGCTTTCCAGCCTTTGGGCGATATCACCTACGGCAACGGCAGCACGTACGATCCCATGCTTGCGTACACGTTCTCCAAGGCCTGCAGCGTCCTCTACGGCAAGCGTCTTGCGAGACTTCTCAAACAGAAGCACCACAAGAACATTGCCGTCTTCAGCCTGAACCCAGGCAGCATCAGGACAAACCTGCAGGGCTACATGAGCGACGACGTGCGAAGCAGGGCCATCGAGGCCGCGCGCCGGTACAACCCAGAGTTCAAAATTCCCCGGCCCAAGAGCCTACAGCAAGGCTGCGCAACTCAGCTCCGTGCAGCTTTGGACCCGGCTCTCGCGGGCCACTCAGGCGCCTACCTCGACGACTGCCAGGTGGCGAGGGTGGCTGTCCACGAGGGTCACGAGAAATACATGGACGAAGTCTGGGAGCTTAGTGAGCGACTTGTGGGAGAGAAGTTTGAGCTGTAGCCGTCCGCAAGGAAGGAAGGAAGGAAGGAAGGAAGGCAGGCGGGATTCTACAAAACCATCCTCTTTGATCCTCCCTCCTGATATTACACGATTGTCCGTTTCCCCCTATTACGCGCCGGAGGAACTCAAGAACGGCGACGGCAGGCCGAGTTGAAAACTAGGCGGCACAGTCTGACGGACCCAAAATACACGCCGCATCCAATGTAGCCAAAGAGGGGCTCAATAGCGACGAAGGAAGTGGTCGCTATGTCGCAAGGCGAACAGGCGCAGATGACAGATATCGTACATACTCACGTCTGCTGCCCAAAGGCAAAAATGGAATGCTCATCACCGACGAAGGGCCCCCCCCCGCGTTCAATCAGTTGAAGGACTTTGAGTGTGCCGCTTATGTAAAATGATCACTGGGAATCTGAGCTATTCGTCGAGTCGTATACTAACCTGGATGCCCAGGTGCGAGGGCGTGTGTGTCTCAAGCTTGTCATAGCTCGACGCAGAGACCAGACGGTGGTCCAGACAAGTTGACTTCGATTTCTATATATATTACAGACCGATTGTGTTCTGTTAACTCTATTGGAGTTCTGCTCATTCTGATTCATTCTTTTGGTCATTGTCTGGTTCGGCCACGCGAGTGGTCTCTGCACTAAAACTAATTCTCTCTGAACATCCCCATCACTCGAAGAAAGACTCGTCACTCCTTGATCATTCCCTGGAGAATTCCATCGACCCCGGCGATAGCCCCCATTCCGGTCTGCTTTTTTCCACTCCGTAGAGGACGGCAGAAAGGGACCTCCTGGAAAATGCTCCGGCCTCAAACATGAACATGATAGCTACTTCCATCAACGCCACTGCTGGAATTCAAGGGGAAAATTAGACAATATGCCCGAAATTCGGGCACGAAAACACTGAATACAGTTTCAGAGCGGGCAGCCTCTTGGTCGAATTGAGTTGGCATCTGATGCAGGTGCTGACATTCGCCCAAGACGTTTCGAGGTTAGGTGTAAACTGGAGTTGGATTTTGTGGATGTGTTCGGTTCTGCTCATTAATAGATCCCATTCAGCACTGCACATTTAAGTGACCATTTGCCGGCGTCAAATTCGTCTAATACGTCTCAGGGGAGTAAAAATTGGCAGGGCTGTTACCAGAGAGCTTTTTCTGCGCCCAAGGAGTGAAGCACAGTGGGCAATTGCAATGTGCACCCACATCAATTGACCGACTGATACAGCAGCAAAGGCTCACCGACGTTCTCAATCTCGGGGATGGTGCATTTCAGATCGAAGGCTTTGGAGAGCACGATCTTGAAGATCTTCTGGACATTGATGCTGTGGCTCGTGCTGCTAAAGATCAGACTTGCACGCATGGCTTTCGCGAATCTTCGGGCCTGTCAAATACATTGTGATTAGCGTTTTTCCTGCCGTAGTCACCGCGTTCATGTTGGTGAATGAGTTTCATCGTACCTGGTTGCTGATCTCCTCTTGATCCTCCCTGGGGAAATTAACAAAATGGTCGTACTTTGTACCGATCAAGAAAGGGATGGCAGTCTTATTAAACCCTCGACCCTGTCTGTACCACTCTTTTATGCTATTGAGCGTTGATTTCCGTGTCAGGTCGAACATGAAGAGGATGGCGACGGCGTCGTTGCAGACAAGGGGGAGCATGTTGACAAACTCTCGCTGGCCCCCGAGATCCCAGATGGAGAAAGTGATTTCGGTATTGCGTATTGAAATGGTCTTTTCCATGAAATTGACACCTAGAGAAGCATGCATTAGAGGCCCGGCGGCTAGATCAGCAGTCAGAGGGGAAGATAGCGCACCCAATGTCTGTATGTAGTCTTCATCCCAACTGCCCTCAACGTATTTGACCATCAGACTTGTCTTTCCTATTTGAGCATCCCCAACCATGCCCACTTTGATGACGACGCTGGATTTGCTGGAAGATTGTGACTGTCTATTCTCTTGATATTGTGTTTGTTGATGTCCGCCCATTCCGGAGCCAGGTCGTGAAGTCGGCTGTTGGTACAGGCTGGGAGAGTTGTATCTCTGATTGGAGTCATTGTCCATCGGCGGAGTTGCGGTAAATGTGGAAGGCTGAGATTGATGCCCGCCCTGGATTGCGGTGGTGTCTTCTTGTGGCTGGTCTTGGTCATTGACGATGTGAGGGCTGTATGCCGATTCGGCGGGGTATTCATTGGAAGCCATGGGATCCATGGTGGGAGAGACAACGAGCGAAGGAGGGAGTGGAGGGAAGGATGAAAGTCAGCTTGAAAAGCCTGGGGATGAAGCCTTGAGTCGACTCATGCGGCGTGGATGTGGATGAGCGTCTGTCTGAGGCTGCGGCTGCGGATGCGGTTGAAAGATGCGAAGTTTTGGTGTGTAGCCCTTCAGCCCTTGCATGGCGAATCAACACTCGAGGCACGCTTTGCACGCTCATCCACGGAAGACGCGTCTACGAAAGTCACGTTACCCATAACTCAATACAGGAGTCACCCGGGGTTCATCACAGTCCATATTATGAATACGAATGAGTTAGCGAGCTAGCTTCGATACAATACATTTGCAGCAAAAGCGACCTGCCGCTCTCTCGATGCCTGCACTTCGGCCCCCAGGAACAACGCACACGCGGCGATGATGGCCGTCGAGACCACCCCAAAGACAATTTGTGTCTTCATCCCTGTCTGGACCAGGGCTCGTCGTCTCGCGTATTTGGTGACTGTGCGCATGTAAATGCCCAATCCGCTCACCAGACACGCGAGCGACAGGACCCAAAAGATGATTCCGAGCGGATGGGAGAGCCGCTCTTCCAGGGAAGTGGGCTGACTCTTCAGATGGAAGTTGATGAAGATGGCGACAGCCACAACAGCCATGTAGATGGACAGGCGGAGCCACGATAAGAATGTCCTTTCGTTGGCACAATGATCTCGGGCGTCTGATGAAATATTGGAAAACAGAAGAGGCGCGTAGAGAGGTCGGAGAAGAAACATCTTGACGGGGTTATTTGGATGGTTTCTGTGGAGATTCTCCGTCAGCGCTGTCGCCCTGCTCACCGTATTTGCAAAGGACTCACTCGTCTACATTGATGGTGGCACTGAAGGGATTGTAGAGAATGTGCCAGCCATCCTCCACCAGATCAGGCGGAGGGAGGTCTGGGCTCACGGGAGGTGGCATGTTGATTGCGGGAGGATGCGCAAACGCAATGTTCAAGTTGGGAACGCGGGCTTCTGGATGGGCATTCTGATTTGACCGATGCTGTTTGGATTTTGAATATAAGATGAGGATGGTCGTGGTTGGAATTGCAAGAATTGGATGGCGGGATGGCGAGCGGGCGAGATGGTTTAGATGGTTCACGAGGCTCTAAAATGACGCAACCCTCCGAGGTTCGAGGCTCCAGGCTCCAAGGCTCACCAGGCTGCCTCTAACCAAGGGAGGCACCCACTGGGGTAGCGAGCTCGCTAGGATTAGGTGCCTACCGTACCTACTGTACAAACCGATATTTAGGTACAAGATATGGAGGTACCTACCTGTTGTATACCTACAGGCATAAACACCGTTACCTGGTCAATTTTTCTTTTTCTTTTTAACAATTACTTCCTTTTCGCCATCAGCCTACCCCAGTCATTAGCTGCTCTCGTGCACGACCTGGTAGCCGGAGCCGGGCGAGGATATGCATACCTGTATCAGCGCCCATTGCACCCTTGTCCCCTCGCCCCCCCTGGCCCCTCCACACGATAGGCACCGGGGGCACCAATGGCGCCTGAGAAAATAGACAAAGCGGTCCCTAGGCTCCTGGAAGCAGTTAAGCGCAGGCGACAGCTGGTGCCCGATTCGGTCATTGTAGCCGATAATTACTAGTAGCTACACTTGCCTGGTCTTGGAGCTTTATCAGTAGAAAATCCATCCGCCGCAGCGATCCCGACCGTATCTTCCTCAACTTTGATCTAAAGCGGAAATGTGCATGATTCGCAGCGCCGTCCTCCTTCCGCAGCTCGTTGTTCGATATAGACTCATCTGAAGGTCCTCTTCTACCTAAGCATGCCACCTACTCTGTCTCATGAGATAGCGGAGTAACCCGTACCCGTCTGAGTCACTGCCAAAAACTATTTCTCTCTCGTCCAGAGGCCAGCCCAACCATGGCGACGCCTCCCAAATTCCCCAGCACTCTTGAGCGAGTCACCAGTGTCACGAACCGAGTCTTCTCTCACTCCCTCCCAGATCCTTCGCCCATCGCTCAGGCCTCACTTGCCCGAGACATCGAGGAGGACACGGACGAAGAAGCCGCAGATTCAGAGTCCGACTCAGAAAGCTCCACGTTGCGTCCATCCACATCTGCTCCTGGAGGAGGAGGATTCTCGTTTGTCGGATCATACCGCAGACCGAGCTTTGCTGGGGCGGGAAACAGAGCCACTCTCCTTCCCCATCTTACGGCAGACCATGAGCGTCTCTCCAGGGAAGAGAGACAACAGGCAATGGAGGAGGAGCGGTCTCTTTTGAGAGACAACAATCTCATCCCACCCAAACACCCTCAGGCGCCCGGCCAGATCAGTCGCAAAAGAAGCATTTTCCACATACCTGGCGGCGACCGGAAAGTCTCTCGGGATGAAGAAGCTGCCCCAGCAGTAGAGGTCAACGTGGGCCTTGCGACCGAAGTCTCGCCTTTGCTAGGTAGCCCGAGCCTCCCCTATGGCGGACATGATGACGCCCAGACCATCAATCAGAAGTGGGAGGAAGCAGTGGCAGCAGGCATGATCCATACAACTTGGCAACGTGAAACAAAGGTCATTGCTCGCTACTCTGCTCCCTTGATGGTGACCTTTATCCTCCAATACTCACTTACCGTCGCGAGTATTTTCACAGTCGGACATATCGGCACAGTCGAACTGGGAGCAGTGAGCCTGGCATCCATGTCCGCCAACATCACCGGCTACGCCATCTATCAAGGCCTAGCCACGTCTCTCGACACTCTTTGCGCACAAGCCTACGGATCCGGCCGCAAGAAACTGGTCGGCTTGCAAATGCAGCGCATGATCTACTTCTTATGGACAATCACCATACCAATTGCCATTATATGGGTCCTCGCAGACAAGATTCTCATCGCGCTGGTCCCCGAACCTGAGGTCGCCAAGCTCGCCGGCCTGTATCTGAAGGTCGTCCTTTTTGGTGCTCCTGGCTACGCAGCCTTCGAGTCCGGGAAACGCTTCGTCCAGGCACAGGGGCTCTTCTCAGCTTCCCTCTATGTGCTCATCTTCTGCGCGCCTCTCAACGCGTTCATGAATTGGCTGTTCGTGTGGAAGTTGAATTGGGGATTCGTGGGCGCCCCCATCGCCGTTGCCATCACGGATAATCTACTCCCGCTAGGTCTCTTTATCTACGTCCGTTTCTTCTCCAAAACCGGAATGTCATGCTGGAACGGATTCACCAAAAAGGCGTTCCAAAACTGGGCCCCAATGATCAAACTCGCCTTACCAGGTGTGGTGATGATTGAGGCCGAAGTTCTCGCGTTTGAAATTTTGACATTTGCAGCCTCATATTTCGGCACGACTGTCCTCGCCGCACAGTCCGTTCTCGCAACGCTCACATCTCTTACCTTCCAGATCCCCTTCCCGCTTTCCATCGCGGGCTCAACGCGTGTTGCAAACCTGATCGGTGCCACGTTGGCAGATGCCGCCAAAGTGTCCACCCGAGTAACCTTCTCGGCCGCGGTGGTCGTCGGCATCCTCAACGTCACCCTCCTCTCCGCCCTGAAAGACTACATCCCGCACCTCTTCACCTCCGACCCCGACGTGGTCCGCATCGTAAGCAACATCCTCCCACTGTGCGCGGCCTTCCAACTCTTCGATGCTCTCGCCGCAGCCTGCAACGGCATCCTCCGCGGCCTGGGTCGGCAAGAATTCGGCGGGTACGTGCAGCTGTTCTGCTACTATGCCTTTGCGATGCCCATCAGCTTCGGCACGGCGTTTGGTGCCGGCTGGGGCCTTTGGGGGCTGTGGACCGGCGTGGCCCTCGCGCTGGGCCTGGTCGCCTTGATCGAGTTCATATATCTGGCAAGGACGGACTGGGAAAGGAGCGTCGAGGAAGCGCGGGCCCGGAATCTAGAAGGCGGTCTGTAATTGGTGAGTTACAGATATATAAAAGTGAATTTTTATACATACACACATGGATGCATAGCTGGTACGGAGTACATATTGACGCCCCTAGGTGACATGATCTCGCTGTATAGCTTGCTGTGTAGGTACATACATACAGTAGATGCAATGACAATGCCATCTTGTGAAAATGCAGAGACCGGCCGACGGACTGGAGTATAATGTTCCAGTCACAGTCCACGTCAGTGAAAAGAAAAGGAAAGGACCCCATATTCTGGCTGTTGTGGGAATCAATGAATGTTGGTTCTCCACGGTAGCGATACCTGAATCTGTATCCATACACTTATCTATGCGTGCGCCATGCCCCTTCTTGCCCTCCGGATTGCGAACGCCTCGAACGCCCGTTCCGTTGAGCCAAACCAGGCCTGACAGTCTGACAGTGGGACGGATCGATGCTCTGCTTTTTTGCATTGCATTGCGGACTCTCCAGCCTCTCGAGCGAACAAGCTCAAAGTCCAATCATGCCGGACGTCAAATCCGCCATACGTATGACTTTTTACATCCTCCGGATCTGCGTCTCGTTTGCCACGTCGCCCAACTGGCCCTGCACGAGCTTCTCCCACCAGTGAAACAGCATTCCTTCACAAATCAGCCGGAACCAGGGTGTGTACTTCAGTGCCTTGTCCTTGCCGCTCTGAGTCTCCACGTCCCTGAACATCTGCCTCAACTCTTCCGGACTCACCCACCTCGTGTCTTGTGCTTCGTTCTTGTTGATGTCTAACGTGACGTCTGCTTCGATGAAGAGGATGTAGTCGATTTCGTGTTCGCCCCATTTCCCGTCCGACGGCGCGAGGTAGTGGATGCGCGTGAGGAAGGAGAAATCCGAGATGGGGACCTGTGACGATTGGATGCCGAGTTCGTGGTTGAGTTTTCTTTGCGCGGCGCGTTTGGCCCCCTCGATATTACTTGTCAGCTCGCCGTTCCCGGTCTCCGAAGGGTGTGCCAGCGGGTGTGAGCAGCATGTGTTCGTCCACATGTCGGGAAATGTAATCTTTTCACTGGCTCTTTGCTGCAACAGCAGCTTTTTCGTCCTGGGGTCAAAGAGAAACACGGAGAATGCGCGGTGTAGAAGACCCTGGTTGATGTTGGACATCAGGTGGCAGGCTTTCTTCGAGGCGGAGCCAATGGGCATGTCGTCGTTGTCGAGAACAATGCAGACTTCGTCCATGAGGCGGATTTGTTCTTCGTCGTAACCGGCGAGCATGTCGTCCGAGTTGGTGTCCGAGGTCCCGTTGGGTATGGCGTTGGGTGCCATGTCGGCGCCGATCAGCCTCGTATGGACTTCGGGGAAGAGGGTCGTGACATTTTCGCGAGTAATTGCTACGGAGGCCATGTTGAGGGTCCGCTGGAGAATGGAGCGTGAATTCGAGGGTAGTAGCGACAGCCCGAGGCAGAGTTCGAAATAACGAGCGTGGGAGAAACAGCGGGGTGCAAAGATGGGGCTTTTGTTGATCGAAGTTGCGAACGCTTACTCCGTATTATTGAAGGCGGTGAAATGCGAGATGCGAGGGGCGAGTCGAAAATATTGCCGCAGAAAAAAGTTCGGGTCACGTGCCAGGGGTAATTTTGGGAGTGCGGCACAAGATGGACCGAAGTGGGCTGACCAGGCCGACGCATTGATCAGAGCCTCGTCTCATGACCGCCTCCCATCCGGCTCATCCATTGACAGATACACCCAGATGCATTCCCCTCCATCTTCGACCGCTACATTTCCCCCATTCTTCGTCAATACCTCTATTGAACTAGTAAGGTATGAATCCTCCCATCGATTCCAGATTGTTGCTTCGGCAGCGATTCTTATTCGGGAACGGCGAGAGATCGTCAGGATTGGCGTTCCTGTAACAGGATCAACAGTGATCAAGAGGGGGGGCCGACAACAGTATCACCCCATCACGAACAGGAAGATCTCAAAGATCTCTGAGCATCTGTTCTCTCAGAGTTTCATTTTCAGGGAATGAGCCAAATTCGTGCACGTTGAATCTTGAACTGGAGAATCCTAGCCGCCGTTGATAATCCTCTTTTTGGTCAAGATATCTAGGCATTCGGGCGATAGGCGATGAATTACGAGGCGCTGATTTTGTTGCAGGCTGCCATCTATTGACCGAATTCATCTGTTGATAGCTTTCCATTTGGATCACTCAATGGTGCCCAGACGTGAGAGCATTCTGGCTGCGTTCGCTCGGCTCACTTTCATTTTGGGCTGGTGGGCGCAAAGCCAACAAGCATCGAGTACCAAAGAGGTGCTTATATCCGCATCGATTCATGAATTGGCATACCAGAGGCTTCCGCGTGCGAGCGGAGGTACAGATCTGCCTCCCCTCTCGCGTGGGCGAAGCTGTCGAGGAATCACACCCCCAGGGAAGGAGTGAGCTGTCCTGCAGACGAGCGACACTAGCAATCTGCCCTCTTCAGCGGTTGCGCTTTGCGATTCCGGTCGTAGGCCGGTATTGATGTACATACGGCAAAGCCATCGAGTGAGCAAGTGGTTCAATCCTTGCGATAACTCCGTCTGCTTGTTCATTCCACAACCCTGAAGCGGAATCTCTCGCTGCTGCCCTTGAATACAGAGCTTAAACGCACATAAGTCAACTCCGCCGCCTCGGCCATCTCAGTGAAGTGACCGAATGTGCCTGCTTTTGCCGATAAATCATTGTCCAACTCAAGGACGCAAAGCGTTGCGAGCGCAGAGTTCTTCCACAGATGGGAATCGTGCTGCCGTGTCGTGACCATAGTGATGCCCAGGGATATGCCACCCGTAGCAACTAGCGCGGAGGGTAGAATCAACCAAAGCCATCGCACCTGCACGAAGACCTGAGGCTCCAGCGCATCACCGAATGCCTTTGTGTCAGTCGCATCCAGAATGGCTTTCGTGAGCGACGCTGCTACATTCGGGAGGATACTTGGTAGTCCGCCGTACTGCAAAGTATGCTCCATCTATGGATTGTTGAAGGAAACCATCTCGATACGGAATTGTCCGTCGGGTCTAGGAGGGGAAAAAGTAGGTCGTATTCGTCTAACCTTGTATAAATTGGCTAAGCGGAGGACTTGGCCGGTCTATGCTCTCCATTGTTGATCCTCACTGACTAGACTGTCTGCGGTCCGGCTAGAGATATCAGGTCCTTGGATCTGGGTGTCAATTGATGGAAGTGATAAAATGCGCATCTACGCACTTGAATGCGAGGCTGACGAGGCTGCGTTTGCAAGCTGCGGGGTGGAATTCGGTGAGCTGGTCCGCCGGGAGCATCTTGAAGCTAACGTTATTAGGAATGGCGAGCTTTGTGCGAATGGTATCGCAGATGCTGGGAGCAGCTGATTGCCTGCAGATGCCCATCTGTCGAGGATTATAAACTTGTAGTGACGGGTTTGTTATTATTCTGCGCCTCTAGGCACCAGGAAGGGTAATGATTCTACGGGCTCAATGCTCCGCAGAGGCACTGGCAACTGCCGAATGCTCTAGTATCATATAAAATCATGGCGTTGAGGGAATACTCGTGATCGTCGTCAATTCAGGGTGTGGCAAGGAAGCAATACCTCGTACAGGCCGAAGGGATTGCAGAACGACTCCCGGAGGGCTCCCACGCCTTGGCTAAAACTCCCACTCAATCAGCATTCCATCTGGCCCTCTCATCTCCCCTGGCGCTTTGTCCCCACCCTCTCCATCATAAACTGCGTCCATGTCTTTCTTCTTCTTACTGTCCTTCTCCTTCCTCGGTACTATCTTTGGCGGTGGCTTATCTCTGTCTACCTTCCTCAGGAGACTTGGGATGTTTTGCCTTCGGGACAGACCTACTCGGTAGATCACTTTCCTTCCAGAACTGCTCAGACTTGGCGGGTTGATGGGCGAGTGTTTGGTGGGGCCTTTTTCTGTGGATGATGGCAATGCAGAAGGTTTAGGCTTTGCTGGTGTAGTTATTGGCTCGTTTCTTTTGTCCTTGCCAGATAAGGTCTCTGGCTGCGTTTGCTTTTCAGCTTCTGGCTCAGGTGATTTAATGGGCGAAACAGTAGGAGCCTTTATGAACCCTTTCTGGATCAAGTCATTGCTGGTGCTAGCGGGTATGTTCCTGGACTTCTCGGCTAGTGGTGAGCGCGATATTGTGTTTGATTCTGGTTCGTCTTCTTTTTCTTCAGTAGTCTTTTGCTCCTCTTGCTTATGTTCCCCTTTCTTTGGCCTTCTACCTCGCTTCTTAGGCTCCACTACGGGGTCCTTAACCTGTGTATGGATGGGAATCTCGATGGTGATATTGGTGCTTTTAGCACTTGTTGCCTGTTCGCTTTTTTCTTTGCGCTTGTGTTCATCATTGATCCTGAAAACGTCGGGCTCTATCTTCAACGCGTTGAAGTCGGGCGGCAGGTCCAATTTCACAGGCGCAGGCTTTGAGTCCATCCAGACAACATCTTCTTCACCTTCGCTTAGCATTGGATCTGCTTTTTTGAACAAGGCCGCCGCAGATGTCTTTGCGCGTTTGACTTTACTCTTTCGACCTTTCTTTGTGCTAGACTTTGTTGAAGTTATGTTCGGGGTTTCTTGCTCTGCGACGTCGTTGCCATTGGGCTTTGCCGGGGTGCGACAGTCATCGTCGGCTTCCAGCGGAGGTAGAAGAGTTGTATCCTCGTCTTTGTCCTTCTTTGATCGTGTGCGGCTTGGTCGGGGCTTATATGATTCTTTCGGGAGCCCAATAACCGCTTCATCACTGAGATTAAGCTCGCTGGTGGGGTGTTTGGCAAGGGAAGAATCACCAACCGCTTGCTCAAGCTCGCCTTCCACAATAATTTTTGAGCGAGACCGACTGGGGCGTGGCTTGTAAGCTTCTTTTGGCAGCTCAATTACCAATTCGTTGCTTAGATTTAACTCGCTTGTTGGATGCTTCATGGAGGAGGACTCGGCAGGACTCTCTTCAGGTCCTTCCTCATCGATCTGTTTGGATTTCCTTCTGCTCCACTTCCGGCTTGGTGCATTTGTCGCTGACGTCTGAGATGCTTGAGACAACGACTCCATTGTCCCTTCTCGAGCCCTGGTCGGGTTAGGCAGAGTTGTGAAAGCCAGGCCCACGGGATCTTCATTAAGACTAGGAGGAGGAGATTTGGAAGGAAGCCTAGAGTTCTTCGCTTTGCGTCCACGCTTCTTGGGCACCGATGATTTTTCCATAGATGGCAGAGCATCCTCCGCCGCGGTGGGTGGATCACCTATGTCATTTGCGGTCTCAGGCGCGTAGACGTGACTGTCATCATTAGCATTGGATGCCACTCCATCCTTTTGCATGATTGGAGGGGGGTTAATAGCCAGAGGCCTTTCTAGGTAAGGTTGTAATAGTGCTTGCAATGGTTGGTCTTGCCACGGCCCGTCAACAGAAACTGTATGGTAATTTCCAGCAATCTGGGTTGATCTTGCTTCATCGATCTCTATCTCGATCTCTGCCATATCCATGAGATATTCGGGCTTAGCTTGGCTGTTGTCCTCCTCGAAGGACACCTGGCTTAACGATCCGAAAGGGTTAGCGTTGACGCTCAGACCCTGAGCAGAGCCCCGGAAGTCTATATTGATTGATTGGTGATGTCCCATAGAAGCTATTGATGTGGTCATGCAATGGGTGGAATCGGCGAAGGATTGCTTGCGAAGTGGAAACACTTCAGTTCGAGCGCTGGTGCCGGTCAAGATTGGTATGTTCGGATTAGCGGACACAGGGTGTATGGTCGAAGTCGCCTGATCTCCTGCATCTCCATCATGACCTGTCGATTCTAAATTTCTGGGCCCCAGAGAGGCTTTAGAAGGCAGCGCAAATAAATTGTCGTCTTGAGCAGTGCGAGACCTGGATGCTGCACTGTATGTTTTTGACCTCTTCATCTTCGGCTTCCGACCGGATTTCTCATGCTGTAGGTCCCCAAGACCGTCTTGAAAAGCACTGTGAGCTCTCTTCTTAGACATCATTCCGGGTAGGACTTCTCCAAAGAGGCTGGTGGACTGGAGGTCGGCTGTCTTAGTTGCGGTAATATCCGCAGAGCCATCTAGTTGATTGAAGTCCGTGACATGATGTGAGGCAGAGGATGAAAGCCTCGGCGTTGCATCCAGATATTCATTGAAATCGATTGGGGAAGGTGAGGCCAGACTCTGGAGTGGATCTTCGTTTCGGTTTTCGTGAGCAGCACGTCGCTTCAGAGGCGAGTTCAAATCAGACTCGCCGTCCGAATCCGCTATCTCGGGAAGCATTATCGTAGTGCCGTCCTCAAAGCCTCCATAGAGTTTTTGTACTTGTAGGCAATAGCTAGTGGTTCGAGGATCACGTTGTTGTCAATTGTCCCGCGGTGCGTTTCAACTGAACGCGTCTCCACACGCGT